CATCCTCCAAACTCTCCGAATCAACCCCCAAGTTCCACCGACAGAACACCCCGACCTTGGCCCTCATATCCCCAATCATATCCGCCGCCTTCAAGTTGACGACCTGCAGCGCCGTCAGCTTCCGCTGCGCCCCTTCCTCCGCCCATCTCCTCCGCGTTGCCTTCTTCGCGGCCCACCACTCTTCTCTCTGCTTGTCGATGAGCGTCAGCTGCGTCAAGACGGTCGTGAGGGTCGCGCCGAGGGAATTGCGTGCTGCGTCGAGTGCTGCTCCCCGAGCGGGTGATTCTTGAGGAGTGGAGACCGTTGAGCGGGGCGAGGGGGCAGATTTGGCGGGTGATGCGCTTGGTGGGGGCGGTGAGGGTGTGCTGAGCGAGGCGGTCGGCGCAGATGGTTTGCTCGGGAGTGTTTGGCGGACGTGCAGGTTCGTGGCCTCTTTGTGTGCGGTGGTGAGGAGGAGTTTCAAGTCTGCGATTAGCGGTTCGAGCGGTTTAGGCTAACTCTTATCAGTCTGTCGAGGCGAAGCGCGCAAGGAAGAGATTTGGTAAAGAGGACGTACCCATCGATCGCGGTCGGCGATGGTCGCGAGGGCGCAGAGTTGACACATATTTGGTACTTTGAGTTGTGATGGTGAACTGTGAGTGACCCACTGTATCTTAGGTTCTGGTCAGCTGCAGAAGACTTTGAATTAATCAAATGGATAAGGACTCTTCGGGGTAAAAAAAAAAAGATACAGCAAATTTGCGTCCACAACGAAGAACCACTTGTTCTGAGACAGGTGTTGGACAGAACACATAGGCCCAACAAGTGCCACGTCACGGCTGATTCAGTCGTTATAGCCGAGATCCAGATGCGAGTTTGAAATCTTAACAATGCGACACCAAAAGTCTGAAAAGTCAAACCGAACTTCAAGAGATTGAGCCATGGGCCCGGGGTCAGACGCTGTAGACATCGGCCAAAGTTACAGTCGTTCTACAAGATTCCTTCAAAAGATGATGAAGCACAAGCGTCCACAGAGGATACTGATGTCGCTGCATCGGATTTTGGATGAGCCTCGCACTCAAGAGATGCAAGACATGAAGAGTAATGGGTAATACGCGACAGCATTATACATGCGAGTAGCCGAAGCCTTCTCGCCAGGCTGTGCCGCAAATGAATGCTAGATGAATCCCCAAGATCTACAACAAAGGAACAGAACTACTCAAAAAAGGTGTAGTACAGCAATCTCCGGGCTATATGTGATGCCTTACACCATGCAATACAAAGGGCGGGGCAACGAGCTCCCAATCGACGGGCCAGCTCTAAGCCTAGTGTCCTTGATGCCGACGTACGCTTCTCGCCGCGCAGGATTGCCGGTCGTCACGGACCAAGTGCGGAGGCCGTAGTAAGTGCCAATAGAGTGCACAAGCCAGCGTCTGCATGTCCTCGTTAGAAAGCCCTCGGCTCTAGCGCTGGCTGTGGCGTGTACATACCCAAAGCTCGCACCGTGATCATCAGCCAAGCTATCAAACACCAGCTTGTCCTTTGGCAGCAGCTCTCTCGAGCTCCTGGGCGACTGCATATCGCTCATCTGGCCGTTCCTACCGACGAAAACGATCTCCTCGTCCTCCGAGTCCGGCTCAACCATGCCATCCTGGTCCATCGTCTTCTGCTTCTCCTCCCATCTCTCCACGAAACGGCGCACTTCGTCTTCCAGATCCTGCAACAAGCCTTTCGCGCCTCGAGCCCTCTTCAGCTTCTCTCTAATCTCCTTTGGCACCTTCGCAGCGGCCTCTTCTTCCTTGCCGCCCGTCCGCTTCACAGCTTGTCGGCCCTTGGTCTTCCTCGCAGCACTCCTAGCCTCCATCTCGGCGTCCCAAAGCGGCGCGAGGAAGTACGGCACAGCGTGCACCGGATACGTGGGGCGGACCTCCCAGTCGCTCGGCAGCGGCGGCTGCGCGTGGGGATTGCTCAGGAGCCGGTCTGGATCCAACCAAAAAAAAATCAACGCTGGACAAAAGGAAACGCAGGTGGCAAGGTATGGGTTCAGGCATGGCAACACCCACCATTCTCCCACCGCTGCCTCCGCCGACTCCCCTCCTTCCCCTTCAGCAGCGCCTCCCGTCTCTTCAAGCTGTCCCGTCTGAGGGGCTCGCGGCGCGGATAGCCCGATCGCACTGCCGCGGCGGCTTTGACGGGCGTGGCGCCGGCTTCGGGCTTGTGGGTGTGGTCGTCGAGGGGGATCTCAAGAGCGGATGTGCCGCGGAGGGGGGAAGCGGCGGATATCGTCACCGTGGCCAGAGCTTGCACGGCCTGCTCGGTCCATGCTTCAATGTCCACGGCCGGCGCGTTTGGCGGCTGCTGAGCGCCGACTGAGGCGTCGGGGGTGTTGAAGATGGCCATAGACACGGAGGTGCGGTGGCGCGGCGGTAAACTGGGTTGGTGCGGAAGGGCGAGGGAAGGGTTCTGTGCGGGGTTTTACGCAAAAGTTTGCAGCCGGTGCGACAGTGGCCGATAGCAGCCTCAGGACGAGCGTACAACAAGGGAGCGAAGAGGAAGGAGAGCCGGTAAGGGGAGGCAGCGGTTCTTGAAGCCACCGGCCTGCGAGATAGGAGCCGCGATCTGCGGTCGGGGAACCCCGGTCCCGGAAATGCTTGCCATCATGTGCGAGTCACGCCTCAAGAACGCCGCATCATGTGCCAGCACCACCTCTCATTCGTGGCTGCATCATCACTCAGTTGCGTGGTTCTGTCGCCAGCGAAACAGGCCATGCTCTACGAAGTAGAGTCGCGATTATCGGAATGAGAGCAGCCTTAGACAGAATAGAGTTCGTCCTGTGATAGACTTATCATCGTCATCAACACTCACCGGCCCCAGTGCGTTCAAAGTCTGGGACGCTTGCTTAAGCCCACAACCTTATTCCACTACAGTGTAGGATTTCAATCTCGAAACACAGCTTCTCCCGGTGAATGTACGAGGTGCAAGTTCAGAGCACCTATCCCTAGGCTTGAGGACCAGGAAATACCACTTCATCGCGGATCGAGCATCAGAAAATAACTCCAACACCATCATGGAGGCCGTGGTATCCAGCATGTCGTCCACGCCGACGCTCTACTTCGGCTACGGCAGCAATCTCTGGCTCCACCAAATGGCACAGCGCTGTCCGACCTCCGAGTACCTAGGAGTAGCGCGCCTGCCCAACTACCGCTGGATAATCAACGACCGCGGCTACGCCAATGTGGTCCAATGCCGCGTGCCCAGCGATACCAAAGACCCGGTCGAGGAAGTCTACGGCCTTGTCTACAGCCTCCTGGAGAACGATGAAGCGCGACTGGATGTGAATGAGGGCGTCCCTATCGCGTACACGAAAGAGCATCTGGAAGCCGAGTTTTGGCCAGCGGAGAAGGGGGTTGGGAGTGGCTGGGTTAATGTTACGATGGAGCCGCAAAGAACGGAGATGCTGGTCTATATCGACCGCGAACGGACAGAAGACGACGTACCCAAGAAGGAGTACTGTTTCAGAATAAATGAAGGCACCAAGGATGCGTTGAGGTTGGGCGTGCCGCAGGACTACGTGGACCGCGTAATTAGGAGCTTCATCCCTGCCAAAAGCGATAAAGAGGCGGAGCAACTGGCGAGGAAGCAGGCGCTGGACTTTCAAGACGAACGCGAAGAGCCAGCTCCAATACTTGTTAGAGCTTGAAGACGAGCGGGAAGGCATAGAAAGCTATTCTGTTAGAGAGCTCTAGGCTGGCGAAATCGATGGTCTTTTCTTGAGAGAGCACGTTTTCAGTAAATACACAGACTCAATAAATCTTAGCTCAAGGGCTTTCTGAGAGGTCTTTGCCGTATCTTGCATGCTGGACTTCTGAGCATATTCACGAGTAAGCTGGACTCTCCGTGATGTCAAGGTACACAGTGAGGCCGATTTAATACGATAGACGGCATGGGAGATTTAGTAGTTGACCATCTCAAATATTGGCAACCGAGATGGAGTAACGCGTTGTTCTCCATGGTTCAATCATATTCTTCGTAATCTGACATGTCCGCTGTATACACCCAACTTGACTCTGCTCGGCTTGCGGCATTCGTATCCGTTACATCCATATCGAGCGGCGGTGATGTGTCTTCATCCGCTGTCTCACTTGTACTCATCGCCGGTGACACCTTTCCAATGGTTGTTTCTGCGGCACTCGAAGCCAGGCCATGATCCGCCACTTCCTGGTTCGCCAGATGCGTGATGCCCGGCCAGAGCCGTGCGCCGTTTTCTCGTGCGCGTAGAAAGAAACGTGCTGCTCTTTTGGTCTCTTCATTCCTCTCTGCATCTTTCTGCCTTGACCGGCGATCCGAACCAGGGTAAGCACCCTCGCTGTCTGCCTCGGGAATATCTTCTGGTGTCGCAGGAGTGTTCTTCATAAGGTCACCCATCCACAAGGCTACCATGCCCCGGAGTTGCAGCAGGTCCGGGTGCTTGTCATAAGGCGGTGAGAGAAGCAGCTCATCTAGCCTTGCTGCTATGTCTGCTGCCTGCTTTAGCTCAGTCCGTGTGATGTTCGCCAGCTGCTCCTGATGCCGATCGCCGGACTCATCGTCACTTTCGCCGTCAGTCTCTGCATCCTCCTTAAGAGCTTCGCGCGACTGTCGGCTAGTCTCACAAGCCCCAAAGATCCAGAGACTGAACATGGCGGGGTAGAAAGTGGTGGCGCTGATGGCGTGGGGATGTGTCCGGCTTCCCGGATACTGTATTATCAGTTGTTCGTAGTACTCTCTAGCCGCTCTGAAGCCGTGGGCTGTGAACTGGGGCTGCGGACGTGAAGCCAAAGGCGCATCACTAGAATGGCTGCTAGAGGTACTACGCTCTCGACGATTCCCGATAGCCGGACGCGTCTGGGCATCGCGATAGAGTAGCAGTTCGGCTCCAAGGCCCCATCGCCCATGAGCCCTCACGTCGAGCGCCCTGCTCTGCCGCTCGAGCTTCCTAATGAGGTTCCAAGCTCTTCCTGCGCGTTGGTAGTCGCCTTCAAGTAGACAACGATGGAGCAAAGTAGTAAGAACCGCAAGGTGACGCGGCCCTGACATTTCTGGCTTGCTGTCAGTGCTTCTGCCTGGAAGATCCCCGCCAGACAAGGCATTAGCCGCATAGAGCGGAGGTTTAAATGCGGCCAGCTCTTCCTGCACATTGGACTCATGGCGCTTGGTGGAGGATAGCGTTGCAGATGCATGCGGGAACGGCGGCGGAGGCAAGTCATGATCGGGTGCATGGCCTGCAACGCGATATTGCTCAGCGTTTTCGGTTGTCAAAGCAGTAAACCCCGAGCGGGAAGATTGGTCTTTGGTGGTGTCAGGGGAATCTGAAGAGTGCCCGTCATCTGACTCGTCTGAGCCTTCATCCTGCCTCTTTCTTTTCCGAAGCTTTCTGTATTGGTTCGCACGCAGCGAGGATTGCCTGTGCAGTTGGGTTGGTTCCCATGAGACAGCGAACGCGGGTGACATGATAGTAGTCGAGTGCTACTTGGTGAATTACCACAAACGTCAATCTTTCCGCTGACTGACTGACGGTTGAGAGAAGACTGCGCCTCTTCACATGCAGCGTGTCAAGCGGGTTTGACAAGAGGCAAACGGCGGGCGGTGATAGGCTTCAGCCTCATGCTTAGCGTCAGCCGACGAGCACTGAACACGACTGCCATCACTCTCACTCACTCAATCCTCACCACCCTCACCACCCTCACCACCCTCAACCCCCCTCGAACCCGCCGGACACCCCTTCCTTCCTCTCGTGCCTCTGTGGTCGCTCTTGCGAGATGGGCCAGACCCCATCACGAAGCTCGCCTGCTCCTGAAGCCAGACGCAGGAACCGCTCGTCATGGCTGCCGCGCCCGCTCACCAGCACCAGCAGATCTGCCACCGAGCCTTCACCTGAGCCTCAGTCTCTTGTCCGCTATGACACACCAACCTTCAGCCCTGCCGCCGAATTCTCAGCAGCTGCTCAAGATGCAGGCACAACGAGCTCCTTCACAAACCTCACCCGGCGAAGCCGACTTTCTCTCAACCGAGCACGCACAACCCTCACCACCTCCATACCAAATCTCCTTACCCGCACTACATCGATCAGATCGCGGCCGCGAACCGACACCAACGCTCCTTCTTCCCGGTTCTCCCTGATGTCTAGGCCGCCACCGCGACATTCCTCCAGCGACGGGCCAAGTTTCCACCTTCCTACCCTGCAGGTCCCCGAGCTTGACATCAACTTCGAAGATCCCACGCCCGATCCTGAGCCTATAATACGTCCTAGTCCCCGGAGGGACCGCTCATCGAGCATCTTTCCCGATCGGATATCCTCACGGCCGGACAGGGGGATACGAAACATGACGAGCTCACTGCGTCGACGGAGGTCTCCGATCACACGTGGCGAGGATCAAGCAGCAATGCTGTCCCGCCTGCTGTCGGTTGCTGCAGCAGCGACCGCTGCTACTCTGATGGGCGAGGATCACCGGGCAGTATCGGAAGCACGGAACGCGGCAGGGGACGATGAAGATGGAACATTCGATAGCTTTCTACAAGCCTTACAAAACGGCAGGATAGCCTCAGCCTTACGGCAAAGTGGCAGTGAGGCTGAGGATGAGCCAGATGCACCCGAGGGCACGGCCGCTCCGCTCAACTTCTTCAGGATGTTCAGATTTGGAACTTCCAGCAACAACAGGCAAGACGGCACACCAGGAGGGCCCGACAGTCGTAGCGGTGGAGACGGCGGGCAGTCAGGACGGCAAGATAGTGAAGGGGAGACCAACGATGGGCGAATGGTACCCATCATAATAGTCGGCATACGCTCCATCACCCCGAGCAGCGGCAACATTCAAGACGACACCATACCACCGTTCCTGGACGCCCTTTCAAGCATACCAACACCGTTCGCTTCCACGAATGACACCACCATCGATGGTATCCTACGACAACCGCAAAACGGGACGAGGTTCAGCCATCGACGCAGAGCTTCGATGGGAGGCCTCGGTACTTTCCCTTCAAACTACGACAGCCAACGCCACCATCGGAGCCCCGACCGCCCTCGGCCTTGGTCAACCTTCTCAGATACCCTCTCTGGACCTCGCCCACCTCCCTCGACGCCAGCCAGCCAAGGCCTCTCAGCGTTCTCGACCGGTAACACAACTCCAACAGTAACCACCACGCCCTCCTCTCCACTCATACAATCAGCAGTCCCGTCCCGCCGCGCAAGCTTCATCAGACGGCCCACAGGAGACCTCGATTCAACAGGCGAGGAGCCACCCACGCAGCCTCGAACCGCTCGTCAACGCAGACTAAGCGAATCCGACTTCACCCGCTTCGGCTCCGGCGCACCCCGTCGAAACGGCGTCGTCGAGCCCGATCATAACCCAGGCGAGGGCTCCCGAAGCTGGATCATCTACGTCCTCGGCGGTAGCTATCCCGAAAATCATCCCATACTCACGACGCCCAGCCTCTTTACGGACTCGCCAACGTATGAGGATATGTTGCTGCTCTCGGCTTTGCTGGGGCCGGCGAAGCCGCCTGTGGCGAGCGAGGCAGATGTTGCCTCTGCGCCGGGTCTGTTCAGGATTGCGGGGACGGCTACGGAGATGGTTGCGAGGGCGGTGGAGGGAGACGAAAGCATCCCGTTGACGGCTGAGCAGCGCTGCTTGGTCTGCTTGTGTGAGTTTGAGCTGGAAGAGGAGGCGAGAAGGCTGGTGAAGTGCGAGCATTTGTTTCATCGGGAGTGTATTGACCAGGTATGTCCCCCTTGCTCGGGCGCATCATTACCCGGGCTAGGAACACTGACACAGAGCAGTGGCTTACCACCGGTCGCAACTCCTGCCCGCTCTGCAGAGGCCAGGGCGTGGACGAGAAGGAGAAGACAGCTGACACCTCGTCGACGGATGAAGAGTCGACCACACCGCCCTCACCCGCATCACCCGCGCCCGTTGCGTAGCAGAGCAGCGGCGACGCAACACCAATCGATGAGCGCTCTCTGACAGCCCTGCAAAACAGCGGCCCGAAGCAGAACAACACAACTAGTGCCGCCGCTTCGACTTGACATTTCTCAAACTTCACGAATGTACTTTTTGAATTTGGCAGCGCCTTCCTTTCATTCCCCATATACACACAATATCTTATCTTATCCCCAATACGTTCAACCCACCCGCTAACATACGGGGTTGCTTTTGCACGGCGTTCAGCGGACAGGGGCAGGGCGGGCAAATTTGAGAAATGACGGGTGGAGCATAGCTGGGCTGAAAATCCAGACGGCGTATTTTTTGCAATCTGTTCTGGTTTCTTCTTTTCGGGCCGATCGAGGGAAAGACATGTGGATGAATGATTACGATTTCTTTTTAGTCACGGGGCGGCAAAGGAGAGAAAGGTGGTGGTGTGGTTCTGGCTGTTCATAGCGGGGGCGGGGGGGGCTGGGATGGGGATTGGGGGATAATTGAATATGATTTTCGGAGCGGGTACGCTTTGTGCTTGAAACTTTTGTCAACGGGCGTGTCTGGGGTGGCTTGAGTGATGCGCGAGATTTCTTGATGATGATCTTGATGATGGTAATGATGATGGTTGAGCAGCGAGGATGGTGGAGTGTGTGAGTGGGCTGAGTGGTAATCCGGCGGCACGCACTCATATGAAACCACATACTCGTGGCTGTATCCACGCTGGCTCGCTCTGCTCTGTAGTCCGAGGGACTTGATTTGATTATTGTTGGTCGTATCATGGCTTGCGGGTACAGTAGAGACGTATGCATCCCATGGAGGGACCTGAGGCCGAAACTGTCTTCTGTGGTCTTACGGGTCTCAAGAATTGCCCACTTGGGGGCTGGCCATGTCTCTTGGCCTGGTTTGAGGAGCATGCGTTTCGAAAATTCGTCCGTCACGGTGAGTAGCATGTCGAGTCCGTCCTGTGTTAGCGGCATCTTGGGCATGAAGCCCGCACGTAATCGCGTAAAAGGGTACAGCCGGAGTTGCGATTGGAGTGAGCTCGCCATATGGCTGGTGTCTTTTCATTTGCTTCAGGAGGCACTCAGGACAATGGCATATCCACGCCTTGAGGTTTGGCCCACATCCTGTATCGAGGAAGTCGGTGGAGGTTATCTCTTGATCGATGGTAGCTTGTGTGGAGCTTCTTATCATGATTCTTATCATAATAGAAGTCGAACACCCCCTTCTCCACCGTTGATGAGATGCAGGAAACTCCCTCTTCCAGACGACTCCCGCTTGCGTAGTACGCTCTCGCTATTTCACGGCCGTTAGAACTTGGAGGATAGCGAGAACGATGACAGTAATAAGTTGAACTACGAGGACAACGACTGTTGATACGGTTTTACCCTCTACTGCGATTTCTATGCTGGCTCGTTCTGCTCGGAGGATTTGTTCTAGTGCTCATGGTCCTGCTACGACTGATAAATGGCCGTGCGATGCAACTGGGAATTTTGAGTCGCATGCTTCCTGAGGAGAAGTTGGAGGGTGTCGCCGATTGACCCGGTCTCGAGTACGCTGTCTTCCGCGGCCTTTTGATTGTTTGAAGGGTTGCTCTAGGATTGCCTATTCCGGACGATCAGCGCGCTTTGCGTGGATCGCCTTGCTCTTCTATGGTCGTTCGATAGCAGCGACACCAAGATGACAATAACAGAGACAGATACGGGGACATCAATCATGGCGAGCAGGTGCGCCCCGGCGAGCGTCAGTGGTATAGCGCCGGTCAAGAAAGGCATGCATCGGGATGATAGCGTTAAGGACAACGTTGGCGACGACTGAGCCAAGCAGAAATTAGGTGCCCTGGCAGTATTCAGCCCTAGAGCGCAGATCAAAAGAGGCAGGCGTTCGGAGCGACGGCGACAGCAGTGATAACGGTGACGACAGATTTGTAGTGAAGATGGGTGCCCTAGCGATTTTCAGCATCACAGTGCGGCGGAAGGAAATCGACATGGACTTAGCCCTGTATTCTATCATTGATCGTCGTCACACTTGATCGTCTGCAGTATCCGCATGGACAAACTTTGAGAGGAACTGAAGTGGTATTCGTCAAGCAGAGCTACATCACAAGTTCCGTAGAAACCACATCACCAACCAGCCGCACCACATGAGCGGTACTTATCCGTACCGGCCCCACCGAGCAGACACGTTGCGTGCCCTGCGAGCAATTTTACCGTCCTGGTGATCATCATCGAACTTCCTCTTCTTCTGGCGCTTATCTGCTGCTACGCTGATCGATAACTTTTGCAAGTTGGTATAGCCAAGTCTAAGCGCCCGTATCTCCATATTATCGTGAGCGCGGACATAAGTCTCTCCTGCACGCGGGAAACACCATCCCTTCGTTGCAAGGAACTTGCGCGTTCTCTTTACATGAATCAATATACCACCCTTGTCCTTTCGTTGCGTCCCGGGGTCCGGATGCATCAACCTATTGGCGATGTTACACGTGCCGCGGGTGGACTTGTCCACAAAACGGTAACATATATGGTATTTCGATCCGCAAGATCTGTCGCAGGGTTTGTCGCCACACAAGTGACGACCGCATGTCGGGGATAAGACGTCGCGGTACTCTTCACATCTCGTGTTGTTTTACGCACTGTGCTCATCCAGATACGGACCACGGTGATATCTGTTTGTGGTTACGATCGAGAAGACCGAGATGAAACCTGGGCTTCGTGCCGTCAGTGCGCCCAAAAGGATTGCAGGACCGAGTGAAGCGTAATGAGGTGTACGTTGACATGGCGGTAATGTGCCCTAAAATTGTCTGGAATGATCTTGTTCGTCTTGCGTTGGAAGGTGGAAAATGGCCTTGGTAAAGAATAAACATATGATAGTGTTAGATGTAGTCCGTTGGCTCAACGGGCACCAGCACTAAGATGCCCGAGACAGAGATCATAGGGGGAGAGAGAGGTTACGAGGCCACGCGAAGTGACTGAAGCGTATGCTATCCACAACACCAAACGCTAATCGAACATATGGATTGAGCTTGTTCCCTTGAAGTGATAGCTCCATGCTTATTTGACGATTTGTCAGTGCCGAATTCAGTTCTTCCGAGTGCTCGAACCACTCGATCACTCGGTGTGGTGAGGCACACTTCGGAGAGGTCGTTTCATGAGTTCCTCCCTTCGTTCTTGTCATTTGAGATCAGCAAGCCCGCTCTTGGCAGCTGTCGACCCCGGACTTTCGCACCATTTTCGATTCCGAGGCACAGTATTCAGGTTGTAAGAGATCTGAGTTCGGTATCGTGTGTTGTTCATTTTCTCAGGCAATCGGAGATTATTGCGGCGATGGCGGCGATGTCGTGCACCACTTCCGCCCTGTTGGCTTACGCTCAATCTCATCCTTGGACAACTTCAAGGCCATCCTGTCTGGCGGCTTTCTTCTCATACTCCCCGGGTCGAGCGTTAGCGTACCCCAGATGTTGTGGAGCGCTGGGCTTGTTACAGCTAGAGTGCATGTTGCTCTTTCAGTGTTTTCCCCCGCAAAGATGAACCGCTGGTAGCCTTTACTGGGGCCATCAGTTCCCACGACTTCTGCAACCTTGCCTGCTAGGCTGCTACTATATTCAAGGAAGGTCACAATTGAAGTTTTTTTTTTCAGCTCAGACTGATCAAGAACCCCACTAATGGACTTGAAAAATAGCCAGGTTCGGGAATCGCTGAGTTTCACAGCATTGATCAACAGCTTCGTACGGTAGACGGAGCCATGCCGGAAAGTCACACCTAGCGGCACTTGAACAGCAGGGGAGGAGCTTGTCAGCACGTGGACCATTCCACAGAGACGGCCAGCGGAGCGCCTTAGTCTGGTGCCAAGTGAAGCTTCTCATCCACACCTGGCACTTCCCGTAGTGCCCAGCTGCTTGTCTTGTCTGTGTGCTGCGCTTCGTGCATCGGAAAAGTACTCAGACCACCAGGTGCTCACATGCAACAAACGTTCACTCGCTGTTGTTCTGGAAGCACGCTACGAGCCTCTCCATTCTTCTTTGAGTCTCACGCGGGATACGTCACAATCGCTGATTCTCTTAAACTATGGGTCACCTTACCCCTAGGACAGGCAAGATGCATCAAGACCCCATTCACGATGAGGCCTCTCAGCAGCACCAAAATATTCACCGTGCTAGACTACCTGCCCTGTTGCGCAGCTCCAGCACCTCGCCAGCGCTCCTCTGTGTAAATCATTCCAGCAGCGCTCTGTGCCTGAGTAGGCAATCTAAGACAGCATCAATATTGACCCTGGTTGCAGCTGCGACTTCGACCACCGCCATATTGCTGTGCTTCATCACAATGAAACCAGGCACCAAGACGCCAAAGATCTGCACCTCAGCGAATCCCCGTGGGTACATGCATGCCCCTCTGTTGACGTGAGACTTCCCGGAGGTGGGAAGAGGTCGGAAAGTCGGCCGGCCTCACATGACCTGGCGTTTCTAGGGTTCGTCTATTGTAACGACATTAACCACGGCTCGTCATGGGGGGGCTGTTAAAGGTTTGATGCTCACCTACGGCTGGCTGTCAATCCAGTTGCGGTTGTTTTGGCGTCCATCTGGCGTCCGGCAACTGCCACAAAGCTCCGTATGGCAAAGGCTGAGTATGATGCCCATGATTCGTCCTAGATCGGAAACGTCCCAGCGCCTTGAGGGGCGTCGGCGTAGCCACCCGTTTAGGTTCTTAGGCCTCAGTGGTCCCAGTCTCCAGCAGCAGGTTCCAGGATTCGGCGTACCGCTATGATGTTAGAGGGCTCTCCATGCTAGCCATTTTCCGCAGTAATAGGCTTGGAGCGTCAGTCTTTCCATTTACACAACATCTGCATTCCACTGCTGCCATCTTCCCCTTCGAACATGCCGCGCAAGCCTGTCTATCTCGGGCCTTGCTGCGCCGGAGGCCTAACCACAAGCCCATCCCGCTTTGCCGGGGGCGCACCGCGCACTTCCACAACCGGGATCAGCGTCCAGGGTTCTGGATTCTCCAGGTGAGCGGCGTAATCAACAGCTTCGTGATCAGAGCTTTTCCTTCGCTCGTACGCGTGGCCGGCCACAGAACGCAGACCACTCATCAAGTAGTGTTTCAGGAGTCTGAAGACCAAACCTCCAGTATGGGCCTTGCCTGGCCTGCTAGAGCAGCAACAAGCACAAGAGCACATTCAGGCACTGGTGCTTGAGCTGTGCGTGCTTTCTGAGGGCTGCGAAAAGCCGTTTCAGGATTGCACGCCGGCCGTTGCTGGCGCCCTTGGCCGAGATTTTTCGCATTCACCCACACCGTCCTCAACGCTCCTCTTAGCCCTACCTATGCAGGGATCACGCTCTTCCGGCTGTCATCCAGAGGAATCCGCCGAGCAGGGGCTTTGCCGCGGGATCGCCGCAGTACTTCTCCAGACAGTCTTCTCGCGGGTAAGTGATTTCTTTACCACTTCTCCTGTTTCGATGCTGCGTAGTCAACAGCCACTTTAACGCGAACCAGCATATTCGCAAAACACATGTCGATACGAACGAGGCTGCGACTATGTAAGCAGAGCTGGCTATCTCCGCCGTCCCGCATCTCCATCGTCAACCGCGGATATGGCGGGCTACTACGACCACAACCCAAATTTTCCACCGTATTACCAGGACAACAGTCAGATCCCACTGCAATCGCGTGGCTACGATCCGAGGCTCCACCAGTTCCAGGCGCTGTCGTCCGACCACCTCAGCGTAAACTATCCCGAATATGATGAGAGTAGTCGGCCTTTGCTCGTCGCGCAAGGCTCTGCTAGAGCTAGACGTAGACACATCGCTAGCGGTGAGCACGTCAAGCATCGCCGAACACGAAGCGGCTGCTATACTTGCAGGACAAGGCGTGTGAAGGTAGAACACTCCCGCAATGTCTCACACACCATGGACTTACCGGTGTGTCTAGTGCGATGAAGCGCATCCTGTATGCGAAAGTGCGTAGGAGACGGCGCCTCAAGGCCAATAGTCATGTCGCTAATTACATCGGGGCTAGGATGTCGAAAAGGCAACAGAGACTGCGTCTACCCAGAACCGTCAACGACCTCGAAATCATCCCGAAGCAGTGCCAAGGCAAAAGACTCACCCCAAGACAGTGAAGAATCTGGAGACGATGCCGAGCACGACGAAAAGGGAGCGCTCGAGTCTATTCCTGACGAAGAGGATTCTCCGGAGGAAGCACCGTCGGATTACCATCGAGCTTCTGTATCCTCAGCCAGTCAATCCATGCGGGAAGTGTCAGATCCACCATCTTTAACGTACGGCAAGAGTCCAACACCCTCTACCGAAGGATCACACTCCCTAAGCAGTGGCAGCATCCCTCAAATACGCCCATCGATCTCAAGCACTAGCAATCGTCCATCAGCCCGGAAACTTGCTCCCAGCAGATCTTGGTCAGACCTACCGCCCGACCTATTGTACTACATCAATTACTATCGCACGAATATGTCACACTATCATCTCTTCATCAAGAATGACAGCACAGATTATATGCGGACGACTTTTGTGGAGATTGCAACTCGAAACGAACCCCTCTTGTATGCGGTGGTGGGTTTTGCAGCGTATCATCATACCCTAACGAGACCCGACGGGAAGATCCAGGACTTCTTGAAATACTACAACAAATCCATATCGTTACTTCGAGTTTCCATACAGCGGAATCAGCGCCAAAATGTTGCGACACTGCTAACAATTCTCCAGCTGGCTAGCTTCGAGGTATGACAGCTACCGTGTAACGCTTTAACGTAGCTGCTGACGTTTTTCAGGAATATCTCGGCGACTGGGTTAACCTGTTGGGCCATCAGAGAGCCGCTTACGAGATACTCACGAGCCTCTACACGCCTCAGACGGTCATGCAAAACGAAACGCTGCGCAAGATCCTGCAGTGGTACATCCGGTTCGATCTCTATGCGAGCGTACTTGCTGGTTGCGGAACCATTCTTGGCCGAGATTGGGTCGCAGCCGCATACGGTTACTACGTGCGACAGGCTCTCGAGAAGCCGAACGACATTGAAAACAAGTTCGAGGAACGCATCTTCCGGTCTCGGCTTCTAGCGACCGACATAGCGATCCTGTTTTCTAAGAAAGCCAGGGGCACAATCGACGATGACGGCTTCGCGATCGAGTGTGATGACTTACGCCGACAGTTCGACTCGTACGAAAGTCAAATCGACCCTGTTCTGCGTGATCCGAGCAAGCTGGTTATTGGTTTTGTTGGCTCCCCTTTGCAAGACTTGGATGGGGATGTGGGTGGCCGGAAGGAAATGCTCTATGGACATGATGTCTTTACGACGAACTTCCTCTTGGTCGATTTCTGGGCTATGGACCTCATGTTCAAGCACCATCTCCTGACCGCGGGGCTCCTGGCACCAGCTGATGCAGCAGGGCTTACACCAAAAGCACTAAAGGTGTACAACATGTTTGAGGCTATCGCGCGCTACCCTCATAGTCCGCCAGGTGCAGTACTGGCAGCGCAGGCGAGTCTGAATGTGGCTTCCTTCTTTCTCCCAAAGGAGGAAAAGTATCACATGTGGACGCGGAGGAATCTCGCAAAAATCGAGGCACTTGGGTAAGTGTTCTAGTATTCTACTTAGATCCATGCTGACCGCGTTGGACGCTTAGCTACATCTACCCGGCCACCCTCCGCGGGAAAATATCCGAGCACTGGGGAGTCGATTGCCACTGGTGGTGGCTTCCCAATGACGAGGGCCTTCCGCCGATCATCCGGACGATGAGGAGGTTCATCGAAGAACGGACAATGGCTCCAAAGGACCAAGCAGCGGAAGACTTGCGGGAGATGAAGGGCATCTTCAAGTTCCACTCGCTCAGCATAAGCGACAGTCCCGGATCCACCGAGAGCCAAGGCACACATATGGATACTAGTGAGGTGCTTACTGACCAAAGCCCCGACGGGGCCTCGATGCCGCTCGATGATTCTCTCCTTTACAACGCGCAACCGGACCTCAGTTGGGGTGTTGGAGACGACCGGTTCACAGGATATTGAGGCAGAAAGTGCTATCGAATCCGTCAGTCGGTGGTGTACCAGAGCTGCCTGTCCCTCCCTTTGCGGTCGCTACCCCAGACAGCCGGCGGCGCATTACCGCCGCAGCGGCGGGTTACCTAGACCTTCCGGTCAAGGCGATGAACACATTGGCTCTGTTAGCGTAGCGCGAATGCGGGCAAGCACACCTAAGGGCGGTACCGTATGTCATACCGGCGCCCAGCGGCCCTCCGACACTCCTTAAGCCTTTCGGTCAAAATCCCTGTGTGTATTCCACGTCCCAGGTTATCTAACAATCATTCCATCACGACATCACGACATCATGATATTAGCAACAACGGCAACAAAGGTTTTTCTGTCTTCCATTTCGACAACCACAAAATCAGGAAGCACGTGAAGGCTCTTCAGCAACAACGCCACTCCGCGCTTCCGCAAAGCATCGTTGATACCCACATCGTTTTAGCGTTCCGATTGACCAAGCAGCGTTAGCTTCCGCGTATATTAGCACCAGCTTCATTGGCTGTTTTGGTTCTGTCTCGAATGGCTCGCGCCGTTTTGTATGTTTTGAGAGCATGGTTGGTAGCATGACTTTAGACAATAGCACTTGCCCCCGCACCGGACGCTCATACACCCCACGAAGGAGGGAATGTTGTTGGGGGGCAGGGGGAAATGGTTCTGCGGAACACGGGTCACATGAGCGCTCGTTGATCAATTCAGCTGATAGTTCATGATATTCAAGGCCTGATATCAAGTATAAGGTAACAACTAGGAAGAAATATGCCAAAGTTGCGTCAAAGACCCAGCCGTGAGAACAACCCAGATCGCGCTGCAACCGCTGTACTGCTTTCGCATATGGGATTCGAGCGCTGCCTCTCCGCGTAACACGGACAGCATGTAATCACGTGACAGTCGGGCTCAATCACCGACAAGGCAGCATCCGCCCTTCATCCTGCGCTAGGCACATCTACGATCCTTCGCGGCTCTTCCGGTAGTTTGCCTGTAGCGGCTACAGTTAGCCAAAGGTTCATGCGAATGAAGCCCCCAAGCTACACACCTCTTGCTCCACCTGCAGCTGGTCCACAACAGGCGCCAGCTCGCTCAGAATCTCGTAAGCCTTCTTGTGGTATTCGAACTGCGCCGCGATGAGTTCGGCGAGGTTGCGGAGTGGCTCTGGCGTATCGAGAACCTGCGCAAAGGGGCCTCTGTTAGCCGACTTGCTCTGCGTCTCTCGCACCTCAAATGCGCTGAAGCATCAAGCTGGATTAGGAGCGAAGGGACGACTCGCATTTTTCATCACCCCCACGGCTTCCTCCGTCACCGCCACGAACTCATCCTCCGCGGCCTCAATCTCCTGCCTCGCCTCCTCACTTATATGCTCGTCGTCATGTCCCTCCTTTCTCGCTTGTCCAGGCAGAGTAAACCCAGCCCCGCCCCTCGCCCTCGCCTTGGTCGCATCCAAATTCAACCGCGCATTCTCCACGTTCTTGCGAGCCCGTGTCGCAAACATCAGGTTCGTGTTCAGCGTCGTGCTCCACCCCGCCAGGAACCTGCTCTGGATCTGCGCATCTTGGTTCAACCGCGCCTCGCCCACCTTCTCCGCCGCGACGGCGAACTTCTCCAGCCCTGTCGCGAGAGGATCTTCGCCGATACCCTGATGGTTTGCCTCCGCCGCCAAGACGTGTGAAGCGTTGAGCGCGGCGCGCGCCTGGGCGTGCGCGAATGTCTTGGGCTGCGGCTTCGCGGACGCGGGGGCTACGAGTGCGGCTTGTGCTTCGGCGGGTGAGTTGGCGGAGGAGAGGAGCTGGACTTTCTCGGCGACGGTGCGGCCCAGGTCGTTGAAGGACTCGCGCAGGTTGGAGGGGTAGTCGTAGGCTTCGTGGGTGTAGTGAGAAGTTACTTGGAGCATCTTCTGGTGGACGGCTTTGAGGGCATCGACGCGCTTTTCGAGCTCGATGTAGTCGGGGGGGAGCTGGGTCTGAAGTAATCGGGTTTAGCTGGAAACTCATAGTTGGGAACGAGGTCGTCTGGATGCAAGGATCGCTGGGCGCTGCTGACGGGGCCACTATCGTACCTTCTCCTCAGCTTGCCCCAGCTGTTCCTTGACATATTGCTGCGTGCGGGCAGCGAAAGGCGTGAAAGAAGCGCTTCCCGCCTGTTAGATTCCGTTTGATTGATACGGGGTGTGCAAGGGGATGTCTACCTGAGATTCTTCCCGAATGCTCCTAGGTTTTTGCTGAAGCCTTCCATACTGAAGGTTTCCGGAGCAGCCAAAGTACTAGTCGTTGGGCGCTTTATCAGTACGAAGCTGTTGTTGGTGATGTGGTTGCAGCCTGCCAGTGCGCTCTTTGCATGTGCTGAGAACCCCACACGTCAGGCGGGAAAATAGCCTCACCGCCAAGGCGATCTAGCGCTCTTTCACCGTCAACTTAACAAAGTAATCTACCATCAGCAGCTGCAATAACTCTTAGAAGTTTAACGATTGAACCGAAAGCCTTAGATAAGCTGTTCGGACCGTCTTATGGAGCACTACGGTGATACTAAAGGGAGCATTATTACTGACGCAGCCTGTAATTCTATGACCGCGGTGAGGCCATTTTCCCGCTTCTTGCGTCCCATAAACACCCGCCTTGCCTCTTCGGGCATCCAGCCGCGTGTTGAAGCCGCCGGTCACGTGATTAGAGACGCTGACTGCGGTACACTTGGCGTACTGTCAAACCCATCCACCACACATCGTTTCTCTCTGGTCTTGAGCCCAAAATCTATGTGGGAGTCTTTCAGTGAACATGCCGATCTCATCTCATAGTCATTCTGGGCAGTTCTGCGGCCATGCCAAAGATACTCTGGAAGAGGTGGTGAAGACCGCAATATCCCTTAGGATGGAGACGTTTGCAATGACGGAGCACATGCCGCGCGACGAGGAAGACCTGTACCCAGAAGAAGTGCGTAGTTGCTGCCATGTCCTGCTCAATGGTCGAGTCCTGACAGTCCGGTCAGGTCGAAATCGAGCAGACGGCTGCAGGTCTCGTCGATCTGATGGACCGCTACTACGCGGAAGCTGTCCGCTTGAGAGATCTGTATGCACCGCAGATTAAACTTCTCGTGGGGTTTGAGTCCGAGTGGATACGGCCGTCCTCCGCCGGACTTGTAGAGCGCCTCCTTCAGCAGTATCAGTTCGACTTATTCGTCGGCTCAATTCACCATTTACACACGATACCCATTGACTTCGACAAACCACGATATGAAGCCGCTCGGAAGATCTCCGGTGGAACAGACGAACGTGTGTTTGAAGATTATTTTGATGAACAATATGTCATGCTGCAGACCTTGAAGCCGCCTGTTGTAGGCCATTTCGACCTCATACGGTTGTTCAGCAATGACCCTAATCGAAGCTTCAAACTTATGAAAGGTGTATGGAGAAAGATTTTGCGCAATCTTGAACTTATAGCAGGTTACGGAGGCCTTGTGGAACTGAACTCGGCCGCCATTCGTAAAGGCATGAGCGAGCCGTATCCCAAAGTGGAGATCTGTGAGGTACGTACATCGGGGAGGCGGGAGTAGTTTCCGGATCTCTCCAGTTTACCTTACAGATCACTCATGTATCGTAGGAATTCCTGAGGTTAGGGGGTCGCTTCACCTTATCTGACGACAGCCACGGTGTGGAGCAAATCGGCCAGAACTACCATCGAGTGTTCGAAGCGATTACCAGAGTCGGCATTCAAGATATACACTACTTCGAACGAGGCAGCGAAAAGGCCGACGAGCGATTTGGGCATGTCAGAGTTCGCGGTCATAGCGTAGCTTCGCTTGCTAATCATCCTGGGTTTGCGGCTCCGCATCGATGAAGGGTCATCGGAACAAGAACTCTTGGAAGCTGCCGTCGTAGCGCTCTGCCGCCACAGCGCGCCTGACTCGTGGCAAAGCATAGTCCCTCTGGAAGACCCGAGGACGAAAAAAGTCTTCCTTTTTGCGGCACGATCCACTATTATCTAGACGAACATCCTCAAGATTTCTGTGACAGCATGTCAGGGCAGAGCTTGTGACCAGCGCCGCTGGTCGATTTTGCTCATTGGTGGCTTGTAAGATGGCATCACCTTCACCATTGCTAGTCGTAGCCGAGCCTGAGCATCTCGGAGTTGTTCCCTTACCGAATCTGTGGGCGTAAGGTGAGAGGTGCGGATAAACAAACCGCTTCCTAGTTGCGCATGGCATACTTGAACCACTGGACGGTACCTCTCATTTCGAACACGGTCTCCGCCTATTAGAATGTGTCATTATGTGTGGCTTGGCTATCGATGTTCTTGGTGGTTGCGAGGCCGTTAGATTCACCGTACACTCGTACGATAGTTCGACTCTGATGTTTTATCCTGCCTTCCACATGCGGCGGAGTCTCTCCGTTTAACGTCCCGCAGCAGTGTGATTGGATGTTGTATTCCTCAGTGCATGTGGAAACCATGCCAAATATCTTCAAAGCACTGGATCGTGCTTGAATCCTGACATCACGGCCGCGGCACTCGTATCTGGAATGTCATTCCTTGGAAGTGAACATGAATCTTGTATGGGAAGTCAAGTGACCTGAGACATGCGCGGCGTTGCAGCCCAACTCAAGTCCCAAGCTCGATCTCCGCGTGGACGTGGGGTCAAGATATCAGCTTCGGCACGCTTACAGGGCTACATGAGTGGACGTTCTCTACCAGGGCCCTTGCGGCGGCGGCTGAGATGGCTTTCACCGTTTCCCCAGCCGAGTTCCCTATCCTTACCTTTGACGGGTTACGAGCAATATCATGCTGTGTAATGTATGTATATCTAGGCGTTGAATCCTACCAATCGCGAACTGTCTCCCGCTGATAGCTGACGATCAAGTACCACACCTCTGAACTAGCACTAGAGTTTACCTGGCCGTAGGAGTCGATGTCAATGTCACAGCAACCTTGAAACTTGGCGATATCACATTTTAGGTTCGTCGGCACCCGATCCCGCTCTGGCTGACAGATCCATTTCCGCACGTGGCCTCACCTGACCTCCAGCAGCCGCGCCCCCCGTGATAGGGATGCTGCAGGAGCGGGCTGGTAGCCCCCCCGGCTAGTCTCGTACTTTTTTGGCGGATGATGCGTATAGAAAGTACTAAACTAATCGGAACGCTCCCAGTGTGCTCATGCAGCACCCTTGTATGAAACGCCAACGCAGGGACACGCCCACGCCTGTGCTTTGGATATCAGGCCCAGGCCACTAAATTCCCCGGTGTGGTGGCGCTAGGATTAGTGGCGGATGCGCTACGTCGATCCGATTTGGCCGCTCCTCAGGCGGTCCTACTGCCGCTTGGCTGCTCCCTAGCTTTGCTAGAGCATCTGACGGGAGAGCCGGGAGATGGTGACAAGATAGGGCGATGGTTGGTGGCCCAAGCAGCCCTGGAGAAATGAGGAGACTGCTAGCTGTCCCACCGTTTTTCGGCCCACAGGATCGGGGGCACCTAGTGAGCAGCCACACTCCTAATGACTACAATCGCCCTTGCTAGACAAGCAGCAACCAAGATGAACCGTTAGCACATCCGAGTAGCTCTTTCCGCCCTTTGCGCTGGCGGGAACTAGGTCCCTCGGTCCTTGTCTTGACGCAACAGAGCCTCCCGGGGGACGGTGGTTTAAACGTCCCGTAACCCGTTCTCTCTCTATAAACCCGCTACACATTTCACTTCGTCCTTCGAATAAAAGAGTGAACCGCAGCAGAAGGCTGAAACAAGAGCAATAGTGTAGCAACTTCACTCGCCGCATCAGCTTCGTCAAACGTCAGAACAATGGGCGTCTTCAAGAGAGTTATCCTGAAAGGCAACGGCGTCGACAGGCCGGAGAAGGGCGACTCGGTGACCATGGAGTACACCGGCTGGCTTTACGACGAGAACCAAGCCAACAATGGCTACAAGGGCACGCAGTAAGTTCTCGAGGACCATAACGCGATCCAGTAGCCTCTCAGGTCGTCGTCAGCAAAGCTGGACCGTTAACTGACCTGTCTCAGGTTTGACTCTTCAATCGGCCGTGGAGACTTCGTGACCGAGATTGGGCAAGGGCGTGTCATCAAGGGTCAGTGTCCGTTCTCTATACTTGCTGTGTGCCTCACTAACATGCCTTCGTGGTTCAGGCTGGGATGACGGCATCATCGGTGCAGGCAACACGGAAGGCATGACGCTTGGCGAAAAGGCGACCTTGATCATTACCAGGTGCGGGATCTCTCTACCATATTGTGTTTTCGTCTCGTAGAGTAAAACATTTGACGCTAACACGCTCACAGCGATTACGGCTACGGCAGCCGGTGAGTACTCATCATCTCCCCGGTTCTAACATCTTCGCGGCATGAACAGAGACCCGGGCTGCCCATGGACGGTGTGACCAGTACTAACACGCCGTTTGTAAACAGTGGATTCCCAGGCCACATCCCTCCCAATGCGAGCTTAGTGTTGTGAGTGTCCAGCCATCCACCGACGTCGTAAATCACTTGGATCATTCAATTAATCCGCTACAGCGATGTCGAGCTCAAGGCCATCAACGGCAAAAAAGCATCGTAAACCGGCATTCGACCGAGTGCGTATCAGTCTGTCACAAGTTCGCCAGTGGACTGACGGTGATCATTTCGTCAATTCTTTCTGGAAGCAGGAGCCATGCATACCATAATTATGGCTTCTTGTATCCTGCTGAGGGCCTACAATTCAATTGGCCTCATAGTCCTGCATCTCTCTGCTTCATCTTTCCGTAGGACTTCGACGGCGTTCTCATTTCAAATATTAAGCAAGAACTGAAGACTGTGAGAAGGAACACGCAGCAATGCGGAGGCCGGGTCTCGGTAACAGCGTTGGACTGAGGGTTTTACGGTTGTTTTCCAGGGGTATTACAAGGGTTTGTTCTCTCTACATACACAGGGTAGTTTCTCAAATTTCTGTCTTTCCGAAAACAACCAAGACTTCATACGGTCACATACCTGACGTCCGTGCCAACGGCCGTCAAATGCATTAGACCACACAATCCGCATATTCCTCGAGAAGGCTTGAACTGCCCGCAGTGCATCAGTGAACCGCCAAGACGAGTTGGACGTGTCTTCCTTGTGCAGCCTGAAACGCGCGAGGCGCTTCCAACGCTGATTCCAAAACCCGACTCCTTCCTTCCCGCCCGGGCCGATCCCCTCAGCCAAAACGCTCTACTCGCATCGCAGAAGCACGTTCGCCCGACTTTCTGAAGTCAAAACTTCAACGCTCTGAACATTCCATCAAACTGAGACGTGGCGCCAACGCTCTTCTTACATGCGCCGCAGCCGCGTCACGGGGTCTGCAATACGCTTCCCGTCTCACACCTCAGCAGTCGCCCCCAAGGCGCTCTTCCGAGCAGCCGATCACAGCGCCTGCCGAACGGTCTGACCGTTGTGAGTGCAGGGGCGCTTGTCGCGTCTTTGATGCACCCTGCAGCCGCAGCAGGCTGTCACAAGTGGCAGCGCCATGCATATATGCCTAGGGCTGCATTATCACTGCTTGTAAAGCTTTAGCCCATCCTTTGCGATTTACCCTTGTGGAAGGAGGCCAAGATCCACGACTCCAATCAGCAGCGCCTTTCCACATGAAGGGCTATCAAAGACGGCAGAGAGAGGCACAGCGAGCAATGCACGAATCGCGCGGTGGCAATGCACCTCATCTTGGCAAATCAGACAAAACAAACGCAACCTCTACAAACGTCTGACGGCGTTCCCGACGGGAATTATCACAAAAAAGCAACAAGACACCTTCTTAACGCCGGGGAACACGCCAGGAATTAGATTAATGGCCCCCGGATCACAGCTAGCAAACCTTAAAAACGGCGCTGCGTGGCGAGGATCGGACGAGAATCAAGCCTAACAACCTCCATCCGGCCCACCGAGCCTTGGAAATCAAACCACAGATGCAGCGACTTCTGCGCTCGGAACCCTTTCGCTGGGACTGCCTTACGAGGCGGGGCTCCAAAAGTCATGCTCGATCTTTTCACTGGTTTTTGGCGCAGAGACCCAGCATAACTTTTGGAGCCCCGCCTCGTTACCAAAGTCCAATCACGTGTGCTGCGAGCTGTGAACGTCACACTGTGGATTACGCCACCATTGAGGAGTGTTCACTCACGTGTTGCGAACAGGTGAGCGGCGGGAGCGACCAACGATGGACGTCGGGGATCGCGACACTGCTGCGTGCTTCGTGTGGAGCGCAAGTCATGTGAATCTGGCTTGGGGGATTGTGGACAGACACCTCTGAAGCATGCATGGAAAAGGCATCCACTCCTTTCCGCTTGAGTTGTCCGTTGTTTCCGCGGTCCGGTGTAAAACTTCAATCTCGCTAAACCGACGGCGTTGATGCCACACATGTGGAAGACTTGAGGCCCAGCGTAGTGGGATCTTACATCCATCTTGGGAACGCGTCGTTACACCTGCAACGACGCACAGCAGCATCAGTAGCCGTGGCCGCTGTTTCTGGGTCGACACCAAACGTGCTGTTCAACAACCGGTCCATGCGTTTGGCACGCTTAGAGGTACCAGAGGATACCGATGGGAAGTCGATTGTAGCACGACGACATACCCCCGGGTTTTGAGCACTTAAACCGGAAACCTCTAAGAACGGCGTAACTCGACTGGAATGAGAAACGGGCAGCTCTTGCCCAGTACCATAGCCACGGACCCAGCAACGCGGAGCGTGCACCAAATCCGCTAGAACATCCGGCTATCCCTCTCGGTTCTATCCCTCCTAACAAGCAGCAACTCACTCCCTGTGTGCCCCCGCATCTCCTTACCCGCTGACCTCCTCCCCACTCCCTTGTCCCTTCCACTCCTTTCCCAGGATCCTCTCCACAGCCCCATCGCTCCACGCCCACAGCTCCCCCGCCAACCGCCCATCTTCTGCCACGGTACTCGTACTTTCTTCCCTCGCCACCGGCACATAATACGCGCCTCCCCGTCCCCTCTTCTCGACCCCAGGCGCCGCGGCAAGAAACACCGCCGTCGCAGCCGCTTCTTCAACCGACTGCCCTATCAAGCCGAAACCCCTCTTGACGAGCCCACCAACGACGGGGCCCAGGAGCGAAGACCATGCGTCCATGGCCTCGGTAGCGACGTTGCCGGGGAAGAAGGCGTTTGCGTAAACGGGCCCTAGGGAGATGCGCTCGTTGCCGTGGACGGAGCTGGGGTCGGTGACGGCGTCGGCGGTGGCCTCAAGCCGCCGCGCGAGCTCGCGCGTGAAGAGGATGTTGGCGAGTTTGCTGCGCGCGTAGCGCAAGACGCCCTCCAAGGCACCGGCACCGGGAAACCGCGACCTGCTCGGGTCGGCCGGCGGAGCGGTAAGAAGATTGAAGTCGAGGCCGCGGCAGAGGAGATGTAAGGATGAGGAGGAGGTGACGATGCGGGACGAGGACGTGTTGTGCGTGCGAGGCGTGGCGCGGAGAAGGGGGAGAAGGAGGTTTGTGAGGACGAAGTGGCCGAGGTGGTTTGTAGCGAAGGTTGGGTCGAGAGTGGGAGAGGAGAGAGGGCGAGATGGGGTGGAGATGGGGAGGGCTGGCGGGTGGTGTTAGTCCGTTGGTAAGAGTATGGGAAGAGTCCCTGATTTCGGGATGTAGTGCACGAAGAGAAAGGGCAGGGTAGAAGGATTGTGAAGACTAGAATCGAAAGTCATAGAGCTGAGGTGATGGTAGCCGCCCATAAGAGTAATCGATAATTCCCGCTGCCGCAGTAGAGGACTTCCCTTGGGCTCACAAAGCCCAAGCACAATCCTTATACGGGACTCGCAGCATGTCTGACGGAGGCTAAGCAGAGAGAGACACCTGCCGGGAGGTCTCTTTACACGGTAGGTCGACTTTTGTGGATAACCTTGCAATGGCTCGTGCATCAGAACCGCCGCCTCTCTCTGGAGAGCACTCCAATCCAGCGCAGGGCACTGAAGCGGTACACTCCCGTATTCTTTGTATGATATCAACACGGTAGTTAACACGAGAAGCCAAGGATCAGATCGGAAATCTGGGGCAACCACAAAAGCGAAGGTCGCTTAACGATCTGACATTGGAAGCATGATGATCTTTCAGATACGTAGGAAGTCTAGGCACCAGGCATCCCGCAGTATACAGTGGTGGCACTTAATGGGAGAATGATTGCGTCTTAACTATTTCGAAAGCGACTCGAATGACAACGACTAGTGGTGGAAAAGGAGAAGACGTCCGGCACGCTATACCTACCGGCGTTGTTGATGAGGATATCAAGGCGCTCGAGCTTCCCCAGAAGCTCATCAGCCGCCTTCTTGACGTTCCAGAGATCCCCGAGGTCACATTCCACAAACTCAGTCCGCTCCTCCACATCTGCAGTGCGCAAGCCATGTTTCTGAAGCCACTCCTTTTTAGCTTCCTCGTAGCGGCCTTCCGTCCTTGCAAGGATGTAAACCTTGGAGATGCCGTGGAGGAGTAGTTGCGCAACGACCTCTCTCCCAATACCCGCTTGGCCGCCAGTGATGACGCATACTTTTCCTGATAGATCAGGTGTGTCTGCCAGATCGAAGCCCCTGTAAGTGAGGAAACCGCTCATGCGAAGTAGTGTGAGAGGATTGAGAGAAGGCAAATGCGCTAATGGATTCGGTGGCAGAGGAAGAAGAGACATTTCTTAGTGGCAGCTGCTCTCGTATGTCATGTGCTGTTGTCGTCTGGTGTGGTTACAGGTTCACTTGCAAGCACGTGTCGGTGGAATGCCGGGATGCCAGGATGCCGGGGTGCCGGGATGCCGGGAGTGCGGTTCAAGGGTGATGGACGACGTCAGCACAGATTTCCAACGGGAGTGCCGAGTCAAACGTTCACCCGCGCCGGCCTCGACCGCACAGCGTTTCAGCAGTCTTTGCCGGCTTCACTTCCCCAGCCAACGTTGCGCGCGCGCAAATCCACGTAGGTACAAGCATGTAGCCGGGTACCATGTTCATGGCGCTGCCGAGTCGCAGCTGCGGTGCCACTCCGTAGGCTGTCACCCAACCTGACACGCCACGACGGTCAAAGCATGACAGCGATGCGACAGGGCAGAACGTGACTGAGTCGGGCGCCCTTCTGTCCCGTATCCAACACCGTCTAGAACAGCTGGCGGCATGTCACTTTCTACTAATGAGACATCTCGACCTGGGTTCATTCTGCGTCGTCATCAGGCCGGTCGCTGCGCCGGACCGACTGGTTTTGCGCGATTCGAGCTCGGCATCTAGGTTTTGCACCCGTCGCATTTTCGAAGTCGCTCTCCAGTCTTCCACGCCTGAGGATGGATCTGCGTAGGAGATTACTTGTGGGGCCGTCGACAACTTGACTGGTGCGATTTCAGCCCTAGCGGCAGCCACGAGGCCGCGCGGCGCAGGGGCAGGGCAGAGCAGGAACAGGAACGTGCTGCACGGCATTCGCAGGCTGTTTCCGTTATCGATACCTCCCGAGTTCCCTCCCTCCCATCGCGCCCATCCCCAACCTCCTCGTTTTTCCACGGCTGCGCCAACGTTGAGCCAGCACTGCCCGGCTGTGCGGGGGTGGACGCTGTCGCGGCCGGGAGAAGTTCAGGAACCCGCGCAGCGCTCGCCGGCACGACGGAAGACAGCCTCTGCTTTGCGTTGTGAGACATGATGTGGACGCTAACGCGCCAACACGCATATCCCCCTCGCTCCTCTTCCTGCCTCATCATCACAGACTGAGGACTCCGGCGGGAGTTTGGGGGCGGCGCTGCTCTAGCTCCTGCGGTGTTGCCCTAAGGAAGAACATGGGAAAGAATAAGCAACCCCCGTCAAGATCTGCAATGTTGTCCCGCTTCATTCGCGCCGTCGGCGCTGGTGAATGCTGTGGAGCGCAAGAATTCTCTTCAGGAAATTCCTTCGGTAAATCTCTTCAACTGTGGTCCTCAACCAACAAGATCCTTAGTGGTGGAGATGTCTGAAGTTCAAACAATCCTGGGCGCTTGCCGAGGCAGCTGTCAAGTGTCAAAGTCTTACTCGAGCCCTGTCGCCCACAGCCTGGCTAGTCGTTCAGGAACAGCGGCGTTTCTATTGGGCCACGATGCCTCCACGCCGAAACTCTCTTCCATGCATCTGGCTGCTGATTCACCCGGCTTTTCGAGCCACAGCGTCTCTGCCGATGAGACGGATCGTCCGCTAGTAACGGCCACTCGTCGTTGGGACGGGATGATAGTTGGTGGCTTCGACTACGTGCTTCCGTAGACCAGGCGTGCAGCCAGAGTCAGTATCTATTTAACCCCCCCACCTCTTCCTCCGGTGTCCTCTACACACGCCGCACGTCAACCGTCCTTTTTGTCAATCAAGCTGGGTCTTGTCTACACTCTCTTTCGCTGTCTAGCCTCACTCCTTTGAGCTTCACAGCACACATTCATTCCGCTGCTATCAATCAGCACTGCCGCAAGATCCTCTTCGCACTCATTATCAACCGCGCAATCACCGCAACAAAAACCACCTCATCAATATGCAGTTCACTACCGTTGTCGTCGCGGCTCTTGCTGCTGTCGTTCCTTTCGTCCAGGCCGGTCCTCAGGCCCACCTCAACAACATGTGTGACTTCGACGTATACCTCTGGTCCGTCAGCGCCGACGGCTCCTCTGACATGCACACTCTCAAGGCCAACGGTGGCACGTACAGCGAGGACTATCAGGTCCCGAGCCAGGGCGGCGTCTCGCTCAAGCTTTCCAACAAGACCCAGTTGGGCGCGGCCGCTGGAATCACCCAGTTCGAGTATACCTTGACCGACTGGATCTGGTACGACATCTCCAACGTCGACTGCCAGACCACCGACTGCCCCTTCCAGCCGTATGGCCTGTACATGGAGTCTGGCAAGGGCTGCCCTACCGCCACCTGCCACGCTGGCGATTTGACCTGCAAGGAAGCATACACGCTCTACAACGACGACTGGGCCACCAAAGCCTGCACCACCGACCAGGACATCACGCTCCACCTCTGCTCCGAGTCGGCGCCCGAGAAGCGCGAGGTCTTTGGCGTTCCGTCTAAGCGCTGGGCACATGGCAAACCCCATGGCCACCCGCACTGGCGCCACTAGATATGCTGCACGCCAACCAACTATCCGGGAAGACCATCGCGTCGACGCGATCGTTACAACCAAACACATCTTTACTTCGCGTTCATTCTTACTGTTGGGGGGTCGTCAGCTCTTGCAGCTTTGGTGTTTTGGTGGAGGGGAGGTCGTCGGACAACGAAGTCACATGATCAACCGGGGTGTTGCACATTGGGTGCTCGGGCTTTCTTTTCCATGGCAAAGACAGCGACGCTGGTTCTTCTCGTCGCGCGCCAATGAATCACGTCAATTAGTCATGTCAATAGATTCATGTGGATAGGCTTTATGGATGGGGGAACGGGCGCTCACGACGACACGACACGAACTCTATGCGGTAGATATCCTTTCGGCTTGGATGTGAAAACTTGTATGTAGCACATGGTGGTCGCTTGATTGCGCGAGCAACGACCATCGTTTTGGTGTTTCGTATTTGATACCTCCTTCAGTTGAGACGTGTCTTATGTACCACTTGTGATATCGGTGCGCGACAGCGGTCCGATTGCTTGAGTCTCCCTCACGAAAACTATCCGGGGACCTTGCGATCATGCACGACGCGCAATGAGTTTGAGCTGAATCGAGTCGCTTAATGCTTTATTCCGGCTGTGCACACCATGGACGATGAACAACGTTGGCTTTCACGAAGGTGTACTCAGACCTCGTAGTTCTAACAAACGAATGCGATCCCGCCCCGAGACGAAAAGCCGGTCGTAAACTTCTTGCCCGATGCATCCACGCTTCCAACGTACTGGATGCCATGTCTGTGTTGGCGCAAGGCGAACATGTCACGCCATTCGGGACGGGATTCGCAGTGATGGAACTTATCTATTCATCCACCCAAGCATTCAGGTAGCATGTAGAAGCATTGCCCATCTTCACAGAGGCGTTTCGTGGAAATACGAAATGCCTTCAGTGACGATGCGAGCCGCTGTAGAAACCGGGCTCCTCGTGTTGCACTGAATACTGGTGATGATTTGTAGCGCAATCTGCTAGAGAAACGGAAAGTCCTTCCTTGCCATAGTGCATGTTTCCCAAAGCGAGACAACACAGTCACGTAAGAATTGATACCTGACCTAGAAAGTGTCCGCATAACGCAGCGGTCCAGCCAAATACACAGCGTTGGTTTAACACTGAGGCAGTTGTAGGATGATGACTGTAGGAAAGCAGAGTTAAATTCCTGACACCATAAGTTGCTCGAGGCTGATGCTGGTATTAAGAGCTTGCCCTATCAGTTATACCATTTGGTGTGCAGCTTTGCGTTCGCGTCACATATCTCCGCTTGTTGGTAACGAACAATTTCAGTACAGGCAGGCTGCCCATGTATATGATTCAGTCAGAATCGAGTGCATGGTGATCTGAACGTACATGAGTCTCATCACGTGGGACCTTAGAAGCTGGTGTTTCCGCCCGTGCGCGATTCGGAACATCGTCGGCCCGGACTTTGCGCAGGCTCTGTGTTCGGCATCAGTGGATTCCGAGAGCCTTCGAAGGCTCAAAACAACACCAAAAAGCGACAGAACGTTCTGCAAAGCTCTGGATGACGTCTCTTACTCCGTTGCTCCATCAAAAGAAGTCCAAAAGGCCAAAAAGATCTGCCCACGCTCGGAATCGAACCGAGGATCTTGTCATAAAAGTCAAGTGATTAATCACGTGATACGAGTGACACGCAGTACCACTATGCCACGCGGGCGAATTGATATCAAGTTTATGGTTGTTCGATATATAAATCGCAAATACTGTGCTACGATCGATCTAATCCCGGAGCTGTGCAGTCGCTAAGATCAGGGTTTGGAATACTCATATCAATAACTATGATATGCTCATACCGCCAAGTGGTGTAGGGCGGGAACTTCTTGAGCAGCGAGAGCTACCAAGATACTGAACCGAGCAAGAGCTAATAGAATATGCGCCTTTTGCGATCTGCTTATGTACTAAATGCACAAGATATCAAAGATTGATGATGTATGAGGCCTACACGGCTGAAGTGCAAGCTGCTCAGTCTCGATGAATGCGCGCTACCGTGATTGTAATGCGCCTTGCTCATTCAGGTAGTGAATATATTGATCTATTCATGTTGTTTCGCATCTCAGGTGAGCTCTTTGACTCGTCGACGTCCAGTTGCACCCCCAATCACCGGTCTGAGCAGAACCTTTCATGTTCCCATCAACCCATTCAACTCCTGAAAACACTATTCGCCTCCCGCCTCCATGATATTATTTTATACGGGCATCTGATGCAGATACAGACATCTATCACAAGCTTGGTGAAGGACTTCGTGTACTGCAATTCCAACGACTGATGTTAAGACATGTATTTACGAACCCTCCTTGGATTGCTTTCAGTGATCAGAGAATTGATCATCAACTTGCCCAAGGGCCTTATTAGTTGATCATGCAGAGCCTCAAACGCTTCTCATCGACGCCGGGACATGTCTACCCCTCTCTGATTCACTCTGACCATGAACTTGTAGTCCATCATATCCAGAATATCTGAGGTGCGATGTGTAAGATCAGACTGGTGCATGGTTATAACATTGGCTAATTGCACCTTTAAGCTAATGACCGTCGTTACAGGAGGCACCGTAACCGTTCTTTTCCAAATCTTCCATTCCTCTCTGTTCATTCTCATTGCTCAAACATCCCCTCCCCGTCCAGCTCCAAATCCCTGCAAGGCGAAAGCACCGGACTAACCGCAATCTTCGGCCTGCTCTTGAACACACTCGCATACTCCGCATCCTGCTCAAACAGACTTTGCTTAGGCGTGACATCCCTCTTTTCGTCTTGATCATTGGTAAAGTCAGCGCTATTCGGCTTTCTCGGCGTCTCAAACTGGTTGACAGGAAACAGCGACTGTCTGCTCTCCCGCTTACTTTCTCTTCGCTGGTGCCGAGAGCGTGAGTGGGCAGGGAGATGCGCCATGGATTGGCGCGTCCTTTCCAGCAGGTTTGCGTGCGGATCGAGGTGGTCAGAGGGAGTTGGTGTGGTTGCTTCGATAATGGGCGAGGGGACTCCAGTCTCCTCCAGGGCAACTGCGGGAACTCCGACGGCGGTCGAATGGGCGATTGACATGCGGGCACGGTCGCTGAGCGATGGGCGGGGTCGCTTTACGGGTGATGGTGTGGCTTGAACAACGGAAGAGAGAATTTGTTCCGCAAGGCGCTCCTGCTCGGTGACTTGAGGGGATAGCGGTGGGCTTGGACGCGATGAATTCAATAGCTGCTGTATAACTTGGGCTTGCCGGCCCGGCTGCTCGCTCTTCGTGGGAGAAACTTCGACAACACCGTCGGATGCTTCATCCTCCGAAACCGGCCCCGATTGGACAAGCGTGGTCTCCGAGCCGAGCGGCGTGATCGTGGAAGGAGGAAAGTAAGGGATGGCTGTTAGAGCCGGGGGCTTCTCGGATAGCGCAAACACATCTTTCAAAAGTTCGTCAGTCGAAGAAGGAGATGTGATTGACGGCGAAGTCATAGACGAAGACACCACTGTCGGAGATGTGACGTGTGGGAAGGTCACAGAAGGCTTCAGCTTGAACTCTTTCAGCCCCGATCCGCATAGGATGCTTCGAGGACGAGAGCGGGTTCCGTTAGTCCTTATCGGAGACTTTGGCTGTTCAGCCTGCGTAATCGGTTGTGGCCGACGTCTGGAGTAACCCGCTTTAGCCAGGCCCTCCTTCATCCTTGCAACGATAGTCTCGTACTTGATTGCTGGGTCTGAAGCGCGAGACGTAGGTAAAGGTTGCCCATTGCTTGACGACTTGATTGTAGATCCAATATGCAGATGCTGATGGGCCTCAAATCCGAAGCTGACATCTGATACATGCCTAGCCGCCCTCGAGCCCGATCTTGTGATGGTAGCTTGCGCATTGTGCCGGCTGATCTGGGCGTGGAATACTCTCCATTTCAACAACCTTTCATGCTGAATGTTGGCGCGTGACTCAAGCTCCTGCAGCAACCCTCTCTGCTCTTTTGGATTCTCCAGAGCATGCCCTTGCTTGATTCCAGCGCAGACATCATTGAATCGGCTCTCGAACAGGGTGTCTCCCGATTGCGTGCTCTCTCCGTGAAGCAGAGTATTAACCCACTTCGGGTTTCCGAGCCAGTTCTCGCGCAGCTGCTTCTTTATGTTTACGCTATCGATGTGCTGGGCTGCCGGTCGAGCAGAGCCCGTACATCGCTCATTCCTCTGCAATATCTCGTCCTTCTTCGATTCCAGCAGCTGTTGGAGCTCCGAGTAACGAGCTCTCCTCTCTCGCTTTTTCTGCAGCACAGCCGTAAGCGCCGCCTTATGGGCAACAGCAAGCGGCAGCAACGACTTCTGTTCCTCCGCGCTGAGCTTAGTCGTAGTAGCAATCCGCCGAGCAATCGGTTCGTTTTTCGGCTTCCGCTTGGTCGAGGAAGCTACCTTGATTATGACGGCGTATGAGAATACCATCAGCACCTCGGCCAGTTTGTCTCCCTTACAATCATCCATCATAGTCTTGCGGAGTAAAGTCTCCCTGCCTAGCACGCCGTTCTTCTTGAGCTCGTTCAGACATCGGTATAGAGCCGCGCGCAGGTTGAGTGATTGGAGAGGCTCGAGGGGTGGGAAAAACGGCTGGAGCTTCTGCAGATAGGATCTCGTTAGCTTGACGGATTGCGTGGTGGGTGTACTGAAGGATCTCACATCCCGTGCCTCTACCGGATCCCACAGCTCGAACAGACGGTAGAGCGCCCATTCGAGGCAGCGGATCCGGGTTTTCTGATTCTGCTGAGCGTCTTTTGTCGAGAAAGTCTGCTCAGTGATGCCAGGCCAGTCAGATCGGCGGTCCAAGTCTAGCAGGCGGAGATTGGTTACGAAGATGGCGATATCTGAAGGCCGTGGTGCCGCGTTGGATGGCTTTGGACCTGGCTTGATGACCGACAAGGCAGATGCGGAGCTGGTCGCTGAAGCAGGACGTGACATCTTCGACTGTCCAGCGGAGGTCCAAATGCAGCTGGGGGCTTCACTTGAGACATCGATGCAGGTAGGGACTAGACAGCAGAGCGAGTGCACTGACCGCCTGGTGTTGGTACTCTCCCGGCCGGAAAGTAACTAAATCACGTGCCGTAGCCTGTGCTCCATCACTAAACCACGCGGTGAGGGTATATAATCGCCGCATTCATTGATTATAGACAAGGTATGCCCGTTTTATACTAAAACGGTTTTGAGAATTCTTAGAAAGTACATCTTCTATATCTCTAATGCTCCTTGTATATCATGAAATCTTTGAGTTTACAATCTTATTAGTGGCTCTACTATAAAGACCGTAAAGCTATCTTTAGAGACATTATCGCTATTACGATGAGCGCGGGATTTCAGATACCTAAAACCTTTAAAAAAGCTATAGAGTAATAGGACGAGGCCGGCTTGAAATTTCTGGTCAGGCTTCAAATTTTGCGACTTCCGCAATCTAACTCATGCTACTAGCTCCTCTGAGTCCTTTTGGGCGCCAATTCAGTCTTCCAGTTGACAATATTTCGCTGCAGCGAAAGCGAGTAGAAAGAGATCGTATCAACTAATAGTTGCGTGGAGCACACTTCTGTACCCAGAGGGACGAATCGGTTCCTCCGCGGTTTCTTTTTCCAAATATGGAGGCTAGGGCCCAAAAATGGGCTCCCTCTAACTAATTATGGTATTAAACCCCACAGAACCTTAATTAGAGGAATCGAGGAGTCGGGCTTCACGCTTGAGAAGTGACTAATCTTGGTTTTAAGGGAATAAATTGAGCCGCAACTTAGCCCCTCATTTTGTCAAGCTTGACACATCGATTGAAGGTTATTGGCCTATCTTAGAAGGAGAAGGAGGAAAGGAGAGGGGGAGGCCGCTAAGAAGAACGAGTGTTACACGAAATCATTGATTGTAAACGTTGCCTCTGTTAAACATGCCCAGCCATCGACTCGGCATCAGTGTCAACTATTTCTCAGTTAAAGCCCCTGTTGATAACGTCACCAAGCTCACTCCGCGGGCTCATACGGCGGTGGGCTCTGAGTGAAAAAGGACGCCCAGTTATTGCCACTCGGATCTGCCGCGCACTTGCGACTAATCCAAGCGTCCAGCGACATCCAAGCATAGCTATCGGCATTAATCTCTGTAACGGCGGGGTTGTCGTCCTGCTCCGGGTCAAGGAGGCCATGCACACGCGGGGGATCATATGCCGGCTCGCCGTCTGCGTTCTTCACGTCTTGAATCTGTTGTGCCAAGGACGTCTCAGGGCCAACGGAGCTGTAGTGCGTCATTTCGTGTAGCGCGATGCGCGAGAAGGAGTCCATCTTTGTGCTAGGGAAGGGGTCCAAGGAAGCGCAGTCGACGTCGCCGGCGCTTCCACGAGTCCACGAGGGGTCGCAGAAATGGATCTTCTCGCGGCTGTCGAGTTGGTCGGTGAGTGTGTAGGCTAGGGTGCCCTCGTCGGTGCAGTCGGCCTCATCTGGGTCGTTCGCGGCAAAGTCTGCGTAACGGATTAGCGGAGATTACAAAAAAGAAACAAAAGGAGAGGAAGCTACAAAGCGGATGTGGAGCTCACCAAGGTTATCTACAACAAACGTCCCGACGACAGTCCCAATCGCTCCGTCGGTACTGCTCGTACCTGCGATTAGGCCTAAGACATCCTTGACATGGGTCTGGAAGTCGTCTTCCTCATCGCTTTCCGGGAAATAGCGCTTATAGGGCGCAAGGACGTCCCGAGCCGAGGCTCGGCCATAGCTGGAGATGGCGCGCATCTCGCCACTGCAGATGACATCGTGAAGTTTCTGGAGATGGGCCTTATCGGTGTCATCGTCCGGGTTGAAATTGAGGTACTGCCACTCGTGGCCGCAAGCATCGCCAAGCGGGTAGGCAGAAGGCGCGGGTGGGTCGCGGCGGAGGACTCGAGACGGGTTGTTGAGGACTGGGCTGGCGCGAGCCACTGCTACGACAAGCGCAAGGGTGAGGACTTTCGACAAAGACATTGTTGGAGAAGGTGTATCATTGCTACTCGGATTATTTGATAGAATTGTGAGGAGAGCGAGAGGAGTGCTTCTGTCGACCTGAAGGTGGCCATTGACTTCTTATTCGTAATGTTTCTGTCTTGCAGGTCCTCTCAACAACAAGGAAGAGACGAAAACCTATTCCTTGTCCTCCATTGCCTTGACTGCGATCCTGCGGAGGAACGACGAATGACAACACAACCAATCCTCAAAGTGAATCCGCGGAGGCTGTGAATTCTGCCTCGTGTTGGAGCATCGTAAGGTCAGCATTGCCAGCTGTAAAACCTGGGGCTGTAGACATGATCTAGAGTGGGGATATAGGCCAAGCTACTGCCCATGCCCATTCGTCGAGGCCGAGAGAGTTGTTTTAGGAGCAGTAGATGGTGTCGTTGTTGTCTCCTGTAAACCTATGGCGGCCCATCCGAGGGCAGTGCCTCCTTGTATGTGCCGAAGATAGATTGCGCAGTAGGTTTCAGCCTTATTCAAAAAAGACATCGATATGCAAGTGCAGGGCGGGTCATATCTGCTTGACCGGTCGAAATAAGCCTCGCTTGACAAGACCTACTACTGCCGCCTTTTGCAATGTCAATGCTAGGCTAGCAAGGGCAAGCCCTGTAGCCTCCCTGCCGTTGATGTCATATCTGGTGAGCCTTGGCATGGTGTCTTATCGCTAGACTGCTCCCGAACGCGCTCCCGCACGCCGAATAGCCTCATCTATCGGCAAGGGTGCGGGAGCCAATTATATACCCTGCTTTATACCTTGCTAGCCTCACATCAGTTCTGCATAAGTGGGCTTGTCAAGCGAGGCTCATTTCGACCAGTCAAGCAGATAGTTGGACGCGGTCGGCACGGAAAGTATTCGGATACGGCTTAGCCGGTAACGTGACTAAACACTACAACATTCGATGGTGGTGCTGATGAGGGGCATGTTGGTGCCTGAGGCATCTACAGGCTAATGCACGGACGAATACTTTCCGTTCCGACCTTGTATGCACTCCGGACTCGTAGTGGCTTTTGGCGCTCAGCCTGCATCTGACATTTTAAAAATAGCTGCCGGCTTGCAAGGCATAACCAGTAAAGTCTGCCGTATATATTTGAGCGGCCGCGATGTTATGAAGAGTTAGCGCTAATGATGATAATACTAGAGGAGCGGTGGTGACTTACACTCACAGCCACAGCACAGCCGATAATGAGCGCCTGCCTGATATCACATGTTGCTTGACCCGCCAGATAGCCACAACTGCCAACACCTTTTCAGTTATCTCCACTCATTCCATTCGTTTCATTCATATCATCCAGAAGCCGCAGAACCTGTACCTGGACCTGCACCTGCACACTACAACACGATGAACGAGTTGCGAATCCACACACAAATCCACAGCCGCTACCAAGTCTGTGACGCCTCAGGCCAGCTGCCATTCGGCATAGTCTTCGGCCTCTGTCGTCGGTCACCAGCTGATACTGACCCTCGACCATTACTCCTCGAGATTTCAGGCTCGGTACTGGATGTCCCATATGCGCTGGCACATGGCTTGCTTACCCTACACGAACAAGATCCCGAAGACGCTAAGCGGTGGGTTGAAGTCGATCTTAGCCGACTGAAGAAAGTCGCCGCGAAAGAGGCAGAGTGCCTTTCCCTGCCATCCCCGGTCAACAGGACGGAGCACTGGAGAGATGCTTTCACGGTATATCAGTGTCATGTCGATGTTAATGGCGAGTTGGCATCGATTTTGGAGCCGGGAAAGAAGTATATCATAAGACTGGCGAGCGAGGATCTCGGCGTGAAACGGTGGGCGTATAGTGATCGAAAGCAATTCGTCGACAATGATTGGAAGCCAAGCCATGATTCTGAAGCAGTAAAGTTGGTCAACAGCAAACCCACTGCCGGTAACGCGACATTCACGGTCGCAAAGAGCCTGTCCTGGCCACCGAGAATAGAGACAAGGATGCGTCTTTGCGCATCTTCCCCATCCTCTGATTCCGCACTTGCCAACGCCAAGCTAAGCAGTAGCACTGCCTTGGAAGTCTCCGTCATCAACACTGGTTCCGACTCCGTCACTGTGCAGACGCGGGGACATCAGCGTTTCCTGATTCCCTGGGGTCCCTTCCAACCCGAACCTGACGCTGACGACGATCGCATGAGAATTATCGACGCCACGCCCCACAAACCGCCGACATCCAGTCTGCAGGTTGTCGATTCTGCGACAGGGGAAGTGGTCCGGGGAAACGAACAGCGCGGCACAGGCCCGTTGACAGACTCTAACGCTGATCGACGGCCAAAGGCGGAGGATGTGGTGACGTTGAAGCCTGGAGCGCCGGTTATTAGGAAAATTGATATCGGAGCGCTGGTGGATGGGTTGGTGGATGGGCAGTACAAGATTCGGATGCAATCAAGGGGTTGCCGGTGGTGGCATGGGGAGGTTGGAAAGGAGGAAGGCGAGGATGGGAGGGTGCCAGCGCATTTATGTGGGATCGTCATGACTCCTCTGATGCTTGAGTCGCAGGATGAGGTAGAGCTACGCATAAAGAATGGGAAGGTAGATCAGAGCATGTGAGATGCAAGTGGAGCTTACTTCTATTGCTACGACAAGTTAATGAACTTGAACAAGGTGACCTGGCGCGAATTGTAGATGTGCTTCTCCGCTACTTTGATAGTAACGGTGTGAAGTATCGACCCGCCCCTGATCTCCAGGGGGATCTCAAGACGCTGACCAGAGAGCTTGGCACACTTCCGGGTTGGCCGAGCGGGCATGAGCATCTCACAGCTCTTGAAAATTTATCTGGCTTCGTGGACCACAGAAGCGTACTAGGGTGGACCAAGCTTTAGTGGCGCAGCCAGGCTAGCTTAGTATTTCGGCGGACCTGAACCAGCTGTCACGAGTCTTGGCAAGGTGTTGAGACGGGCTCTCCACGCCACCACCTCTGGAAGGTTATGGATTGATCATTGGGGTGGATCGCGACGTGGCGAGTTATCAGAGACGTCCCACATACAGCTGGGAGACTGACTCAGGACATGAATGCAAGCCGGAATCAAACTGCGTGATGTTGATAGAGTCTACCAAGGAACCCTTGCGCTGAAGGCGGTGAGAGATTCAGCCGGTGATGCAGCAAGCGTGCCTGATTGGCGTTTGTGCGCGTCGATTGCCCTGCCTTGTCTGCTGGCTCTCAGTGACTTCATTATCAGTAGTACAACTTCCTCCTCAAGAGCAATTGTACCTCCTTCAGCTTCCTGCGCCTCCTCTCCACCGTCTTCCAGGCCGCAAACACTGCATCGATAAATCACAGCGACAGCATCCCGCAGCCACGATGGTCGAAGACGCGGCGCAGACCAACGACCCACCAAGTGAGCGCGGAACACACTCGGTGCTCGCTCGTGAGCTGACCTTACCTGCACAGGGCCCAACTCCGGCATCTTCAGCGAGCAAGATGTCACGAATGGACAGTGGACGCCAGAAACCGGTATGTGAGCAAAGACGGGCGTCGCCAACCATGAGCCTGTGAGCAGATTTCTGCTTCCCCCACTTCTCCACGATCCTCCACGACCTTTACTGACAGGGCCTCTCTAGTACTTTCTACGCTGTCTGAAAAACCAGCTGCTCACACCTCATCCCCCGTCGCCTTCTTCCACATCCTCGAGCGCCTGAAAACAACCAAGCGGGAAGGATGGCGCCGCTTCGGCATCGAGCGCGGAGAGTCGATAGCAGACCACATGTACCGCATGTCCATCCTCACAATGCTTGCACCTCCTTCACTCGCCTCGCGGCTAAACGTCCCGCACTGCACACGCATGGCGCTGATCCACGACATGGCGGAGAGCTTGGTTGGGGACATCACGCCCGTTGACAACGTCGCCAAGCCAGAGAAGTCGCGACGGGAGGAGGCGACCATGGACTACTTGTGCAGGGACTTGCTAGGAAAAGTGGGAGGAGGGCTATCAGGCGAGGAGATCAGGAAGGTGTGGCAGGAGTACGAGGACAACGAGACGCTGGAGGCGAAGTTCGTGCATGACATAGACAAGATGGAGCTCATACTCCAGATGGTGGAGTACGAGCGGTCGCTGCAGGGTGCTGTGGATCTGGGCGAGTTTACATGGGTGGCCACGAGGATAGAGCTGCCGGAAGTGAAGGAGTGGTGCGAAGCTGCCATGCAGGAAAGGCAGAGGTTCTGGGAAGACGCTGAGAAGACACCAACCGACTACTCCAAGGGCGAGAATATCAGCAAGGAGAAGAAGGAGCAGTCGGAGGGATACTACGGGAACGGCACGGCGTGATTGTGCACTCGGTCTCATGCCGATATGAGCGTCAGGGGTGTAACAAGCGATTCATTATGTTGCTGCTGTCAATACATGAAAGAGATGCATGGTGTTCTTGGAAGGTGTTGCGAGGAAGCGGAGTTGGTTTGTGGGGATAAAGATTGCTCAGAATGGGAATTCACACATGATCAATTGTCTGGAGCGCGGTTTCAAAAACAATATCGTGATTTTGATCTGATACAGCTATAGCACAGCATCACTGATGATAACATTATTAGACTCTTAGTCCCAAGCTGAAACACCGACACCTGAACGCTCAGCCACACGGTGTCCCAAGGCACCACAAACCACCATGAACCACCGACCCTGAGCTGCTCTTCTAGCCATGCCGTCACATTGTACTTCTCCCACGTCCCCGAGCTTGGGGCTTCTAAGCCGCACTGATAATCGTCGCCAGCTACCCAAATGGCCTTATTGTCGGCGTCAAGTGATTCGCCTGCGAGTTCGGCTTCTAGCTAAGCTGAGCTATCATCCGCAACCGGAATATCGTCAAGAGGATCCACGTACGAGACTGAAACCAGAGCCGGAGCAGTGGGTAGGTCGACCGGGAAAGAGTCCACTATAAGTGGGACAAAAACCAAGAGAAGGACCAGTAAGGGGGCTATCATTCGGCGATAGAACAGGGTATGCATAACCATCGTGCCTTTGTGGCGGGCTGGCGGCAGCCTACGGTGCAATTTTCTCATAAGGAAAGCCGTGAGCACCGGGTGTCGGATGCCAGACGCCAGGACCAAAGTCTGCCAAGGCACCGTTGTAGTCAGCTTCCTGTTCGGCGATCGAGTACGCAGTGATGGAAACTTACAAGTATGCTCAGCAACGAAATACTCCCACAAGAATCGAATCGACGCCTCGTGCGCGAGCCGATTGTCGACATCTAGAACGTCCCAGTTGCGGACACGGCGGCCAACCTTCATCGTTATCAAGCAGCCAATGCTGCTCGTCACCGTCACCCAGCAGAATATGCCGCCAGCAGTCCTGCAATGCCATTCTTTGCCGTCACCCTCGTTGGCGACCAGAGCAGCGACAGCAGGCACAAGCCGGGGGCCGCCGCCACCACGCCCCAGCAAAATATGCCACCAGGAGCCCCGCAATCCCATCTCTCAACTTTCCGGTTGGAGATAAGGACCACCACCGCCACGAAGATGATGATCCCCGTCAGGATCCAGCTAGCGTAGGTTGCCACCCGTTTGCGGCCCTCGTCGTCGACTGCGCGGGTTGCACGTTGCCCTCGCTCGACTTGCGGGTGAGCACCGCCGTCACCCTGCAGCGGTTCACGGCAGTGGAAGAAGTATCGAACATGCCTGGGAGTTACCCGTTTGTTGGCCCTGACGAGCTCACGGATCGTACATCCACCCATGGGTAGCAGGATGTTGAGTGGTGGGCCGAAAGCGCCAGGGCGGAAGGCGTCGTGTCGGGCTATGTCCAGATGATGGTGCCGGAGAGGAAGTGGAGGGACCGGACTGTGCTTGGCGACCCGGTCGATTGAGTATGATGAAAAGAAACGTGGAAAGAACGAGGAAGCGGAAGGCGCGGCGGGGAGATGGGATGGAAAGCAGATGAAGGAGGGTGGCAGAAAGGAGTACGAGAAGGCCGCGGTTTTTAAGCCGCTGCGTGAGATGTTGCGTCGCGAGATAGATCTTGTCCGCTTCGGATCCCGAGTTCCACGGCAAACACCAGCGAGCCGTCGACCCACGCTGAAATCCTTCTTACCAGACACGATTGGGGAAACGAAATAACCGTCGAAGATCGAGAAGATGTAGACGAGGTGGAAGACGACAGCAAGTCGATCTCGTTGGTCTGCTTGAGAGGACTCGAGATCATGGGCGCCTGCGCCGTCATGTTGTGCCTAGCAGTAGTTGATTGAAAAGGCCACGCCGACGCCGACCGACAGGAACATGATGAGGATGCCGGAGACGAAGCGGAGAATCCCAATTGCGCGCCTGTCGCGCGCACTGACCGGAGGTTTTGTCAGGACCCAGATGGCAACCTCCACGGCAAAGGCCAGCGGACCGCCGACCCAGACATATAGCACCAGGCTCCATGCGAAATGGCTGCTCGTGGAAGACGGCATGAGGCTGTAGACGGTAATCAGCATGACGCTCCAGGAGACAAGGCCGGCCGTGGACTTGCAATGCCAGTTCTAGCTGCTACTCTTGTGACATAACAATGCCCAACGCAATCAGGCCGGACGACTATACCAGGATCCAGCCGCTCCTCGCAGTTTTGGCTGGCTTTGGCGCCCTCTCTGGTATCACGAACATCAGCATGTGTAATTAATGCTGTGGCCATCTTCATGACATGGAGGAGGTCAACTCACTTGTATGTCGTCGACGGGGGCAACACTCGTTATAGCGCTCGGTCGTCTGCTGTTCGCGTGCTGGCCGTGTCGGGTATCTTTGAGGTGGTTGCGTAGCCAGTCTGGTACGCACTCTGTCGACCTTGGTTGGGACAAGGGGGAAGCTGCGTTGAGGTAGAAAGTTGTGGCGCAGAGGGTGTTTTCAGGAAGCGAATTGTTGTAAGGAAAGAAGTGGTGGTGAGGAAGAATCTTGCAATGAGGAAGAAAGATGTGACGAGAAAGCAAGCTATACTAAGGAGGAAGGTCGTGGTGAAGAAGGCAAGTTGTGATGAGGAAGGAAGAAGTCGAGTATCGGAACGACTCTTGTAGTGGAAAGCGTTGTAGACAGGCCCGTGTTGAGGAAGGAGTCTATGCGGAGGAAAGAGCTGTGTCATGGAAAGAGCTTCCTCGAGACCGAGCAAGCGCGCGCACGAGGAAAGCGGGCATTCATGCGAAACTTCACCGATACCTCGATGGAACCCGTGGTAAGACGCCTTCTACCCTAATAGCTGCCTGACTAGTAGCACTAAAGAGAATGGCATGACATTTGGTTTCGCAAGTATCTGTGCGAACTGGTACTAAGCAATGGAATCGTGAAACTATTCGTAAAACCATAATGTCTAGCCTTGGCTGCTGATACAAGTGAACGAGCGGACACTGTTGAGAGTCCTTCTGATACCTCAGTGTTGCTTCTGAGAGTAAAGATTTCGCGGAGATTTCGCTAGGTAATTTCCATGAGCAGTCGTTATGGACAGATATTTATGGAAGTGTTAGTCGTACGGCTTTGAGCACCGAACCATAGAACCGTTTGCTCTACGTGGTTACAGTAGTGTTGTTACCGCCCATTACTCCGCATTCGGCCTTGCGGCCGCACGCGAAGACATGCGGGATAATACAAAGCGCCACGCTTATCACGAAGATAAATCCTTTAGCACTACTTAGCATCCGTCTTGTAGTCCGCTCATCCAAGGGCGCTGGTCGACCATCGCTCCCGCCTTGTTCCAGCCTCGCCTTAAAAAGCAGGCTCTGCATCTGGAAGAGCCCCCGCGACGCGACCCCAATGATCAACAAGTAACAAAGCAGCCCCGGGCCTGCTGCGAACCGGAGGGTTAAGAATCCGTCCTCCCACCTGCAGTGATAGTGGTCCTGCTTCGAATCCACGTACAGCTTGGTGCCGCAGCCCACGAGAATCAGAACATAGTTAATGAAGCCGATAAAGTTGGGCTGGGTGAAGAGGTCGTCGGACTTGTCTTCCTGCTAAGAAGTGTCAGCTTGGTGTCTAATTGTTGCTGTGCGTTGTGCGTCTATTGAGTTACTCTGACTTATGGCATCCACGCCGCTGTTCGCCTTTTCGATATCACTTCTCGGTTTCGCTGCTCGGCCTTTACGACTGTCTGGCGCAGTCTTAATCGGGCTTGACACCTCGTGGAAGGTCGCGCTTGAGGCGTCGGATTGAGCGTCCAGCTCTTGGGGCGCTAATAGAACATTCTCGTGGCTCCAGATTTTGCTGGCGTCCATGACTGCGCGTGAATCATTGGCGTTACAGAAAGTCGGCTAGGAGGATAGAGGGTCTGCGAAGCGAGTTTTTTGCAGGCGAGCCTGGTTTTGTGGAAAGCACTTGGATTCCGGAGAAAGAATTCTGAGAGAAGACAGACTTGCTAGGGAAGTGCTTCGTCGAGAAAAGACCTTCGTTGACGATGAGCGGACAGGTACGAGGCAAGCGGACTCTTGTAGGAGATTGCCCCGATAACTTGGCAACATTTGTGAAAAGGAACAAAGTCTCATAGAAACCTTGTCTAGCAAGCCTCATGAGTGGTAGAGAGGATTAGTCGGCACAGGTTCAGCAGGTATCCATGGAACCACCTCCATAAGAAGTGTGTTCTCCACAATGAACCATGGAATGACTGCCGAACCTGGAAGGCCCGCTCCGGGCTGCTGAAGCGGGGATTGGCGAATTTCAAGCCAGTTAGGAGTTGGTCTATTGAACGTAATCCATTTCTTCCTTAGTCACCTGAAGTTCTTGTACGCATTCCTCGAAGCTCACAGGCCACTCTAGCGGAGGTAAAGGGAGCAAGGCACGTACGCAGAGCTTTGGATTCTCCTGATTGTCATCGGAGTTGCAACTATAACCACTCCTTTGGCACGCCCCGTTCTAGATAGCCCCTTCCGCTTTCCCAGGCTAGCCAATCACTTCGTGTGGTCGGCAACAACCCCATCGCATCCACCTTGTATATCCCGAGTCCCAGCGCAAGCAGGTTCATGGCGATGAATATCAACTTCACACCAAGCATCTTCGAGCGCGTCCCCTCCGTTTCGAAGCGTGAGAACGTGTTACCCATGTTCAATATAGCCGTGATGGGCGCCTTGAAGAGCGTGAAGACCATGAAGATGGAGAAGATCTGCAGGGTGTTGCCGGTCATGTACATCCCTGTAGCGTGCACTATTAACAAGACAGTTCGAGGTTTACGCCTCGGGACGGATTTGTACCTATGGCGCTCATAGGGAGGCTCTTCGCAGGCGCTATAGCCAGCTCCCATGCCTTCTTGAGCTTGAGTGTGTCCGTCTCTTCTGTTGTGGGAGGCTTCCGGGATGCCACGCTCTTGGAATCCTTGCTTCGTTGCTTCCCACCGCTTGCTGCGGTATATCCTGGCGGATCAGGCACGCTGGTGTTCTTTGGCCGAGGAGAAGGCGTGGAATTCAGATCGAGAACCCATTGCGGTGGGGGCGGAGGTGGTGGTTGTTGCTGCACAGCAGACATGACTTGAACCGTGGAGCAGCGTAGGCGTGAGGTGTAGTTGGGTTCGGATTCGGTAGGACTTGTCTACTGTTACGACAGGCGGATTGAAGCTGCGAGTTGCAACCGACGCCTGCGGTGATGACGGGAATGTCGAGCTCTCGGCGGAGGTTCGACGGCGGAAGTCAGCCCGCCGGCCTTTCTCCGCGAACGCTTGAGACCCTGCTTGTCCGCAAGGCGGCGTTGGAAACACACGAAACACCACTTCAACCCTAGAACGCGCTTTTGGACGTGAACTGCGTCTCACTCATATCGACCGGTACCTTGCAGCAGCGGCGCTTGCGATGTACATGAACAACGAGTACCCTTGACAGGAGACGGCGCCACCGGACAGCCGCAGAGGGGAAAGCGCCACGGCATTGGAGGGGAAGAGCTGGGAGGTCTCCAAAGTGCGTGCATGTTGGTAGAGGGCGCATCTGGGCACGCGGGCAGCTATGAGTTCAGGCGGGCAGGATGCGAAGCTCTTTGCGAGGGTAAGCCTGGTCTTTCTTTCCTCCAGCATCATGGAACGAAGCGCTCTATAGCTCTTGTCCCTCTCCTATCATTTGATACAACGGCACGCTCGCCGACGGCTGAGTCGTACGACTCCCTCATGCCACCGCATACTTCATCTACGTGCTGCCCAGCATGTTCTTTCCGGCCTACGCCCTCTACGCGAATCCGCGCTTACCATATCTACAATCGCAACAGGGCAAAGTAGCTGAGCTGCGTCTCGAGCTCAACAATGGCGGCAAGAAGGACAAGAACCACTCGGCGAAGAAGATTGCGCTGAAGAAGATTGTGGCGAACATGACCATGAGCAACAATGACATGGTGACGCTCTTTGAGGATATTGTGGAATGCATGAAGATACCCAGTTTGGAGATTAAGAAAATGTATGTAGGACGGTCAGGGGCGTTGGCTGGAGGCTGTGGGTCACGATTGACGGCTGGTGCTGATGGTCGCTTTAGGTGCTTCTTGTACTTGGTCAACTATGCGCGAATAAAATCTGATGTTGCACTCAGGGCGCTGCCCATTATTCTGCATGTACGCGTCCAGGATCCCGCTGAAATACTTGGTACTGATACTCCGCTAGGACATGGAAGACAGTAACCCTCTAATCAGAGCGCTCGCCCTTCGAACGATTTCCTACATCCACGTTCCACAATTTATTCAAGCCACCGTCCCACCACTCAAGCACCTGCTGAAAGACTCTGATCCATACGTCCGCAAAACCGCAGCATTTTGCGTTGCGAAGGTTTACGATCATGACCGGCAGCTCGTAGAGTCATCAGACCTCATTGACCGACTGAACGCCATGTTGCGAGACGAGAATCCCACAGTAGTGTCGAGCGCGTTGGCAAGCTTGATGGATATTTGGGAGAGGAGCGAGTCCATCAAGCTTACTATCGATTATGCAAGTGCATCAAAGATTGTCCAAATATTACCGGATTGCTCAGAGTAAGCGCAATAGCTAACGCGCCGTATTGCCATAGCTAACAATAGGCAGATGGGGTCAGACATACATCCTAGAAGCGATGATGAACTACGTACCGCAGGACACTACAGAAGCTGCTCTGCTTGCTGAGCGGATATCGCCTCGACTATCTCACACCAACTCTGCCGTTGTGCTGACCTGCATTCGGGTTATCCTATACCTCATCAACTACATCTCTGACCAGAAAGTCATCGCTTCTCTTTGCACGAAGCTCTCGCCCCCTTTGGTCACTCTTTTATCAAAAGGCCCAGAAATACAGTATCTGGCTCTCCGAAACGCCCTCCTCATCCTACAACGGCGGCCAGAAGTCCTTCGCAACGACATCCGCGTCTTCTTCTGCAAATACAATGATCCAATCTACGTCAAAGTTACCAAACTTGAATTGATCTTCATGCTGGCGACAGAAAAGAATATCAAAGAGGTTCTGACAGAGCTCCGAGAGTGAGTGATTCTGATGTTTTCACATACTGAGCAGCTGTTGATTCTCACCGCCTCAGATATGCGACAGAAATAGACGTTGACTTCGTCCGCAAATCTGTCCGCGCAATCGGTAAACTCGCTATCAAAATCGAGCCCGCTGCCCGGCTTTGCATAAACACCCTCCTTGAGCTAGTTGCTACCAAAGTTTCCTACATAGTCCAAGAAGCCACAGTCGTCATCCGCAACATCTTCCGCAAGTACCCGAACCAGTACGAGTCCATCATCAGCACGCTCTGCGAAAACCTAGACTCGCTTGACGAACCCGAAGCCAAAGCCGCCATGATCTGGGTCATCGGCCAATATGCCGACCGCATCGACAACAGCGACGTCCTGCTCGATGACTTCCTGTACACGTTCAAAGACGAGCCGCATGAAGTACAGCTTGCGCTGCTAACCGCCACCGTCAAGCTCTTCATCCAGCGCCCGACTAAAGGGCAGCAGCTCGTCCCCAAAGTTCTGAAATGGGCCACCGAGGAGACAGACAATCCGGACCTGAGAGACAGGGGCTACATGTACTGGCGACTCCTCTCAAGCGACCCGAACACGGCGAAGACGGTCGTCATGGGCGAGCGTCCGGCCATTACTGCTGAAAGCGAGAAGTTGGATCCAGCTACCCTCGAGGAGATGTGTCTCGTCGTCGGCACACTGGCCACGGTCTACCTAAAGCCAGTACAGCAGGTGTTCCGATCAGCAAGGCCGCGCAGACTTGTGGATAGTCCGGCTTTGCAGAAGCACACGCTACCAACGGCGCAAGCCATTGCGGAGGCGAGGAAGTTGCAGCAGAGGCAGGATATGCTACCTCTACACCCCTCGGAGAACACCAAAATCAATGGCAGTCAGGGTGACCTGGCATCGGCGGCCGATGCGGCGGATCTGTACTTTGCAGGCGTGGGGAGTGCGGGAATGGCGAGCATGCAACTTGACGATTTGGATGGCAGGAGCACAGGCACTCCGACACAAGGCTTTGCGCGCTCGAATCCGTACGTTGTTACGCAGAATCAGCCGCAGCAGGTGTACGAGCATAGTAGTAGTAGTCGTAACGGAGATTTGTTAGAGCTGTAATTCTCTAAGGCAGACAGAGCGTTTCATGGGCATAGGGATGGAGTTATTGGGAATGGTGTGGTCTCGGTTGGGTTGGTATATCAGTGTGGCTTTGGAGATATCAGATAGCGACTGTGCCGAATGAAGTGGTAAAGTTACTTCGGGTTTCTTGATCGTCGCTGATCACGGTACCAGATATTTCTCCGCCTCGTCCGGAAGCATTACTACATAGTCAATGTCAACGCGGGGACCACTGGTTCTGTTGCCACTCCCTCTTCGCTTCCCTCTCCTCTTCTGATCCCGGTCCTGCTCCCATCGCCGTGAACCATGCGATATGAAAAGGTCAAGAAGCGCCAATTACCAACTTTATGTTCGTCAACTGGTCGTTGGCTATTGAAACAATTCAGAGCTCAACGTCATTACCCCGCTTCAATACTACGGAGCTGGACATTAAGAGCTCGATTATCAGTTCCACGGATTCCTCGTCAGAAAGCGGTAGGCTACGCGAATCCATTCCCATAGGCTTCCCGCTTCTAGCAACCCTAATCCTGCTACCAAGGCCTCCGTTTCCAGGAGGGCAAGACGTCCTAGTGCATGCCTCTTTATTTTAACCAAGCGCCTTCTCACCAACAGCTTTTTCTTTGCACGCAACAGCAGCACGATTCTTTACCGAGCGTCTCCTGTGACTCAAGCTTTTTTCTTAAAGCGTTTCCTCACAATACGTATAAATTCCCACTATAGATTTTTCGTAACACAGACTCCCTGTGCACGACTATGGACCCAACCCTTAGCCCCGTCGAACACGCAGCAGAGATTACGGAAAAGAACGGCTCGTCAGGCTCGACCTTCGAAGAGTTCACGAGTTCACTTTCTGTGAGGAGCCTTCCAAGATACGAAGATGTCGAGAAAGCGGACGTGGAGGTGCCAAAGGCAATGAAGCAAGCAGTAGATACCGTAAGCTAGCGATTCCCTTTGGGTCTTATGCGCCTGTAGCTATATTGCGATGATACGAGCTCAGGCTAACCTCCCTTGATAGGACACAGAGGGCTCCTTTGAGGAAGAATGGCTTCCAAGCCTAATCAGCTTCTTCATCCACCTTATCATCCTGATAGGCTGCGCCACGAAGCTGTACGTTGACCGGAACAACAACGACTTCCACTGCGGCTCGCCCGGCGCATTAGTGTGCTGGACCTTCATTATCGGCATTACGGCGAGAGGGATCGACAACATGCTAAGGGAGTCAATGAACCTACACTTCCCAGAAGGGCGTCTACACAACGTGCACGCCCGGAATTTGGAATTCGTCGTCCGCAGCGGCTGGTCGGTTTCCGTCGTTGGGACCTTGGTATTTCTTTGCCATATTCAGTGGCGCATCTGCAATATGCGCGACCCAAGCTGTTTCACCTGAGCGCCGAGTCTCTCCGCTTCATCGGCAGTCACTATTATGGGGTCCGTTCTTACCACGAGCAATCATCTGGTTTGGCGTGGAACTGAGATCAAAGCCGCAGTCTTCGGAGAGAGGAAGCACATCGGATGGAGTTGGTAGGCACCGCATGGGCCCAGATGACTTAACTAAGCGCAACTCGATGGAAATTTGGAGGACCCTAAGGTTACCGTAGTTGGCAACGCTCTCATCGAAGGTTGCAGTCAGATGGTGAGGTCATGTAGTCGCAATGAACTCAACAATAAGACATCAAATGCTACATTCCTATGGTCCGCTGCACTGGGCGGTTCAGTATGACTACCAAGTGCCGCCCATCAATGTCAGTTTCATCAACCGATCTTAGGCTTGTGGCCGGGGCATCGTGAATCTCAGCATGGTAGTTACAGTCATAGTCGTTGTTAGCAGAATGACGACGTGAAGCTCGCGTCCCAAAACCTCGCCAAGACTCGTGATAGCCACGGTTCAGTGTCCTTGGAGCTACCAAGGTTAGCTGCCCAATTAAAGCGGCGCGTGCTTAATCATTGAAACAACCCCCAGCTTAGGAAACCTGCCCCACTTCAAGCAGCGCGGGGTTTGAGAGTAAGGTTCAATTACCAGTTCCACAGACTGCTTGCTCGAAACCGATCCTATGCGATGCCATACCCATAGAAGTCCTACCTTTAGTAAGCGAGATCTCACATGAGCGCCGCAAGAACCTTCCTCTCCTAAGTTCTTAAACACCCGCTTCATCTCTCTCGTGCCCCTCGCCAAATATCGACTGAGGTCTTCCAGTACTATCTCTCCTTCAACACATCTTTCTCAACACGCTCCTTTCCGAAAACAGCACCTATCACGATCTAAGCACTTCCTTCGATAAACTATCCTCAGAGTCATGGATTCGGAAAAATGCCCCAGCCTCACCGGTACTGCGAGTACGGTCTCCGAGGACAGTCTGCCGCAGTACGCAGACACTGAGATGGACAACCAGGTGGCGAAGAAAGCTGCAGATAAGGTGAGTCACTCGCGCTTTACGAAGGACGGGGTATCTACGGAGGAAGCGGCCGCTTGACGGCGCGCGACCACAAGGCTTCTCAACATAACATTTAGGTGCTTACGGAGGTGGACTGGCACACTAGGTATATCTTTAGTCAACAGAAGGTGCAGATATATATCATGTGAACTGGTTGTTGGTGGGTGTTGATGGCATTAGAGAGGGGTCAAGCGGCCGCCGCTTCGTTATTGAAATACCCCCTCCTTCTTAATGGATAAGACAACGGTTGATCTTCGCGGTGCTCCTCCCTCAACATGGATCCAGCAGCTATGAATCCCATGGGCGGCAACAGTACTGTTGTAGGCGGCAATAACATTACTGTACGGGCGTAGAGAGTGGGGTCAAAGGCGAGGTCGAACCAGCAAGCAGGACTGAGTGATGGCAACATTTCACGCTGTAGAGGAGAAGGAAGTTGAGAGAATGTCTTATTCTTCTACGACGCACTATCATCAGGCGCGTCTCTACTTCCGCCACGATATACCATCTTCAGCCTGCACACTCGCACACTACCTCCCGTAAAGAGACAAAGGAACGGAAAAGGCGCTGGAAAAGGGTGCCTAGCCTCATCACCGAAGCAGTAGACAGGTATCAGAAGAATCGAAATTGTAGAGGAAACCCAAGACACACGGACATTGAAGCTTCGAAGCAGTGATACAATCTGCATAAATTCTGTGATAAGGTGACTAAAAGAAATAAACCCATAGATATGATCCGGTCAGCCTTGGCTGCCGCCATCGTCCTCCCAAAACCAACGCCCAACGTGCGGAAATGCGGGTCATCGGCGCCCATTCATGCAAGCCCAGCTCTTGAGTCCTCCTTCCCACTAAACCCCTCCTCTCATCGAAGCGAAAGAAGAAACCCTACTATGCACAAAATCCTCCCTCCAAACATCTAGCTGGAATCCCACGCAAGCACGACGTCTGCGGGAAAAGCCAAGAGCCGCGGACCCAGACAGACACCACACCCCTGGCGAACATGCCGCCCTCGATGCGGCGAGCCCAGTAGGAGCCTTTGTGCACATGCCGTACGAAAACCCAGACCGCAACGGCGCCACATATAGCCACCTGTTGCACTCATACAAAGAAGCCATCACCTCAATTCCACCCCAAGCTGTTCTCCTGCGCCACCGGCGCCGAGATGACTTGTGTTCGGACGCTCCGTCCATTACTGCTGCCACTCTCCCTACTCCCGCCACTCCTCCCCTCCAAGCTCCTCGGCCCGCCCCTCGCACCGCTCATAAACACGCCTGCGCCGGTGTGGCTCATAGCGCCCGTACTCGGCACCGAGCTCGACCGCGAATGCCGTAGATGCTTCCTCCTGTACCGCCTCGCCACGAAGAACATGGCCGCGCCATACGCGCTGACGCCTCCGATGGCCGCAATTGCGATGACGACGGAGGATCCCTTCACCGGGCTGGAGGTCTGGGCACCGCCGCCTAGGGGCGCTGCGTCGTTAGCTGCGGCCGAGGTAGCTGCAGCCTGGTTCGACGCGGCGGACGCGGCGGACGGGTTCAGGTCGGAGACCATGAGCGGGATGGTTGGGTTGATCAGGCTCATGAGCGTGTGGACGGCCACGTCTTCGCTTGCGGTGTAGAGGCCTGAGATTGGAGTGCGGATATCGAGTTGGAGCTGGCTGAACAGGTTCTGGGGGATGTAGAACTGCGCGAGGGTGGTGATATAGCCAAGGTCCGCGGTCGTGTCGTAGGGCTCGAGGGCACGCATCTGAATCTTGTCGGCCGGGAGGTTGAGGCCCGCTGACACACCCTGCGGGAGATACTGGAAGATCTGGTTGGCGGATTGCGCGGTCCCGGCTACGAAGGGGTAGTTTAGACCGTAGTTGAAGCCGACTTGGACGAGGACCGTGTTCTCTGGCGTTGTTGCAGGGCTGCCGCCTGGTGGCTGGATGATCCGTGGCATGCTAGACGGAATGCCGCTTTCAGTGGCGGTGGTGGATGGTCGCGTTGTGGGTTCTTGCATGATGCTCGATGGGATGATCTGGGATGTCAACGTGTTGGTGGCAGTAGGCTCGATGGTCTGAGGTGGGACAGTCGTGGTTGCTGGCGGAACAGATGTCGTGGCTGGAGCAGTGCTGGTTTCAATGGGTACAACCGGGACGACAGCTGTGGAGCTCTCCGAAGAAACCGCGCTCGGAGTGGTCGCTTCCGAAGTAGCAGCCGCAGCGCTAGTGACCGTCAAGCTGGCGTTTGAAGTGGCCGCACTCGAGGCATCCGTGCTAACTGGAGCTTCGCTAATCTCCGTTGTAGCAGTGGATGATGCGTATCCAGAGGGCTCGGAGGTTGGAGGGACGCTGCTGGTCTCGACGGCTGAAGTTGTCGGCTCTGCTGGGAGACTGGTCGGCGCCGTTGAAGTAGGGACCTCGCTTGTTGCTTCGGGTGAAGTCGACGTTTCTACCGGCGCGGTCACATCGCTTGTCACAGGAGCCGTTGTCGAAGGAAGCTCTGAAGTAACAGGGCTCGATGTCTCTGCGGTTTCGGAGGTGACCGGAAGAGAAGTAGGCTCTGGTGCAGCCGAAGAAATGTCAGAGGTGACAGGAACAGAAGTAGCTTCTGAGGGTACCGAAGAAACATCCGACGTGACTGGAAGAGAAGTTGGTTCTGGCGCAACTGAGGGAACATCTGAGGTGGCAGGAACTGAAGTCGCCTCCGAGATGATTGATGAGACGTCCGAGGTGACTGGAGGAGTAGTTGGCTCTGGCGCGACTGAGGGTATATCAGATGTGACAGGGATCGAAGTAGCCTCTGAGACGATTGAGGAAGCATCCGAAGTCGCCGGTGGATAGGTTTCAGCAGCCTGGCTGGTAGGCGGGACAGAATCGACCCCCGTAGCAGAAGGCGCAGGTGAAGAAACATCAGTAGGTACAGACGAGATGTCAGAAGTTACAGGAACCGCGGTAGCTACGACCGAAGTAGGGGTTTCTGAAGGAACCTGCGATACAACCGAAGAAACGTCAGGGATAGCCGAAGACAAGTCTGTATTCACAGGTACTCCAGTGGCTGATGGTTCGGTGGGAGGTGCAGACGATACTTGTGAGGCTACCGAAGAAAGTTCCAACGCGACTGAAGAGACATCCGAGGTCATGGGTATGCCCGTGGCTGTCGCTTCAGTGAGAGTTGCAGACAGAACCTGCGACGCTACAGAAGAAATCTCGGAAGCAATTGAAGAGAGATCTGAAGTGACTGGCGGAGGAATCGCTATGGCAGTGGTTGCTTCAGTTGGGCTTACCGAAGCAACCTGCGAGGCTGCCGAAGAGAGCTCAGGCGCAACTGATGAGAGATTTGAAGTAACTGCTGGAGGAACGACAGTGGCAGTGTTCGTCTCGGAGACTACGCTGGAGATCCCAGATGCCGTAGTTTGGAGAGCGGATTCGAGCGGAGCAGTAGTTGTCGCCGGAGGAACTCCTGTCTCGACCGGAGCCGTCGTTGATGGAGACACCTCAGCTGCCGAGCTCGAAGCTTCACTGGATAGTCCAGTAGCAATTGATGATCCCGCATTGGACAAGATGCTAGATGCTTGCGACGCAAGCTCCGAGGACAGCGCAGGGTCGGTAGCTGTGGCGGCAATGCTAGAAATTTCCGACGCGACAGACGATGCAAGATAGGACGCGGCGCTGCTGACAAGAGCCGAAGTAACGGTGGCCGGAACCTCTGTAGTAGCAGTTGCGGCTATGCTTGACAGATCGGAAGTAAGCGCCGAAGCAGCCTCAGAGATTGCACTTGTCAGCTCAGACCCAATCGACGAGACTATCGCCGAAGCATCCGTAGTTACTGGCAGAGGTACGATCGGGGTCACGCCGGAGGTCGACGCATTGGTTGTGATGGAAGCAGGCTCTGTAGTCGCAGCAGCTGAAGTAGTGATAACCACACTGCTCTGCTCGGTGACTAATGGGACAGGAGCCACAGCAGTGTCGCTCGTGCTCGGTGCAACCCTAAACTCAGGAGTGGTGCTCTCAGTTGAACTCACCACCGAAGTGGGCTGTAGGCTTCCAGATGCAACCAGGCTGGCTTCGGTCGCTGAAGTGGCCACTACGGAAGAAGTAGCTGATGTAAGTTCCGATAGAGTTGCAGAAACTACCGAGCTGGCCTCAGGGGCAAGAGGGATCACAGCGGCGGTGGTGGTTGAGCTCGCGCCTGTAGCCGGACCAGTAATGCCATCGACAGACGAGGAGTTCGAACTGCTCGGTAGGGAGGTTGCTGGAGACTCTGCGGTTGTGGTTGGAGTCGAAGTACCCTCAATGACCGTGGAAAGCCCCAGGATGATGCCTGTAGCCGAAGTCGAGGTCGGAGTAGGAGCGGACGAACTAACGACCGTGCTTGTGGGTTGGATAATGCTGGACGGCGAGGCTCCGGTAGGGCCGACTCGGAAAGCCACAGAAGGCGACACCGACGTCGCGGAGTTGAAGCTGTCGCCTGCTGAGCTGGTGGCACTAGATGCTTCCGAGTTGGTAGAAGTCGGCAATACAATGACCTCCGGAAGCCCTCCAGTCGAAGCAACGCCTTCTGTGCTCGTCGTCGTGGGTTGAACGATAACCTCTGGAAGTCCTCCAGTCGATGCGGCAAAATCTCCACTGGTCGAAGAGGTCGGCAAGACTATTGTCTCTGGAAAGCCCCCCGTAGAAGCAACGACGCTTGTGTTAGCTGGCGTAGGCTGGACTATAGTTGCCGGAAGCCCTTCAGTCGAATCTACGACTGACGCACTTGATGTTGTTGGCTGAATGATCGTTTCTGGGAGCCCCCCAGTTGAGGCAACGAATCCATCTGTCGTGGTCGAAGTGGGCTGCAGAATGACTTCTGGAAGCCCTCCAGTTGACGCAACGGCTTCTGCTGTGGTGGACGTTGTAGGCTGAATGATCGTCTCCGGAATTCCACCTGTAGACCCAATCGCACTCATAACAGCCGATGTGGGCTGTACGATGGTCTCAGGTAAACCACCGGTAGAGGCAACTGCCGCGGTGGAAGTCGAGGTTGGCGGTACCACGGTTTCTGGAAACCCTGCTGACGACGAAACACTCTCCTGAGACGCACTTGGTGTCGGTAGGATGATGGTCTCTGGGAGTCTGCCGGTCGGCCCAACGACCCCATCTGTGGTAGCTGGGGTGGACATAACGACGGATGAAGATACGTCAGTAGACGAGCTCACTTCAACGGTTGCACTCGACGAAGCATTCGTAGGTAGAATAGCCGACGAGGGTAACTCGGCGGACGTCTCGAAGGTAGGAATGGGAGCAGGCCGAGGTTCCTGAGTGGAGCTTGTTGTCGCTATGCTCGACGGAGCGGTGCCCAGTGGGACAGAAACCGGTGCGCTTTCCGCAGGAACAAAGGGGAGCGACGTTGGAATGACAGCTGGACTGCTTGATGGTGGTAGGACTTGCTCAGGCGTCGAGGCTGTGATCTCAGTCGTGGCGTTTAAGCTGCTCGGTGGTGGTGGCGGCGCCTCGGGGGTTGGCGTGGAAGGAACTTCGGTCACAGTAATCTGAGTTATTATTGTTGTCGTCACTTCCACTGGAGGAGGTTCGGCGGTCGGCAATGCGGAAACTGGAGGACTGGGGGTTGTGATCTCGGGTACCACTGGCGGAGCTGAACTTGCGGCTACGTATCCTTCGCTCATCAAGCTCTCAATCAGCGACTGGAGATTCGTTGTTTCCCAAGTCTCTGGAGGTGGTGGAATGGAAGAGCTCGTCTCGGAGGTAGTCGGTGCTGCGGGCTCGGTGGTATTCGTAACAATCTGCCTCTTTACGTGTCGTGGAAAATAGTAACGCGGCTGCTGTCCCTGTTGTGTTGGTGCAGGAGCAGCCTCCGCGGTAGTTAACAGTGGGCCGTAAAGGGACACCAGGGCCATAGAGGCCGCCCATATGGTTGCGGAAGTGCGCATAGTGTCGGTTGCTCGACTGTACCTTTTAGGAAAATTTGCGAAACGTCGGGTATAGAGCGGCCTCAGATCAAAAGAGAAAGCTAATACTGGTATGCGTTAGAGTTGAGCTCACGACCGAGCCGTGGACGCCTTACTGTCAGGGCTAAAATATAAACGAGTGTACTTGACGGATCAAGAAAAAGAGCTTATCTACGAGTCCAAGTCAGCATGGCATCCAGAAACTGCGCCTGAGACCTAAGGGAGTAGAAGCTACGATGCGCTCATGCGCCTGTACCGATGGATGTGGAGTAGGTGATGACTTACTAAACCGTCAACGCAACAGCGTGGACCGGTATCTCAAAGGCAGAGCGAGAATGTTGTTGGTATCGACAGCGAGTACGTCAATCCACAGTCTAACAGTGCATTCTCCTAAACTTCCGAACTATGCTTCTTTTTTGAAAGGAACGACTAGAGCGAGCGCGTGCAAAGGTAGAGAACAGCCGAAGGATTACGAAAGGCGCGTAAGGTGATGTTCGTCGGTCGTGGTCCACGATCACACGGCGAGCCTACTATTACGATGGAAGGACCGGGCGCTCAAAGGTTCGGTAGTGCTCAAAGGATTCCACGTGCGGTCCAGAAGTCAAGAACAAAGAACCGTGTCTCTCCAATTCCGAGCAACTGCAAACTAGCCGTGTTCGACGTCGCGTAGATTGCGAAGCACAGTTGTTCTTTGTGCTGCGCCTGCGAGTACGCTTGGAAATTATGGTGTTGGGGAAGTTGATGGTCGTCTATCGGTACGGTAAGATCCTTCGAGGTGCGAAATGAGCGACTTTGAGTTTGCCGGCGGTCCCAGTAATCGGAATAGACGACACTCTGGTTGTATTTGTAGAAAGCGGAGTACTTCAAAAGAGGGTGGACGTTCGCTTGGAACCGTGGGTGGTGAGAATGAGCGGTGCTGCAGTTGGCGCGAGGATGAAGTTGCGGCTGACGACCCGGCGAACACGGGGGAGGCTGATCGTGTTGAGGAGCTCCGAAGGCGACGTGTAGGTCGAAACGGATAGTAGTCTGGCCTGCAGTGCTCTCGTCGCCAGGGTGAGGATTGTCGGCAGCGTAGACTTGAGGCGGCGAACTGGGACGAGAGCGAGAGCGTGGAGGGTGAGAAGTGCCTCAGGACGCTTGGTCGCGGTCGTGCAGGGAGGCGACACCGTTGGCGGTAGCCCGTATGCAACACTAACCAAATTGGCTGAGGTCGAGGAGCGCGGCCGGCTCGCCTGGCGCTCTGCACCTCGCCCTTCCCACCTTCTCGCAACAGGCAATCGATATTGCTCACTAAGCGGCATGCGCGCAAGCTCGTTGCACTATTGGATACATCTGTCCAGAAGAGGCATGGTGTCATGGAATACTCGTATCAAGAGTGAAAGTGCGCGCGGAGAGGGTTCCTTTGCACAACACGCACACCATCTCTGCAGAAGCGGGAGGGAGTGCCCCCAGAGCTGAGATCCTGCACGGCTCACCATTCCTTCTTAGCTGCCTAACTAGCCCTCTTCAATCCAATATAACTACTACAATGCTGCTTCCTGAGCCAGGCAGATGACCTTGTGTTGCAAAGCCGGTGCGGAGTGGTCTGCTGTTTGACCATTGTCCTCCCACCGACAGAGCGGCCAGCCAGCCTCGAAAGCCCCGGTGTTCTGACGCCTTGCATCCTTCGGGGACCTGTGTGCGAGCGAGGTGGCTTGGGATCCCTTGTCTTGTTTAAATTATGCATGGCCTTTGCTTGCTTTGCTTGGCCGCGTCTCGGATGGCGCAGGGAACAGCGTCAAAAAGTACCCTCGATCTGCGCTGGCTCACCTGGAGTGCCTGGCAATTTCCACGCCTGCAATTCCTCCTGAAACCTCCGTCTCCACGATTTCGAGTTTTCGCTCCCGGGAACTCAACACTCTGCACCCGGTGCGGAAAGACGGCCGGTCAGGGTGGGCGGCCGGCTGCAGCGGTCAGCCATCTCGCGGTAACGCTGCTGTGCGGCGTGTCTTTGGTGTTTATTGGGGATGCAGCCACAACCTTCCTCTGGCGGGCTGCGGGTTGTGTGGGTCCTGCCAATGCGCGCTGGTCGACTTCCGGACTGGCGCCAGATGTGCCATGTGCCTTTGCCTGTTTGGTCCGCTTGCTCCGCCGGTTCCTGGATTGGATCGTGCACGTGACGCGGGGCGTGTCCGACTTCATCTCTTGCCTCCGACCAACGTTCTCCATGCTGGTGTCTCATTCTGACCTTCCACAGCGGAGCAAGTCAGACGATGGTCGCCCACACTTTGGCAGCCTAGGGTTTCATCTAACCTGGGCTCTCAAGGAGCAGTGACGATACTGGACACTGGCCTAGTACGCCACCGAGGGCGTACTTGGCTTTCCTCACGCAAGGCTGTAAAGGCCGGCGATGTTCGAGAGCAGAGCATAAACCAATGATGGTGATCTTCGGTTCGCAAGGCTGATGCCGCTGATGGGGATGCTTGATAGCTTGGATGACGGAGTAGTCCAAGTGGTCCAATCTCTCTTTGGCTGTGTTGAGTAGGGCTGGATGTAAACACGCGGTTTTCTGTTTCCGGTACAACCCCTAGGTACAAATGGACCACACGGCATGGTAAAGGGCAAAGTATCATTGAAGGCCAGGCCCACGTAGCGGATTCTCGAATGCAATAACTCACTGCGACTATATCAGCACAACGCTCGGCTCGTACTTACCCAGGCGTGTCTCCCTTGTCTGAATACGAGTGGTAGCAAGACCGACAGCTGATAACAGTCGCGTTAGCTATCCAAGTTCGATCGATACTGATCGAGTATGGTATTCAGGATAGCCGAACACCAGCTCTGGATCCTGTCCGCCACTTGAATGAATCCATCGATGTTGGCACATCTGGAATAATCTCTTGGAGTGAGCGATGTTACGTCTCTAAATGGTTTGAATGAGATAGACGAAGACCTGCAGCGAACGATGGGCATGGGCAAAGTCCGTCACCGCAGTCAATCGAGCGGCGTTGACCCAAGGCTGGATGACCTAAAAGCGGATTGCAGCCCGAGGAGATTCGGCAGAATTGATGCAAGAACGAGCTGGCTGCTGAAAATCTCGTTGATTTTACCGCATTGACATCAATCTGATGATTCTTCAGTCGACAAAACCGTAGATCGTGACATTGCATAGATTTGAGGCCGAGATGGGGCCAAGGGTCATCCCAAGATTCGTTGTCGGATCTATGCTCCAGCTTGTTGAGTACCAGATTCACGACTAGACTGAACTCATCGTCTTGTCGGTTGTAGAGCAGCTAAAACGATTTGATGCGATGGAAAGCAAGATATACCCATCTGTTTAGCAATTCAGTGCATGAAGCACTAAAGTTCCATTCTGTCTGAAACTGTGTCTGGGTTATCCGATATCTACGAGTGGCTTTCAGTGCCGCAACGGTCTTGCACGGCGATATTCCACCAGCCCTGTGACGTTCTTTCTTGGCGCTCCTTCCATAGTGTTGAAGAACTTCAAGGATTTATTGTGACCGTGTTGCCCTCACCCAGTCTCACCCCGCGAGACGTGCCACTCTTTAAAGCATGGCGGGGCTTGGTCGCATTGGCTTTCTGGCCATTGCTGTCGTCTTTCACCTCATGTATATCCTCTCGATCTTCGACATTTACTTCGTTTCTCCTATTGTGTCAGGCATGAAGGACTTCAGCGTGGATGCGCCTGAAGCTCCTGCTAAGCGCCTCGTGCTCTTTGTCGGTTAGTTGTGACCTCATTAAGGTACTGCGTAATAGATGAATGCAGAGCATTGGCTAAATTACTGGTAGGAGACGGATTACGCGCCGACAGGGCATTCCAGTCTTTCCCAGATCCCTCTCCCGCAAACCAGTCTACCACCGCGCAAGAAATCCGACCGCTTGCGCCATTTCTTCGCTCACGAGTGCTCGAACACGGCACCTTTGGAGTCTCGCACACGCGAGTACCAACAGAATCTCGACCCGGCCATGTGGCTCTCATAGCCGGCCTGTACGAGGACGTTTCCGCGGTGACGACGGGATGGAAGCTCAACCCTGTAAACTTCGACAGCGTATTTAATCGCAGCAGGCACACGTGGAGCTGGGGGAGCCCGGACATCTTGCCCATGTTTCAGGAGGGTGCTGTGCCTGGGAGGGTGGATGCCTATATGTACGGCGCAGAAGCAGAGGACTACACTCTGGATGCGACACACTTGGACACCTGGGTCTTCGAGAGAGTAAAAGGGCTTTTCGAGGAGGCGAAGACCAATACTACACTGAATGCAGCACTGCGAGAAGACAAGAATGTCTTCTTCCTGCATCTGTTGGGAATAGACATGACTGGACACGCCTACCGACCGTACTCACGCGAATATCTGCACAACATCAAGGTGGTCGACAAGGGTGTCCAGGAAATTACAGAGCTTATCGAAGAGTTCTACGGAGATGGAAAGACTGCCTTCGTATTTACAGCTGATCATGGCATGAGCGATTGGGGCAGCCACGGTGACGGTCATCCGGACAACACCCGCACACCGCTGATTGCCTGGGGCTCCGGTGTTGCGCCGCCTGTTACTGTGAATACGGGTGTTGCCAGGGGACATGAGGATGGATTCTCATCCGATTGGGGGCTTGATCACGTTTCAAGGCATGATGTTGCGCAGGCAGATGTTGCGGCCTTGATGGCCTACCTGGCTGGCCTGGCCTTTCCAGTCAACTCTGTCGGAGAGCTTCCACTGGCTTATGTTAAGGCCAGCCCGAAAGCCAAGGCAGCGGCTCTGCTAGCGAACGCAAAAGAGATTCTGGAGATGTATCGTGTCAAAGAAGAACAGAAGAAGTCTACTGAACTCCGTTATAGACCATTTCCCGGCTTCAAAGATGAAGAACACTCAGTAGAGCATCGCATTGCTCGAATCAAACAGATGATTGATGACGGCGAAGCAGAAGAGGCCATCAGTGGCTGCGAGGAGCTGATGAAACTCGGGCTTGAAGGCTTGAGGTACCTCCAAACCTACGACTGGCTCTTTCTTCGTGCTTTGGTCACGACAGGCTATCTTGGGTGGATAGCGTTCGCTATCACCTCAGTTATCGATCTATACGTCCTCCGCGAACCCATCGAGCCATCGCGGACCACCTTCAGCATCATGGTCTTCTCTTCTGCGCTTCTCGCATTGTATTCAGTCTTGTACGTCCAGCGCTCGCCCTGGACATATTATGCTTATGGGATCTTCCCAGTCATGCTTTGGGAGGAGGTTTATGCACGTAGATCGGCGTTGGAGAAGGGGAGAGATGTATTATTGGGTCACATCTCCTCGACCGGGGATTATACAAGCCTTGTTCTTAATACCTTCATCTCTGTTGCTTTCCTGGAGGCTTTAGTGAGTAATACGTCTCCCACCAGCTATTGACTATTCGCTGACTAGATTCCCCAGGTGCAAAGCTACTTCCACCGCGAGGTTTTCACAGTGTGCTATCTTGCTGCCATCGCATGGCCGGCCTTCTACGGTATGGATTTTGTACGCGAGCACCAGGTACTCGTCGCTACTTGGGCCTGCTCATGCGGTGCCATGAGTTTGTTCACACTGCTCCCAGTTGTGAAAGTGGAGAGCATAAATTTAATGTGAGCTGGACCGAAACGTCGAGTGCACCACACGCGTGCCCTGACACTTCTTCTCTTAGACTACTCGGCGGATTACTCATGTTTGCCGTCGGTGCTCTTTATGTATTGTTCGAGAAGAGCATCATGGTGCAGTCAAAGTCAACGAAGGCCGCATTGGCATCGTCATCGTTCGACCGGCTGTCAAGGACAGTCTTGGGCGTACAGGTCAGGCCCATCAAACTGTTGCATAGGTATCATGCATCACTGACGCATGTCTAGACCGGACTCATTGCGCTCGCAATGTATGTTACTAGGTCAAGCACTGCTTCTCTACAAGCAAGACTTGGCCTGCCTTTAGGGACACAGGTCGTTGGGTGGACGGTTCTGGGTGAGCTGACTCGTTCAATCACTCATGCGCAATAACTGACCTCAGATAGTGGCATCACTGACCGTTCCGTTCCTGCATGGTCTCCAACCGAACAACCACTACCTGCACCGCCTAGTCGTCATCTTCCTGTCATTCGCACCCACATTCATCATCCTCACCATCTCCTACGAGGGTCTCTTCTACTTCGCCTTCTGCACCACTCTAGTCACCTGGGTGCGCCTTGAGCATCACATCTACACTTACACCAACTCTCTCCCGCACTCCTCGCCCTCTGCCTCACCTACGAGTCAACAAGACCTCAATCCGTCTGGCTCCACGCTGCCGGCAGCAACAGCCAGCAAAGCGACGAAAGACACGGCTACCTACCGCTCGCTGACTCTCTCCGACGCTCGCATCTCCCTCTTCAGCCTCTACCTCCTCCAATCCGCCTTCTTCAGCACCGGGAACATCGCCTCCATCTCCTCCTTCTCCCTCGACGCCGTCTACCGCCTCCTCCCGATCTTCGACCCCTTCTCGCAAGGCGCGCTGCTCGTCCTCAAACTGCTCATCCCCTTCTTCCTCATCAGCGCCAACCTGGGCATCCTGAACAGGCGGCTGCGGCTGCCCGGTAGCGCACTCTTCGGCGTCGTTATGGCTGTCGGGGATTATTTGACGGTGAGATTCTTCTGGAGCGTTAGGGATGAGGGGAGCTGGCTGGATATTGGGACGAGCATCACTAATTTCTGTATTGCGAGCGGGCTGTGTGTGTTTGTGAGCGCGTTGGAGGGGGTCAGTGAGGTGTTGATTGGGGGCGTGGAGTTTGGGGATGAAGAGACGACACATCAAGGTGCTGGTATGGCGAAAGCGGCTAATGGAGGTCTGCGGGACATGATAGGGGAAGTGAAGACCGAATCTAGAGGATAAGAGTTGCGCGAAGCTTAGATTAACTCAAGCTGCAGGCAAGGTTTGAAGGCTCTAGAACAGAGATTTGTACCTAGTTTTGAAGAACGACAAACGCCTCTTGCAGCTTTTCTGAGTCAGAGCGCTCAGTCGTGGCAGATTCACCAGGCTTATGCATCTTAACTCGATGCAAATCGCAGTTTCTGATGCTACTCATGACACTGCTAGAGACCGTTCCAGGCGTCTTCACGTCTTGAACACTTTGAGTTGTCCCAAGATCGTTTGGCGCTCAGAACTTACTGTCTGATGCTTCGCCACAGAGCTTTCGAGTTACGCTCCTTGCTCTCGACGGCTTTCTTGTTCACGGCTGCCAGAGCATGAGAGGCTCCTGTCACAGCCTTTTCAGAATTGACTGGAAATCAAATGCACGCCGCACCTTGTCCCGCTGCTTTGCTGACTTCAGATCGAGCGTCATGCTGCTGAGGGAATGGCTAGAGCTTTGATGTCGGGTAGCAAGCACCCGGATGGCAACATTGCCAGAGTTGTAAACTTCGTGCGCTTGTTACAGACACGACTGGAGGTGGGATGGTCATGGTAAAGATGATGATTGTGAAGTCGGTGGCAAGCTGTGATGAAGCACTGACCGCGCCTCGGCATTTTGCCGGCTTCGACCGCATTCGAGAAAGTTTTTGGTCGACCTCATCTCGCGCTCCTGTCCGCATCTCATCTTCAATCACATCACTGATCTAATACACCGCATCGCCTTCTTCTTCCTCTGTCCATCCTCGCGTTGCTTCTGTCATCCAGCGGCAGCTTGTCTCATCTTCTATACACACACACATCATGTTGTCTTCAAGGATATCGAGGAGCTTCCTGCCCCGGGCAGCCTCCTCGTTTGCCCGCACATCTGCCATCCGCGCACCACTCGGTTCATCATTCGTGAGAGGCTACGCAGATGAGAAGATCAAGGGCCAGGTCATCGGTATCGATCTGGGCACTACCAACTCCGCTGTCGCCATCATGGAGGGAAAGAACCCGCGCATCATCGAAAACGCCGAAGGTCAGTCATTCCCATCTCGCCTCTGTCGGCCATTCACTCATGCATCCCAGGCACACGAACAACGCCCTCTGTCGTTGCTTTCACAAAGGACGGTGAGCGTCTAGTGGGTATCTCGGCGAAGCGACAAGCTGTTGTCAACCCTGAAAACACTCTCTTTGCCACCAAGCGTCTCATCGGCCGCAAGTTCACCGATGCCGAGGTGCAGCGTGATATTCAGCAGGTCCCGTACAAGATTGTTCAGCACACAAACGGCGATGCATGGCTAGAGGCGCAGGGCCAGCGGTACTCGCCGAGTCAGATTGGTGGCTTCGTCCTGGGCAAGATGAAGGAGACTGCAGAGTCGTTCCTTGGCAAGCCCATCAAGAACGCAGTCGTCACGGTGCCTGCTTACTTCAACGACTCGCAGCGTCAGGCCACCAAGGACGCCGGTCAAATCTCTGGTCTCAACGTCCTCCGTGTGGTGAACGAGCCCACCGCAGCCGCGCTTGCCTACGGTCTCGAGAAGGGCACTGACCGCGTCATTGCTGTCTACGATCTTGGTGGTGGTACCTTCGATATCTCCATTCTTGAGATCCAGAGCGGTGTGTTCGAGGTGAAGTCCACAAACGGTGACACTCACCTTGGCGGCGAGGACTTCGACATCACTCTTGTCCGTCACTTGGTGCAGCAGTTCAAGAAGGAGCAGGGCATCGACCTCAGCGGTGACCGCATGGCTATCCAGCGTATCCGCGAGGCCGCCGAGAAGGCCAAGATCGAACTGTCATCCTCTCTTCAGACAGAGATCAACCTACCTTTCATCACCGCTGACGCCTCCGGACCGAAGCACATCAACTCCCGCATGACGCGGTCACAGCTCGAGGGTCTCGTAGACCCTCTCATCCAGAGAACCGTCGATCCGGTCCGCAAGGCGCTCAAGGACGCCAACCTACAAGCCAAGGACATCCAGGAGGTCATCCTTGTCGGTGGTATGACCCGTATGCCTAAGGTTACCGAGTCCGTCAAGAACATCTTCGGTCGCGACCCAGCCAAGTCTGTCAACCCCGATGAGGCTGTCGCCATTGGTGCTGCCATCCAGGGCGCTGTCCTGTCTGGTGAGGTCACTGATGTCCTCCTACTCGATGTCACTCCTCTATCGCTTGGTATCGAGACACTCGGCGGTGTCTTCACGCGCTTGATCAATCGCAACACCACCATCCCAACCAAGAAGAGCCAGGTCTTCTCCACCGCTGCCGACTTCCAGAGCGCCGTCGAGATCAAGGTGTACCAGGGTGAGCGTGAGCTCGTCAGGGACAACAAGCTGCTAGGAAACTTCCAGGTATGTTATCTTTTGTTCACAGCAACATGAATTCCGCTAACATACCGATAGTTGGTCGGCATCCCACCAGCCCATCGTGGCGTCCCCCAGATCGAAGTGACATTCGACATCGACGCCGACTCGATCGTGCACGTGCACGCCAAGGACAAGTCCACCAACAAGGACCAGTCCATCACCATCGCCTCGGGCTCCGGCCTTTCAGACTCGGAAATCGAGAACATGGTCAACGACGCCGAGAAGTACCAGGAGTCGGACAAGGAGCGCAAGGCGGCCATCGAGGCGGCCAACCGCGCCGACAGCGTCGTCAACGACACGGAGAAGGCGCTCAAGGAGTTCGAGGACCGCCTAGACAAGACCGAGGCCGGCAAGATCAGGGAGAAGATCGAGGCGCTCAGGCAGTTCATCGCGACGAGCCAGGCGGGCGAGGGCACGGCTACGGCCGCGGAACTGAAGGCTAAGACAGATGACCTCCAGACGGCGAGTTTGACGCTGTTCGACCAGATGCATAAGGCGCGCAACGAGCAGCCATCCGGAGAGCAGCAGCAGCAGCAGCCGGGCCAGGGCGAGAACAAGCCGTGAAGCTCTTGATGTCGCCTGTTCATTCTTGTCGTTTCAAAAGCATGTCCTGCGCGGCCTGGGAGTTTCCTAGAAAGCATATCGTCCCTTTTCTGCTCCGACCTTTTTCTCTGTATCAATATTCCCGCTGGCCCCCGCTTGAGGCGTCCATCTTTCGTGTCGTGTCTTAGCACATACCTCCTGCTTTCTCGTTCCGGCTGTGTTTTATTAGGGAGGATTCAGGAGGCGGAGGAGTCTAGCGGAGTCGGATCGATCGCGTGTTCGGGCTGTCCGATATCGTGGTGGTAGTGTAGTATAGCCTGGATACGGGGGTGTGCAATGCCAGATTCTCCTCTCTTTCGAAACCTGTCTGAGGATCTATTGCTCTTGTGATTTTGTGCCTGAGATGCCCTTATGATCCTGGGCCTGAGATGCCGCTGCAAGTTCGAGGGTGCAGCTGACAATCTTCAGCCCGTTCTTGATCGGTCCTGGCTGAAGTGCGTACAGCAAACATGTCCATTCCTCATTCTGTAGGCGTGATAACTGGAGTACCTTGAGTTGCCAGATAATGCGCATGCACTGTCTGCGATCGCGGTCAGACAGCAGCGTTCCAAACCGAAAGGAAGCCTTGGGATCTCATATCAACGGGAACTCTACCTATCATAGCACACTGCTCTCGAGTTTGCTTCCAGGCAATGCGGACTTCGTTAGGGCAATAAAAACTTATCTGGGCACTACGGTTAGCTGGCGAGCATGTAATATCCGTAGACGCACTATTTCCAACAGAGGGCTCATTAGGCAGAGGCGAAACGGTGCTACTCTCATTGATCTCGAAGTTCTGCATTTCTTCTCTCCTACGCGAGTATCTGTGCATGTGTATATCATAGTTATCGAGCACCGAACCTAGCCACGGACATCCACCTCTTTGGGGACGCTGCAGCCGGCATAGATCATTAAGCCCCAAGAGAACAGGTTCTCCAGCTCCTTGCAAGCCCAATCCTTGCCGCGATGCTTGTTGATCAGAACAAGACCCCCCGCGATCATACCAGCGCACTACAAAAACACCATGCCGCCCCGCTGGCAGATTCCTCCGTCCCTATGTAGCTATACCCGTCCGCGTGCCCGACCGCGCCCCCTCCCCCTCCCCGTCGCCCTCGTCTTCTTCGGACTCTCCTCCTCGCTGTCGTGCGAGAAGTAGTGGCTCCGAACAGCCGTCTCGCTCTTGCGGGCTGCTCTGCGCCTTGGTACCACCCGATTGGTTGTAGGTTCAGGCGGCGGGGGAGACGGCTTGCTTATACCGCTGCGGTTGCGCTTTGCGGGCTTCTCAGAGCGTTCTGAGGCCGAGTCGCCGTTTTCAGGTTGATCCTCGTCTGAGGAGATATCAGATGCGGCAGAGGATAGAGTCTCTTCGTCCTCACTGGATGTATATTTGGGCTCAGCGCCATTGCGCGTTGACGCGGAAGGCCGAGATGTGCGTGAGGTGCCAGCGGTGTTCTTTGCGGCTCTTCCCCTCGGTCGACCACGACCGCGAGTTGCTGGTTTTGCTGGTGGCGGCTCTGGAGACGTAGCATCATCCGACTCCTGCATGTCGTTATCAGTACCACTGTCCTCGGTAGGCTCCTGCGGAGTATCCTTGAGGGCGGCTTGAAGCGAGATGGGCGTATTCAGATAGCCGTTGCCAATAGCAGAAGGCTCCTCAGCTGTCTGGTGATGGTATTGCTCGACAATGAATCCACCGCCTGATGTTTCCTCGTCGCCATTACGGATGAAGCCGCCGGATTCTACTTCCTCGGGCCAAACAAAGCCACCGCCATCGTGGTGTGCAGCATGTTTCTCCAGGTCCCCATTCGATATTTTCGTGGCCCTCGACTTTCTGTTCGTAAACGGGTTGATATTGTCCGGCACAGCCGCATTCTCGTCAATCGCATAGTCCTCGCGCATCCTCTGCACAATCCTCGTGCCCATCATGAACTTCCTCCACATAGCCAGCGCCCTCGCCTCCCTCTTGATATCCTCCTTCCTCCTCTTCTCCTCCTCTTCCGCCTCCCACGCGTCAATCAGCGCATCCTCATGCTCCACCGCGACAACCACCCCTAAAAGCACCGGCACAGCCCTCTGCTTCCCAAATTCGAACCCCACACACGCCTCCGCATAATCGATATCCAGCCTTCTACACAGCTTCGCCGTGCTCTTGAGCGGGACATGCACCGCACCCCTCGGCACCATTGTCGGAACATAGACGTCGATGTTCCCAAACGCATTCCGCGGAATCCTGCCATCCTCGATGGGGGGCGGGATGATCCACTCCGTCTGGCTCTGCGCAAAGAGGCCCTGCTTGACTTTCTCACCCCCCGCCTCGCGCTGCTGCTCCTCGATCTCGCGCTTGCGCTGCAGCGTCACCGCGCGCATGGGGACGAGTTTCATGGGCTGGGATCCCGGGATCACTTGGCGGCCTTCTTTGTGCCAGGACTCGGTGGTCTTGCAGGCTACGACGTCGGCGCGGCGGTAGACGGGCTCGGTCTTCGCGGCGTCGCCTTTGCCGGTTGTGAAGTGGCGGACTGGAAGGGCGGAGGGGAGGAGCGCTTCTTCGCGGCGGAGATGGCGCTCGAGGACGTAGTCGGCGGAGGCTTTGAGGCCGGTTAGGGTGTCTACGAACTCTTCGGTTGCTTTTTTGGCTGATAAGGCGGGTACGAGATCGCCCTCGTCCTCCGCCTGGTCGGCCAGAGTCCGTTTAGAGCTGGGGCGGGCGTAACCCAATATGACGCTTTTGAACCAGTCCTGCTCTTCGTATCTGACCACTTTGCCCTTGCGGTCGTAGATCGGGATTTTCTCTGCAGGCATGCGCACGCCCTTGGTCTTGCCTGGGAAGATACGCTTGCGGAGGTATCGCACCGTTACGTCTTTGGCTGTGCCATCGGCTGAGTACGCGATCACGTATGCTATCACCTGCTTTGCCTTGTCGGCAGCTGCGCCACGTGGTTCGAAGGTGTAGAGTAAGTCAGGGTTTGATGCTACGGTGGAGAGTACTAGAGCGTCGACGGGGATGTACGTGTTGGACGTAGGGGAGAGCACTTCGGTCCAGTAGAAAGGAAAGGGAAGGTCCTTATCAAACCGCTTGGGGGAGTTTTTTGATGGAGTAGACTTGCGAGGCGTGATGTCGGCCACGGACACGTCGTCGTCGATGTCGGAAGGAACTGAGCTGAGCTCGTCACTACTGGCAGTGTCGAGGTTCATAGTTGTATTGGTAGCTGTCGATCGCGTCTTGCCGGCGGAGTTGCGGATCGGAGCCTTACTCGACTTGATTGCAGGAATCCTACCCGGCTCTGGGTTTGTCTGTGTGGTCTGCGGATTCTTCGGATCATGATGTTTGCTATGTGATGTCTTGCTGGACTTCTTCGGCAATGCCTCTTCGCTCTTACTCCAGCCAAACCCTACAGGCTGCAAGCTCGCCAACAACCGCGCGCTCAAACCTAGGCCTCTTAACAGCGCGGTGAAGAGTTGCGCGCCCACATCTCTGCTGCCCTCGCACTTTTGCGCGCACTCCCGGAACTGCTTGAGGTCCGCTATGCGCTCTCCGTGTGCCTCCACATCTACACCTTCGTTATTCCACTGATCCAGCTCCTCGCGCAGCCTCGCAGCGCTCCTGTACCCCTGCTTCCTCAGCCCCGGCGCCGTAGTCTTGAATCTCTTCTTCCAGTAGGCAGCCAGATATTTCAGCAACCTTATAAGCGGATCGCCACCACTCATGTTCGGCACTTCAGTCTCCATCTCTTCGGCCTCAGCGCCCCAATCCCTCTGGTTCCGGTAGTCGGCCTTCTTCCCCTTTCCCTTGACCTTCTTCTTCACCCGCGTAATCTGTACCTCGTCGTCTCCCTCCAGCGGTAGCCCGGCAGCCCTCCTATATCGCTCCACCTCCTTCTTGACCCCTTCGCTCAGGCCCTTGACGAGTATGGACTGAACCTCCTTGTCGCAAGTCCACGAGTTCCGAATCAAGTTGTGAAACAACAGGAACTGCACATGCATGCAATGCGTCGCGATCCTAATCCTCTTCTCCTGCTTACTCGGGCCCTGTCTCTTGCCCAGCACCGCTTCCCTGTTCGCCGCGACATCCATATCATCCCGATTCAGCGTGATCTCCAGATCTCCCATCGGCTCTGCGGCGGGTGTGTGGAGGGCATGGTGGATGTGCGCCGCGGGCAGCGCATCTTCCCATGTCTCTTCCTCCTCGTCACTGGAATCATCCCGCACCTCCCCAGGCTTTCGCGTAGAGGCAGGTAGGACATCCTCGAACTCGTCACTATCGTCGCTCGATCCGCTTCCGTCCTCACTCCCACTTTCGCTATCGCTCTCTCCGAGCGCATTTAGGAACGCCTTACTGTCCTCGACCGTCCGTCTACTTGTCGAGGCATCAAGCGCCTCGAAAACGCTCTGCTTCGCAGGTGTCGCGTGTTTGGTCCGGTGTTCTAGCGCGTTCGTTCTCGGAGTGGCGGCGCGTTTCGCAGGCGGGGCTGAAGAAGAGGGCGAGGGTGAGGCATGGCGTTTACGGGGGACGAAGGGGGGCATCGGCTGCTACGGGTATGTGTCTACCTCCGAATGAGGCACGTAATCCAGAAAGCCGAGGGGCGATTTGATGGGACTTCAGAACTGTCAAGCTGTGCCTGACAGGGACTTAAAGTGCCTGCAGATGATGACGGGAGCCAAGATCAAGATAAGATCTCGGCTTCTGCAGGGCTGAGATGCGGCTGAAGGAGCTAATCATGCAGTCGCGAAATATATCACATGGGCGCTGAAATGGAGGGCAACACTAATGATTATCATGGCGCTTACAATCGTATGATCTTTAAGCTCTCTACTGTGTGGATGTTACAGCAGCATACTTACGCCTAAGCAGTACGAAGTCTCCTGCGTCCGGATGAACGGTGAGTTAAGGCATCTCGCCGTCTGTAGGTTGTGAAACTGTTCACAAATTTGTGATTACTTGAGATCTCGAGGTGGCCACGAGGTTTCGGGGATTTTGCGCTAAGTACTTCTTCGTTTGTCGTACTGAGAGGGTTTATGCACTCGAAGCGTACGTCGCAGCGGTAGATACTTCACGACTTCGATGTGATTATTGCGCCTGGGTCCCCAGGCTTGAACGTACGGAGTAGCACGTCTACACATTATCGTTAAGACCAGGTCACTACGCGTGAGTTGAACGGGGTATTGGCCGTTAGTAGCAAGCATCTCTCAGAGATTCATGTAGCGCAGCTCACGTGGTGTACTAAACCCATCATGAACACTTCTCAGCGGAAAGTTGCACTGGCGGAAATTGACGTGAATTCTGATGTTTTGATTGACCCGCTCCCGAGAACTCGCATCAAATCATGCTGCCAGCTGGAGACCGGCCAAAAGCTCAGTAGAATACTCCATCTTCCCAGATCGCAGTAAGACAAGCCAGGTATGCAAATTCCACCACGATGCCTTCCACCACCCGCAACATCCCCTCTCAACGGTACGACTTCTGATACCTCGCGCGGGCGCCCGGACCACCAAACTTCTTCGGCTCGCAACGCCTGTTATCCGCAACCAACAGGGTCCTGTCGTACTGCACCAGCGCCTGCTTCAGCTGGTTCTTCGTGTGCTCATCGACGTATTTCTGGTAGTATGCGACCTGCAGCGCGCCAATAGTCAGCTATTCTGTGTGTCGCGGGTTTCGAGGCTAGCGAGAGACTGGGGATGCTTCGATCGGGAACGCACGATTGACTTTGCGATGGCTTGCCGGATGGCGTAGATCTGAGAAGTGTGGCCACCGCCGGAGACGCGTACTCGGATGTCGACGTTGGCTGGGTTTGTCAGTCGTATGCCCTACTGGATACTCGGTGTTTCCCATACCGAATTTGTCAAGGCCGAGGATCAAGACTGGCTCGTACACTGTTCCCTCCGGTTAGATACCTGCATATGTCGGAGCCATTGTAGTAGCGAACGGACCCTTGAATCGGAGGATTTCTGTTCGAAGAATCCATCAGCACGCTGCATTTAACTCGTTGTTATCCTCAGAGCCGTACCTGGTTGGACCAATCCAAGAGGCTTTCCACTGTCGCAGGCATAAGCGATTGTCCAGATGCACAGCCATATCCGAATGTTACTGACTTGACCTTAATCAAGCCCTTGCCAGCCTTTTTGCGATTCATCAGCCCTGTGTTCCTTCTTTCTTTGTAGTCTCCAGTCCCGTACCTTGCAGTGAGCGACAGCTGCAATCCTCGTCAGTAACTTATCGGCGATATGGAAGGAGTCGGGAGCGCATACCAGTCGCAGTCTTCCTGTTACGATGTTAGCTCATGAAGAGGCGCACAGTGGGTGGGAGGAGACGAACTTCTTGCCGAAGCATTGGACACTCTGTGTCGACATATTGGCAGTATGTGCAGATGGTTCAGCTACTCCTCTGAGGCTACTCGACAAGACTTGGTCGCGTGTGGGGATGGAGCTGTCGTCGAGTGAATATGGCCGTCGCTGTTCGATGTGATTGTCGCAATTCTCGATTGTGCGGGAGCCGCAGAGTCGCTAACGAAACACGGCTTAGCGCTTGCATATCTTGGCGCTCAGTACCCTCACGCCCGCAGCTGGCTATCAAACACCAAGTCGGAATGGTACGAGATCATGAGCTTCATCATCAATCGAAAAGGTCAAAATTGATGAAAGGTGTGCTCGCTTAGCACCATGTTCCAGGTTCTTGATACGCAACAGTGTAAGGATGCTCGCTGGGCACAGGTCGTTTCTTGCGGACCTTCCGAGTTAGCGATTTTGCTTCTTTCTAAGTAAAAAACTTGCGATATCTTCCAGTTGTTTGTCGTTGGCTTAAGGCTCTATGCGGCGGATAGCCCATCCTTCTGCAGCACAACTCTTTCTTCAAGACGGCCAGTTTTACAACCACATCGCGCAAAATGATGCCAGAAACCACTCCCTCACCTGAAGATATCGAGCTAGGGAACGAGATTCGCAGACTGCAGATGGCTAGAAGATTTCCTGTAAACTGAATCTCTCTTATTCAAGCTCGATGTAATGACACTGTTTAGAAATACTTGATCACCAGCTAACATCTCTGTGCCTTCAGCCCCACGCAGGTGGATCATGCACACCACCAGTGGCATCGTGCTCCTTACAACCATAGGCTGGACTCTGGTGCACGTGAATGGTGCCGTCGAATGTGACAGTTCTGGTAGCTTGATAGCCTGGGGAACTGGTAGCGCGATAGTGGCAGGTTTTTCTCTTTACAGGCTCGGAGGCTTGATGGAACACTCTGTGAGGCGCTGGGAAGAGGAGGCGGAGGGAGCAAAGCATCGGCTCTCGTTTGCTAAAGCGGTAGCAGCACCGGTACTGGTGGGCGGCTTGGCTCATACTGTGGCCTTCTGCATATTTTGTACAACCTCTTCGATATGATAGAGGGCGCGTGTGATGTGCCACCGCACACACGATGGAGGTAGTCAAATGCTAGTGGGGTACCATCAGGGGGGCGGTGCGATGGCGTCGCTACAGAACATCCTGTGGCTGACGAGATTAAAATTAAGAACTTCGTCAAGAACGCGAAAGGCTAAGGTTTGCGGCAGCTGTGTGCGCGTAGCAGCATATCTCACAACCCTACAATATCATGAGTATCAACAATAAGAAAGCTCACTCGACGCAGCTTGTGTCGTATGAACTTCCGGAGAGTTCTATTCTCAAATTGATAACTGCTTGCACATCTCACGCTCTCTCGTAGTGCTTCGCCGTTTGTCAACTGAGTATCCGCTGGGGTTGCTGCTCAGCTGGTTCGTTGAGGAGAGTTGGAGCTCGACCTGTACTGCATCGTTTACTCTTCGCTTCTTACTTTGGTGAACGTTGAGCAAAAGCGGGCTCAAAGCTACCTGGGCTAGGAAATACTACAAAATCAGACTGTGATCTGCGAGGGAGTTGCAAAAGCCATGCAGAAACTTTCGAATAGAGTTGTATAGCGACGAAAGCATGTACGCTTCATGGCCACGACGTACCACTCTCCACTTGACACCCGACAACGTCGTGGTCGTGTAATGGAGAGGTGGAAATGATGATGACGGTGTTGGCTCTCAACACGTACTCTGTGGTACCGTTCCTACGGTCTCCATGGTGGGCTGCCAACAGAAATTGGCCTGGTACTGGGCTTCAGTGAAGCTTTATCTTTGCAGCTCATACAATCGTCTGCTTTACCAGCGCACCGTAATACACACAGCCTTCGTCCCTCGCAGTGTACCTCCTTTCTCGAAACGCCGACAAGCCGCCATGACGAAGATAGGAAAACCTCTACCATACTCATTCAAGAAAATCGAGATGGGAAACACAAATCTTGAGAAGCAGGCCGAAGAGGACCTCCTGACTCCTGTAATAAACGATCTCTTATTGGAGCTTTGTGTAGAAAAGCCAAGCACAGCTGGCAAACGACGATCAAAAAGTCATGCCGCTCGGTGCGAGGAAGGTTATAGCCATGATCATGATAGCTCGACCTGTTATCAATACCCTGACGCTCTCTGAGGGCGCCAACCGTGACTTCTGAACACACGTATAAGCTCCACGAAGCGGTTATGCGCTCGAAGCCCGTACTCTGGGACTCATCAATCGCGCTCTGGGGCACCTTTCGTCGCACAACTGCTCGAACATCTGCTAACGCGCCTCGTGTCTTCAGCCAGCGCGGCGACACATAACCGCCTCCGCCTTCGGCATTGTCGGTTTCGTCGCTGGAATGTACACGGTGCTGCACTGGAACCATAGCCCCGCGCCTCATAGCATTGGCGGCATAGTTTGTTGGATACTTGTTTTTGGAGTACTGGCAGCGGGTTTCGGCTTTGTCATCGACGCATCGTGGGGAAAGAGTGTGTAATAGTGGAAGCGGATAGAGTACTATGTTGCCGTCCTGATGGTTTTTTTTGGGAGTATTGCTGCCGCTGCCATTCACTCTATGGTGCTTCATCCTGCACATTCTTCTGGAACCTCTGGGATAGTGGGTGACCCTTCAGATGTTGATGCTATCCTGCCTATACTCTCGGCTCTAGCAACAGACGTCAGCAGCTGACGCTCGGCGCAAGGTCCAAGCTGTGGCATCGGTCACTAAGCCTCCAAGGTCTTCCATTTGCTAGAGCACCGCGTGAACACTAGCATGTCCTCATGCGTTCCATGCAAGCGTATGGACTACACATCGGCGACCATATGGTGATGCTTGGGCTATCTGCGGCGTGTTAGAAGCTTCAACCTTGATCCAGATGTCAACTCGTACCTTGGCGGAGGCTGGAAATGGACTCGTGTCCCATCCTTGGATCACTCGGTCGTATTGACACTGATCGTATCTTGAGACAAACTGCGCGCTCATGGCGCCTTATGCAACTCCAGCCTCTCCAACCTCTGCTCTACAACCGGCAACATTCCTGCCAGCCGATTCGCATCCCTCATCAGCGCCGGGATATCCGCCTCTTTCTCGCCCCGCAACTTCATCTTCCGCTTGACCTCGTCATACTTCTCCTCTCGCGCGGTGTACTCCCTGATGACCTCGCCCGTCTTGAACTCCACAAACACTCTCGTATCTCTAATCCGAAAGATCACATCGTCAAGACGCAGGAAGAAGCGCGAGAGGAGCAGCAAGCGCGCAGGCATGACGCGGATCTTGCACGATAGCATCGCGATGCCATTGTCTGCGAGCTCATCTTCATAGAGCATCACCTCATCGAAGAACAAGATCGGGTCCGGTCGCTTGAGGAGCTCAAGGGGGATAGGCGTAGTTGTTGGTTCGAATTGAAGTAGATTCGAGGCAAGGGACTCGGTGCTGCCCGCGTGGTCTGTGGAGTAAGACCAGTCGAAGGGCTTAATAACTTCTTTTATGTCTGAGGAGTGGTGCTGTCTGTGTTTGGCTTGTTAGATGAGGATGATATTGTGGGCTACTATGAACCGGTAGTAGATATATAGCTTGGCTGAATAGGGGAATGCTCACCTATTCTGCTGCCACTCCTTCGAATATGACACTTTCAGCATGCTGTCCCCGGTCTTGTCTACGCGATCTAGAGCGTCGAAGGCATTGAACTCGATACTCCATCCGCTGGCTGGGTGTTCGATTCGCGCCAGGTTATCGCCAAATATCATTTCGGGGGGCGCAATCCCAAGCTTTTCAGTCATCTCTTCTATGGGCCCCGCCTTCAAGATAGGTAGCTTGCGCGTGGTGACCTTGAAACCGGCTTGAGTTATGGTGTTGTCATTGGAGGGAGCATCTGAAGGAAGTGGTGGGTTGGTCGGGTTCGGTAGGGGTACTGCTGGACTGGCCATATTTGAAAAGAGCTGTGCCGGACGTCCAGAGGATGGGATACCTAGGTATAAAATCGCAAGTGCTCTTGAACTTCTGTTAACGAGCCCAGTCAACGTGCTGCAGCTCGGCGAGAATGACGGTTGATCGACTTCCAGACCACCGTCGTATCGATAATTGCTGAGCCGACAGGTCACGTGCCGGTCAACATCAATCCAGAGCCCAGACGAGCCTGATCGCTGAATCCCACCTCTATCTCTACGCAACATCAAAATCAATTGTTCGAGTTGAAAGGCGAAGGCGGTTCAGCTTCGTTACTAGCCCTGTCGTTACATCTCCAATACCTCCTCTACCCACGATGGCCGGCACCGAAACTCTGGAAGCCTGCTTTGAGCGCATTACCGTCAATGACGAAAATGAAGAGCAATATAGCTCGCAGACGACAGCTTACCACAAATCAAAAGTACTCTTCCCGCGATCCTCTTCCACGATCGGTTCTAACATACCGCTAGGGCTCCCTCTCTACGGGCATGACCCTTACCAGCCTCTCCGCTTCCACCACGACCTCCACCGCGCGCCTCAAGCTTCCCCTCCAGAAGCTCCCCAACACGAACACTATTAAGACGGCCAATGCAACCGTCACGAAAGTCACACTACCCTCGCAAGCCGCCCAACACCTCCGCACCGAACCCCGCAGCTCCGACGACGCGCTCGCCCTCCAACAAGCCACACACCGCTCCGATCCGCCTCTCTATACCCAACCTACTCTCCCCAAGCAGTTCAGTCTGGGCATGTTCGAGATCGGCAAGCCCCTAGGCAAAGGAAAATTCGGGCGCGTATACCTCGCACGCGAGCGCAGCACCGGTTTTGTGTGTGCCCTCAAAGTCCTGCACAAGTCCGAGCTCGCGGCCGGCAAGGTCGAGAAGCAAGTCCGGCGAGAAATCGAGATCCAGTCCAACCTCGCGCACCCGAACATCTTGCGCCTCTTCGCGCACTTCCACGACGCGAAGCGCATATTCCTGGTGCTAGAGTTCGCGGGGAAGGGTGAGCTGTACAAGCACCTGCGGAAGGCGGGACGGTTTGACGAAGGGAGGGCGGCGGGGTATATCGCGCAGATGGCGAAGGCGTTGAGGTATTTGCACGGGAAGCATGTCATGCATCGGGACATCAAGCCTGAGAATATTTTGGTGGGGTTGATGGGGGAGATCAAGATTAGCGACTTTGGGTGGAGCGTGCATGCGCCGAATAAGAGAAGGAATACGATGTGTGGGACGTTGGATTATTTGCCGCCGGAGATGATCAAGCCTGGTAGGTCTTCCTTCTCCGCTGAGGCTGCTAGCATCGAATTATGAGGCGAAGTCAAGACGCTGAATGTGGGTCAACAGGTTCAAGCGAGAATTTCTACAACGAGAAAGTCGATCTCTGGTCGCTGGGCGTGCTAACATACGAGTTCCTGGTTGGAGAAGCGCCATTCGAAGATACTCCAGTCATGACGCAGCGGAAGATTGCAAGGGGTGAGTTCAGTGTCCCGGGATTCGTGAGCCCCGAGGCCAAAGACTTGATCAAACGATTGCTTGTGCTCGATCCCGAGAAGCGAATTTCGCTCGATGACGTGCAGAAGCATCCTTGGATCGTCAAGCACTGCATCAAGGGCGAGCGAGCGACGATGAGAGAGTCTGGTGGAAAGTGAAAGGGAGCGGAAAGGAGAGTGAGAGATGAGGATGTTGAGAGGCGTATGGATGATGAAATCACGGATCTTGAAAGGCGTTCGCGGTGTACTCGAGGAGTTTTTGGATGCATGAGCAGGAGTTGGAGTAGTCTACATAAACGAGCTGGAGCTCTTCCCAGACGCCATCGCTGTGCTATGGTAGTAATGCAAAGTACACAAAGTTCCTTCCGTCTCTTGCCGCGTCTTCAGATACGTTACCTGTATATCTCATCGAACGGTCTGGTATCGTTAAAGCAGCTGTCCCACACCTCGTTCACTATCCTCGCAGCATGCACGTCATCTTTGCAGCCAGGTCTGTTCATGACGGATAATGTAGCTCTTCTCCTCACGCACTCCTGCAGTTGCTGTGTAAGCTTCCACTGCCCCCTTGTCCAGAACTCCCGGCCAAAGCGGCATTCGCCTGATAATGTCGATGCTCGGATCTATGACAGCTTGTCAGCAAAACGCCCAAGATCTTGAGTTTGCAGCTCTTACCTCTGTACACGCCGCATGTCTTAAATTTCCCCTCTCGACCTTAAACCGCAAATGATCCCACGCATGCACCATCTCATGCGCCATCGTATCCTCAACATGCCCCCGATTCCTCAGCTGGTTCGCACACAGCAAGATCCCATACTCGCTATCGAACCCGCCACTCTGCCGCGTCGTACACCGCTTACACCGCACGTTCTCCGAGTTGATGTCCTGCCCCAGCTCGTTGATCTGCTCGCGCAGGAAGCGCACCACGGGGCTGTACTGCAGAAGGTAGTCCCGATGCTTGGCGCAGCGCGCGCAGTCGGCGGCTTCTTTGATGGTGTCGCGCGCGTTGAGGTAGCGGTCTCTGTCGGCGGGGGTTGCTTGACCGGATAGGATGGAGAACCAGGTTGACCATGTGTAAAAGGACTTGTCGGGCTGTGGTGCCGCGGAATCTGAGGGGTTGGAGGTGGTGGTTTCGGGAAGCGTCGTGTCGGCCATAATTGCGGCGAGCTGGGATTGGGGATACGTAGATAGGAGCGAAGTTGTGGCGGTCGGGGGGTGGTGTGCTGATGTTAGCGACTGCACCGAGAGCCTGATGCGGTATGCAAAGCTGTTCGAACGTTTTGGTATGGGTGTATGGTGAAGGTGGTATTGAGATGCCCAGATGCTCATGACCCCTGCGCATCACCCAACTCAAAGGCGGTGAGTCAAAATTTATCAATCCACGCCCTACGCCCCTACGCCCTACGGCCTACGGCCTAGGTGTGACATGTAACTGAGGATAGTATTGAGCTGTACTTAAGCAGGTCATTGGCCTTCAGCTGGCATACTGTAAGAATCTCCTTCACATTCAGCTCTTGCCGCAAGTCTTTCTAGCGTTCGTACAACTAATCTACCATGAGGAAACCCACCATGAAGAAGCATCTTACAATAGTCATAAAGCTCGGTATAGCGCAACCTGTATAGAGCTATTACTGCCTTCCCCTGCAACCTATGCTCATTGCTCCCAGGCTCTTCCTCAATCGTCGACGAAAAGACCCATGAACCACTTCTCTCCATTCTGACCCTCATCGTCGAGACCGCCGTAAAGCTTCACCGAGATGGCCACCGCGTCGTCATCGTCTCCTCCGGCGCCATTGCCGTCGGTCTGCGCCGTATGGACCTTGCAAAGCGCCCGAAGCTCCTGCCCAAAGTCCAAGCGCTAGCAGCAATAGGCCAGTGCCGGCTCATCTCGCTCTGGGATCAGCTATTTGCCCACTTGCGGCAGCCCGTCGCCCAGATCCTGCTCACGCGTACCGACATCGCAGACCGGACGCAATACATCAACGCGCAGAACACATTCAATGAGCTGCTGAGCATGGGCGTGATTCCTATCGTTAACGAAAATGACACCCTCGCTGTCAGCGAAATCAAGTTCGGCGACAACGACACCCTCTCCGCCATCACCGCCGGCATGGTGCAAGCAGACTACCTCTTCTTAATGACGGATGTGGACTGCCTGTACGACAAGAATCCGCGGACTAATCCCGATGCTAAGGCTATCGAGGTCGTTGAGGACATCGCCGAGCTCGCCGCCGACGTATCCTCCGCCGGCTCCGCGCTGGGCACGGGGGGCATGTCAACGAAGATCGTGGCGGCACGGCTCGCAACCTCCGCGGGAGTGACGACCGTGATCACCAAGTCCAGCAAACCGGGCAATATCGCGAGCATCGTCCGCTACGCCGAAGCACAGAAAGCCGCCGCCGCCATGAGTTTGTCCTCCAGCCTCGCCAGTCTCCATGACAATGATCTAACCACCACCTCCGCCGCCCTCCCATCTCACACTCCCCCACCGCCAGCCATCCCCGTCACCGAGCCATCGCACCTATCCCAGCTCACATCATCACCTTCCTCTGTACAAACCATCCCCGCAGCCCCTCTCCACACCCGCTTCCTCCCGGACCCTAGGCCCATCCGCGACCGCTACTTCTGGCTCCTCCACGGTCTCGCACCGCACGGTACACTCTATATCGACGCAGGCGCGCACCGCGCGCTGTGCGCCAAGGCCGGCCTGCTCCCCGTTGGAGTGGTCGACCTGGAAGGCGGGTTCGCGCAGCAGGAAGCCGTGAGGTTAGTTGTTGTGAAGCGGACCAGCAACGGCACAGTTATGAGCACGGGCGCGGCAGCTGCCTGGGAGAAGACCGAAGCAGGCGAGGTCGGCCGCGCGATTGTGAACTATAGCTCCGCGGAAATCAGGCGGATACGGGGGTTGCGGAGCACGGAGATAGCGGGCGTGCTCGGGTACGCGGATTCGGAGTATGTGGCGCTGAGGGAGAACGTGGCGGTTTTGCCGGTGGAGAGGAGTAGTAGGCCGACGACGCCGGGGCTGGGGGAGAAGAGGGGAGGAGGATGAGTTTGGAGGGAGCTGTGTAGGCGAGGGGCGCTTGGAAGATGCGGGCGATAGGCACATAAGGATTGTAGGAAAAGAGAGCTTTGGGCCTCCGCAGATGGAAGTGGTTATGGAAGCATCATCGACTGGTGGGAGATTTATGGAATGGCAGAAGGCACTTCAAGTCATCTCATTCCACACTGCAGGTGATTAAGTAAACCTCAAGAGTCCCCAACGAATGGAAGAATCAACAGATCGAAAGCAGGTCGTCCAACTTTCCTGACGTTGAGATGAACAGGTAGGCTTCACGAAATCCCTTACTGCACATTACAGCTAGAACACTCGGATACGGTTGGTATATCGAAGATTTTTGAGAAGTCGATGAATTAGTGCGCGAACCTACACATAACTGCAGATTCAGCTGGATCACAACTTGGAAGCTAGGCTAGATGAGCTATATCAAGACCACCGCGACTTTGTCTGTACCGTCTGTGCTGTCTGTAAGGTTATACACATGAAGTCGGGATAGAGCTGGAGTTGAAATAAACATGTGGTTGGCAGCCGGGCCGTGCAGCTCCTCCATGTCAACCGCCAACACCGGAGGGTTGAGCATCGAGGATGCCTCAGGCGGTCGATGCACGCAAGCATCATACTGCAGGACAGCCTCTTGTTGCAACGATGCTAAAACAGTTTGATGTTCTTACTCATGTTTTGTGCTAGTTGTACTCGAGTGAATTCACCACGCTACTTGCTCGAGTAGAAAGGGCTTTCTAGGCTGTGACGTAGGCTGCCATGAACGCATAGCTCCAGAAGACCACCACCCCTCACCCCCCACCCTGCGTGTCGCCTTTGTGTTCGCAGATGGTTGTTCTTTGCCTGAACCTCATTCGACATGGCTGTCGATGAGTTCTTGTACGTAGTAACCCGTTGCCAGTTTGGTGCTCGCAAACAATAGCTGACCACCACCCAGCTCGACCGAGACCGACTCGCTGACGCTGCCCACCAAGTCCTTCTACCCGGTCAGGATACCCATCGCGTAAGTTCTATATGACAATCCTGGGCCCCTAAGAGCGCGCTCACACCATAGGCTAGGCACTTCCAGCTTCGACACTACATCAGCTCGCCGGAGCCGGACCACCTCTATTATTCCAGCGGCGAGGATGTCTACTGTCTGAATACGGCCACGAGCAAGCGCACGCACATCGCTACCTTACCGTTCGAGGCGCGATGTACAGCCTCGGGATACGGCTGGGTATGCGTCGGAGGAGAGTCCCACGGACACTTTGCCGCTATTAAGCTTGATGGCGCAGCCTCCCTACAAGCGGACGTGGATTCCCTACTACCGCTGGAATTTGGCGGCCCGGTCAGGCGGCCGCTTCTGTCGCCCCGCGTCAAGCTTGAGAGGATCGGAGATGAAATTGTGAACTCGATATCAATCCACCGGCTGGAAGAGGAAGATGAGGGCGAGAACATTGTTGCAGTCCTTACGAACAACGACAAGACGGTTCGCATCTACTCCTTGACCCACGGTCTGGAGACCACTGTCCTGGATCTTTCGTTTTGCATCAACCATGCGACCATATCGCCCGACGGCCAGCTATTGATCGCGGTCGGAGATTACCACCAGGTTTACTTCTTCCAGAAAGTCGACCGACGACAAACGCGGAGCAGCGCCAAAGGGCAGGCTCCTGGTTCGCCATCGACAGCGCCAGAGTGGACAAACATCTCCGTGGTCCAGCTTTATGTTCCGTCCTCGAATACCCCCACTACCGGGTACTTCACCACGGCTTGGTCGCCTAGCGGGGCCTTGGTTGCCGTGGGGTCTGAATGCGGATACATCACAGTCTTCGATGCGGAGCTTCTTGTGTCGTGCGAATGGGGTGAAGATGCGATAGTGCAGATTGTTCGATCCTCAAGACCAGATACCCAGAATGGCCCGGGCGCCATCCGCACAATGCTCTTCTCTCCACAGCCTTGGGACCTCTTGATATGGAGCGAAGACCAAGGAAGGATATGCATTGCCGACATCCGGACCGGATTGCGGACCAAACAGGTTATCCAGCTTGATCCTAGAGAGGAAGGTCTGCGCCGGATCGAAGTATTAGACCTGCCCGACGACATGCCCGCTCACCAACTGGAGCAGCGTGTGCTGGACCAGGAAGCGAACTTCATCCGCCGGTATAGACGAGCCCTCGACAACGAAGGCATCTCCGCTGCCGTCAACCATGCGACGGAGTACCTCGAAACATCCATTGAACGACGTCGTCTGCGCGCCCAAGCTGGGGTTGTAGAGTCAGACAACGATCCGCACGGACTGACAGAACAGGAACGCTCAATCCTCGAAGCGTTGAGAGTAACACGCCAGCGTGAGGAAGCTCGCAGCAACGGTGTCATACCCCGGAGCATTAACTACACCTCTGCCAACAACCACGGGCCGCCTGAGACTCGGCGATCAGCACGTACATCCTTCACCGATCTGGCTGCACTCGCACGCGTACCTAGCCAAAGTACAACAGGTGCGGGACTTGCTCTGCCGTCTCTTGGCTCAATCCGCGAGTTCCTTCGCGACCGTCACCTCGATACCCCTCCGCCTGATGACCGCTCATACCAACCACGGCGTCAAGCTTCCGTAACACTGGGCGATGGAAGTGCCACCCAGGGGCCCTCGCGAACCATATCCACCGCCGCACACCTTGGAGATGCCCAGGCTCCAACAGACGCATGGCGCGCGATCTCGGACGCCATGACCCGCTCTCCCGCCACGATCTCCCCTACCCCAACCACAACAACCACCTCCTCGACGACCGCCGGGCCAACCCTTCCACCGTACCTGAATCCCCAAAGCGACGCGGCACGCACAAGTCCTCCCCGCACTTACAGCGACGCCCGCGTCCTCCGCCAACTCGTCCGCCAGCAAGAACTCCTCCGCGCCCACATCAACGCCACCGACCCCGGCGCCCGCCTTGACCCACCTGTTGCATCTTCCTCCTCAGCGCTCCCGTCGTCGCTGTCTAACCTCACGGTCACAGCGACTATGGACCCACGCACCGCGCTGGGAATGGGCGCCTCGCCCTACGGCAACGTTTGGGCACAGCGGAGGATGCGATTAGGACATCAGCATCTCGATCCAAGGGATGGGGTTAGGACGGCCGGGTTGGCGATGAACGAGGATGGGAGGACGTTGTGGGTCGGGACTGAGGAGGGGATCTTTGAGATTGGGATTAATGTGCGGGAGAGGATGAGATTTGGGGCTGTGGTGCCGAGATGATGGAGAAGGGGACTTTGGGCTGGGAGTGGTAGCTGAGTGTGGACCAAGAGGGTTGTCGTGAGGAAATATCCAAAATGAAAGGATAGGGAGGTGCGTTTGATATCAGAGTTGTGTTTTTTTGAAACCCCATCGTCATTTAGCGGGCGCATAAGCGAGGCAGATACGGTCTTTTGAGCCGTGAACTGTGTAGCGATGGAAACTTGCTTGGAACCTTCTTCGCTTCTTGTAGCCTACGTTCATCACAGCGGTTTGATCTTCTTCCCGGTATGTGTTTTCAGCAAAACGAACGTAGTTGAATGAATCGCTTTACTGATGACCATCATCACAGTGTTTCAGTAACGGTGGTGCACTCGTAGCTTCCCAGGTAACAAAAGCTCCTTCCGCACGGCCGTTCTTTCCTCAGCACAGGCTTTTCCTCGACTCAACCCTTCTCACAACAACAGTTTTCCTGGAACCCAGTCTCCTTCCACAACCTCAATTTCTCTTCACAACCCCGCTTCCGTTCTCGAGATATAGATTTCATCCACAAACTCCACCTCACCTATACGAGTGTCTACTTGCCCGTATTCTTGTTCATCCACCACGACCCGGGGCAGCAGCAAGGCCTCAAGCCAAATGCTCATAGCAGTGGACAACGCCGCATCAAATCAGCTATACCACTTGCCCTTCAGCTCGACACTGCCACCTTGGTGCGCATTGTTGTATCCTCTGAGCCGACCCCGCCCAAGCCTGGCATAGACGGAACGTTACACTCAACCCATCCTACCCTTTGGGCATACTGACGATTGGCTTTCCAACATTCCTCAACCTGCTGTCTCGTCCTCTTCATCACCTTCGTATCGCAGCTCGTACTCGTCACCAACCAACTCCATCAGGTTTCCGCGCGAGAGCATTGCATCATGGGCTGCCGCCAGCCTACTCTGCTGCCTCGTCGAACAATGGCCCCCTTGCTTCTACTCTTCTCGTTATTTGTCCTACTGGTAGTGGAGCCTTTTCCCATTGAGGTACTCACTGCTTGGCCAACGACATCCCCTCCTGGATCCTGGCCCTGTCGACCCGTGCCTTAACGATAGCTTACCGACCGTGTTCCAATGTGGGACCAATGCAGTGCGTACCAGCGTCGAACCACCCAAGGCTCTTCCTAGTACCGACGAGGATATGCAGGCGCAATGTCCGTCACGGTGGAGCATCCGGAGGATGAAAGTAAGTCGACAATCTCGTTTGAGTATCCCATTCCCATGTGCAATTTCACGAACGTGCCAACGCTCGTGGTATCAGGAAGAGCGGGTGAGCCTCTTTTAACCAGCTATCTCCCGGCATGGGTCGTTGCGTCCCCATGCACAAGAGCCGGTCGACTGGGCCTGCAGAACCAAGGCTGGCCAGCGTACTTGGGACGTCGTCTTCTGCGCCCGGATTCGTGGCCGGTCAACGCTCTTCGCGCAACACGTACAGGACGCCTCGGGCTCCAAACGCTTCCTCGCCGGCACTATCGTATTTTGCGCGAGCTCGACACTGGTACTGGCCTTGCCTCCTGGCATCACCTAGACGACACCGAGGGAGCCGGGAGACTCTCATCCAGAACCAAGCGCACTTCGCCAGGCTGGACTGCGAGTACTTGCTTCGCCAACGCAGGATCGTCAACGCTGACAGGGTCTTCGTGGTGGTAAACCACGAAGTCGAAGTCAGTTGAACTTCGCTCTTAGATATCGTGCTTCTATACCGGCTCGTTCGTCATCCAATGCGTGAACATGGGGCACAGCATCAGACTGTGATGCTAATATTCATCACCACAGGGTCCGTGGAAAGAGTGGGCGGAGAACGCTCGCGAGATCCAGTTGCTCACACTCGCCGTTGGATGCTTTATCCCCGCCAACAACAGCCTTTGGTTGGAGGTCCGGTACATAGCTCCCTCCTCGCACCTGCCCATTATGCGCAACTTCGCACAAAGCTTTACAGAAGGAGTAGTCCTTTTGTGATAACAAAAGCCTAGCGAAGTTGCTGGAGGCAGTTCTATCAATCCAACACAGCACTTACACACTTGCGCTTGGTCCCGCTTGTGAGAGCGAGGTCGAGAGGAAGGAGTGAAGCTGCCGGTCACCGGGCTTCAGCAGCAATTTGGCGTGGCTGGAGAGATGCCGCCAAGGACTGATCGACGCCGGTGGCCGGTGGCAAGGAGCCGGCAACTATCTCGTTGCTTTTGGCAAGATGGCCAACAATCTCAGCCTTCACTCGCTCTAGCTAGCATACCCAACAGAGGTAATCACACGTTTGTAACCAACATCACAACTTAGACACAGCGGTAGACCTCGGGCAGCGTCAATCCAGATGCAGGGGGCTTGGTTCGGTGCAAGGTGAGTTAGATAGCCAATATTTCAACCGCCGAAGAGCTTAAGAGTATTAATGATTAAAGAGGCCTCATGATTGTTTGAACTTCCTTCAGCTAGCGGAGTAATACAGTTCCCAACTGCGTGATCACGCGTTGCTGTCAAAATACAATAAGATGTCGAAGTCCACGATGCTCGGCGTGGTGTTGAGCACAGCCACGGCACTAGCCGCTCAGCCCTACGCTTACGGAAACCGCGCCGAGACCTCGCCGCCTCATCCGCGCTTCGAGCATCTTCTGATATTCACGTTCTTGACTTACGCGTTCTCTGCCAGCCTAGCCCATTAGTAAGAGCAGCAGCCCTCACTAACATACCAGAGCCCATGTCCTTCGCCCAGCATGGCCACCCCATCCTCATCGTCGACTTCCACACCCAACTCTTCTGAACAAACCTACACAACCATGTCCGTCGGCGATGTCGAGGCCATCGGCGCCCACTGCCAAGCCGCCTTCTGCCACCAGCTCGACTTCCTGCCCTTCAGGTGCGAGAGCTGCCGGGGAACTTTCTGCCTCGATCACCGCACAGAAAGCGCGCATGCATGCGCCAACGCCGGGGCCTGGGCGCGAGCCCGGAGACAACAAGAACTAGGCGGCACCACAAGCGCGCAGCGGGCCGGGCAGAAGAGTATGCTGAACCAGGAGCGCGAGTGTGCGGATTCGGGGTGCAAGACCATGATCTACACAGCCCGGACGCCGGGCGTGCTCTGCGCGACCTGCAACCGGAGCTATTGTCTCAAACACCGCATGCGCGAGGACCACGACTGCAAGAACCTCAAGCCGGTGGGCGCGAGAACGACAAGCGTTCAGACGCAACAGAACAGGGAGGGCGCGCTGGCCAAGCTCAAGGCGTGGGGTGTGGCGAGGAAGGCGGCGGCATCCTCGAATATCGCGAGCATAAAACCGAAACCGGCGCCGACGAGCGCGGCGGCTAGGACGACGGCGTTGAGCGCGCTGAAGAAGAACGCGAAGGGGGACGAGAAGGTGCCGGCCGAGAAGCGGGTGTATTTGCACGCCGAGGCGAGCGCGGACACCGCGGCTGCGAAGTTTCCGAGGGGAGAGTTCTTTTACAGCAAGGAGTGGAGCGTCGGCAGGGTGCTGGACGATGCGGCGAGGAGACTGCAGGTCGAGAACCTGAACAACAGAAGTGAAGGGGAGGAGAACAAGCTGAGAGTCTTCCACGTGGAGGGCGGCCGGCTGCTAGACTTCTCGGAGAAACTGGGGACGGCTGTGCAGAGTGGGAACACGATCGTGCTGCTTAGGGGCGTTGGGCCTTCTGCGCCGGATTTGATCAAGGTTTAAGGGAAACGGATATTAGGGGTTCGCCTTGCGATGGGTTCGGGGTATCAGGTTCAGCACAGCGATGGAGTTCGATACCACGGTCCTGATATTAGCGTGGTTTCTCATGGTTGAGGCGTTGTTACAACGCATTATGATTACAGTAAATATTTTGCTTCTGTGCCATCCGCCTAATGTAGATTTCACACAGCAAAAGTTACCGGACGCCAAAATCATCAAGCCGCGCATCCACCATCACATCTACCACGACGATTACCGTGAGCTTTTAGCCTTCAATCCCTCTTACAGCAGATTCACAACGTTTCTAGCGCCTCTCTTCATGTTTGTTTCCCAACTGACTACTTTTTTATTTTCAATGGAAGAAAGTCTGGTAATTGTTGTCATCCAGGTAGTGCCTTCCCAGTCCGCCAGATCACGTGCCAATCAGTCCTAGCGCCCCTTCCAATCGCGACGCGCTCGAGTCTGTTTACATCCCACTTCTCCCACCACCACTTGAGTACCCTCGAGAATTACCACCGCAAAAGCAATTTACGCTCACTTTCAACATTAGCGCAATCGCGCAACCCACGCGCCAGACCAACCGCAAAACAATAATAACAAACCCACAAAATGTCCGCCCTCAGATCCCGCCCCGCCCAAGCCCTCTCCCAGCTCCTCTCCGACTCCGAAGACGAGTTCGCGCTCCAAGACGCAGACACGATGCTCACGCCCGACAGCGCGATCGAAAACCGCGGACCAGGCGCCCAGAGACGCACGCGAGGACGACCGCCAGCGAGCGCAGAGACGAAAGCCGTGGGCAAGCCGCCGGGTAGCGTGCTGGGCGCGAAGAAGGAGGGCGCTGGGGCGAGGGTTGCGAAGAGGGCGGTTGCGGGTGCGGCGAAAGGGAGGAAAGCAATAGCGGTGAGGGGGAGGGAGAAGGAGAATTTGCCGATTGAGGAGGAGGACGCGGATGAGCTTGACGAGATCTCGTCGCCGGCGGATATGAAGCGCACAGTAGCGGTCAGGGAGGAGGAAGAGGTGGCGCCTGCTAAGCCGGCCAAGAGGGGGAGGAAGGCGAAGGCTGCGGTGGAGGAGGTGTTAGCAGAAGCTCCTGCGGAGCCGGCCAGGGGCAGAGGAGGTCGGAAGGCTGCGACTGCTACGCAATTGGAACTGGTGGAGGCAGCACCCGCGGCGAAGGCGGCGCCGAGAGCCACGGCTGCTGGGAGGAAAGCAAGAACTGCGAAGAACGTCCCCGTAGTGGAGCCTGCCAAGGTCATCCCTGAGACGCAGCCAGAGCCAATGAAAATCGAGCCGGCAGTATTAGCCATGGAAGATGAGGTCGACGAGGTCGATGAGGTTGCAGCACCTACACCACGGCCAGCAGCAAGGACAGCGAACCGAGAACTTTCGGCTTCGAAGCCGCGACCAGCACCTGTAGCGCATAGAAGAGCCGGAAGTGCATCGGACACAGAAAGGGATAGAGGAGGCAGTGATCCGGCGCTGCGGAGGAAGCTGGGCGATATGACAAAGAAGTTTGAGAACCTCGACATGAAGTACAGGAACCTGAGGGAGGCGGGTACCAAGGACGCAGAGAGCAATTTCGAGAAGCTGAAACGGACGAGCGACGAACGGTGCAAAGGTTAGTATCTGTTGTCTGGTACACCAGAGGTATATGCAATGTACTCGGGTACTAATGACTACATCACAGCGCAAGAAGAGCTCATCGCCTCTCTAAAGCGCGAACTAGCCACTCAGCGCTCGCTCGCCTCTGAAACCAGGTCTCTCAGCGCCCAAGTACAGACGCTGAGCTCAGAAAACGCGCGACTAGAGTCTGAGAACAAGGACCTAATCAAGTCGCTGCAAGCAGCTCAAAACGAGTGCAAAACACTCTCCACCAAACTCGCCGCGCAGCGGACAGCATCCACGAACGTGCAAAGCGTCGACGCGCCTAAGGTGCCCGGCAGCGCTATTAAGAATAACACGGCTCGCACAGTCATGGTCGGCAGTGCCGAAGCAGCCAAGGAAGCACAGATCAGGAAGTTGAAGGAAGAGCTATACGGCGATCTGACGGGCTTGATCATCCAGGGCGTCAAGAGAAAGGAGGGAGAGGATGTGTATAACTGTATCCAGACTGGACGCAACGGCAGTAGGTTGCGACTACTCACGTGATTGAAGAAGCTAGAAGCTGACTTGACCTTTCAGCACTCCACTTCCACCTCTCGGTCGCCACGGAAGAAGCCAAGGCCTCCTCGACGACTTACGAGGATGCGGAGTTCGCGTACTCGCCGCTGCTGGATGAGAACAGAGATAGAGAGCTCCTGGAAATCTTGCCCGACTACCTGACTGAGGAGATCTGCTTCCCGAGGAGCAGTGCCGCGAAGTTCTATGCCAAGGTGGCCGAGAGCTTGACCAAGAAGGTCGTTGTAGAGGAGTGAAGTACAGTGGTGCATTCTGTTGTCCACACAGCAAGCGGGGGGAAGCGCTGCTGAATCGTCTACGGTGTTGGTTAGGATTGGTCTCTGGATGGGTTTACTATGGATTGGCTCTTTATCATACCCTGTTTAGCTACGAACTTTGAAGATCCCTTTCCCTTCGGTTGTCTTGCGCAAATGCGGTCGGTCTATGCGGCGTGTTGGTCGAAAGAATAGTAGTTCCTGAAATACGCAAACATTCATTTCAAACGTGCATTGAATCTGTATAGCAAAATGTGGTCCCGGATGCGGAAACAAGGCCTTGAAGAGGGCAGGGGATTTGAAGTCGTTCGTAACGGGCTCTAGCGGTACATTGATGCTGTATGTACAGGTCTACAGCTCTTCGAATGTGGCACCGCCGCCACAAAACGTCGAGTTTTCATCTCCATCCCCCAAGCCCAGCCCAGCCCACCCCACCAACAACCATCAGCGCCAGCAGTGATGCGCACTGGAATCTACACTGCGTGGCCCGACGTCTTCTTGTCCTCCTTCTCCGCGTTCTTCATGAATTCTCTGCGATACCGCTGTTAGCCCCAGCTCTTGCCGGCAGCCTCCAATGGCCTATCTCGCGAACACTGTCGGGGACGCGGCATGGGACCAGTGTGACGTACTGTATGAACTTCTCCTCGTCCTTGCTCGATGCCTGAATCTGCGGGCCCTTCGCTGTCGAGCTCTTCTTTCCTCCCATTGCGGCCCAGCTGCCGACGAAGACCGTGCCGAGCGTTGCCATTGCGAGCTAGAGTATACACTGTCAACATTCCGGTCTGCTGAATTCTTTGCCGTTTGCGTGTTGAACGGTGAACATGAAGCGGGGGGCTGTGTATCGGGGGGAGGCTTGGGAGGAACAGTGTTGGGGGGCACCCACGACGTGCGAGCCGACCTTGCGGCCTGCGATTTCGTACATGACGACCATTTTGAGAGCGTGGGGGAGTCGTGAGGAGGCTAATTGGGATGCAGGCGCTGTTGCTGAGCTTGGGGACTGCGAACGGGCTTGGGGGAGCTCTCTCGCTGTCGTCGGCGATGTCGAGCACTTGCGCCGGACGGAAATGCACCAGCCACACGCAACAGCCACATGTCGGAAAAGCCACGCGAGAGAAGTGACGTCGCGGCTTCTGCCGAGGTGCTGCTGAGATCTTGCGACAGAACACCTGTATTAATACATTGTCCCTCCTGGTTGTGAAGCTGCGCACCTTTTCTTTTGAAGCGGCAGAACTCCTACGCAGATTCGTGAGTGACCTCGCGTTATGGCGAAGGACGACGACAAGAGCGTAGTTGAGGAAATCCGCCAGCGAATTGGGCCAAAACCGGACGAGACCAACAATCCGCCGCCAAAGAAGCTCCCAAAGTCGATACAGGAGACGCTGGACAACGAGGAGAAGCTCTGGGAGACACTATATGAGGGCCAGTGAGTACAGCTCCATTTGGCAAACAGCGCCAGACTCCAGAGTCACCAAGCAACGAGCCCATCATCATGAATACCACTACTGTTATCATCGCTCCTTAGCACTCGCCCTACCTCAAACACGCTCACCACGTTTACCTCACGCCTCCAACCCCACCATCCGAAAACCCTACTGACCCCCCCCTCCCCCCAGCGGCCGCGAATCCACCGAAACAAACTGGCGCTACGCCGCCTACGCAACCCGGATCCGGACCATCCTCCTCTCCGCACACCGCTACGTCGCCTACACGTCCGACATCGGGGAGTCCTTCCGGCCAGTCGCGCACCCCTACCTCGTCAAGGGCGCTTATGGCATCTCCTGGGCCTATCTCGCCGGCGACGTCGCGCACGAGGGCTACAAAGCCTACCTGCGCAACCAGCGCGTGCTGCACCCCGACGCCACGAGCCCCGCGGATGCGATCTCGGGGTACGGGAGCGGGCATGATCCGGCTCAGAGGGAGAAGCTGGGGAATGTCGGCGCGGTGGTCGGGAGTGATAAGTTTGCGGCGCAGCAGCCGCAGAGTGTGAGTCTGGGGCCGGGGAATACGGGGGCGAGTACGGGATCGTTGAGCGCGGCGAGGGTGCCGGCGCTCGAGGACTATAGGACCGTTATGGTGCAGAGGGCCTTGTTCCAGGGGATTGCGAGTATGGGCCTGCCGGCGTTTACGATCCATAGCATCGTAAGGTATTCGGGCCGCGCGCTGAAGGATGCGAAGAATGTAAAAATTAGGACGTGGGGGCCGATCGGGGTATGTGAATCGAAATGCGGGTTCTTTGGGTGGTGAAGGCTAACGTTCTTGACAACAGCTGGGTCTCGCTGCCGTGCCCTTCCTCCCATACGCTTTCGATAAGCCGGTCGAGGAGGCCATCGAGTGGACTTTCCATAAGGCCTTTGAGACTTTCGGCGGCAAGAGCGCCGTCGGTGACAGGCCGGAGACCGGTAGGCAGGAGCTGCTCCAGCTTGAGAGCAAAGCTGCTGCGGCGAAAGAGAAGGAGCTGTAGAGCGCTAGCAGGCTAGATGTTCGGAGACGGTGGAAGAAGGCGTAGTGACCGAAAAGTCGAGAAGACAACGATGCCGAAGCAATGATATCTTCCAATCATGGAGATGTGAACGACGGCGTTTATACCACTCAGTCAGCGTTTGTATATGCACATATTCTCAATCATCATTCCATGTCAGAAGCTCCTAAATGTCGCGTTTGGGAGATACTGTCTTGACGGCTACCCATGGAAGTTTGCCAGCTTCCGGATTTCAAGAGTATTGTGCAGTCCTATGCCGTTAATGATGTTGCAGCACCAAGTTTGCGATAAATTGATCGGGGGTGGTTCCCAATCAACACGCAACAAATCCTCCAAAGATATTGGGGGATGAGACGAGTGCCACAGGCTCTCTGTAGCCCTGGATAACATCCACCGTGTGCATGTCAAAAACCATCAGGCAGTGCATAGACAGCAATGGAGCAGTGAGATTTCAGCAGATTTTAGGTTATTGCGTCATGGGACATTGTACAGCACTTGGGTTCCCATATAACACTGATACTATACAGTTTTGGGATCGACATGCCCCGACACGGTAACGAAATCCAAACTCTTCTACCTCTATTGCGTTCCAACCGCGGCTCCAGAACCGGACGCAGGGCCATCAGCCTCCGTTGCGCCCCCGTTCGTTTCAGGTGGCGGCCCGTCTAGGGTGTATGCCTTCGCAGCATCAAGCATCGAGGCGCTCGGCGTCTCCCTCACGTTCCTATTCACCTTTGTCCGCGCAAGGCCAGCGTTATCCTTGATCATCACGCCGGCGAAGTAGGCCTCGAGATCCTCGACATCTTCCAGTTCGCCGATATATCCGACATACTGGTCCGGCCGGACGACTACGACGCAACCCCTCTCCTTGTCCACACCATAATTCTTATACGCGTCTCCAAAGCCCTCGTGGTAAGACTCGTCATCTACGAACACCTTGTCGTAGTCCCAGCCTCTCTTCTCATCAAAGGGATGCAGGATGGTCGGAAAGTCTACCAGCAGCTCCACATCCACTCTCTTGGCCGAATGAAGCGTCAAGATCTCAATGACCGAGTCAATCGCCCGGTCCGGCGGCGTGTACCGTCTGATCACCGACCCCGGCTTCTCCAGTTCCGCGCAGAACTTCCTGACGCGCTCTTTTTGCTTCTCATCCGCCATGTTGCCCGCGAACAGCACGATCCGGAAGCGGCCGTCGCTCATCAGCCAGTACTGAAACGGATACGGACGCGCACCGGCCTGGTTCACGACTTGGAAGCTCTGGAAGCGCATGCCGAGGGGGATGTTTGTAGCCAATTCCTGCTTGCCGACAACCTTCCTCGCGCTGCTGCCGTTTGTCGCGGCACCTGCAACGCCAACATCCGTGCCGTCGCCTTGCTCAGCCGAGTCGCCCGGTTTGGCAACCAGCATGCTGGCGCCGTAGTCGACGCTCAGGCCGCTGGCGAACTGGTTTCCCTTGACGAAAGCGGCCTTGAACTCCTCCATACTGACGCCCGCTTCGTCCGTCACGTCTTTAGCAGGGCGGCCGCTGAAGAGCCTGCTGAAGCGGTGGTCAAAGGCGATGAGGTCCTGGGCAATGCGGCGGCGCTCGGACTGGTATGTCTTGAGGATGCTGCGGGGTGAAACGCCGTTTACGACGAGGCCGATCTTCCAGCCTAGGTTGAAGGCGTCTTGCATGCTCACGTTCATGCCTTGGCCTGCTTTGGGGGAGTGCGTGTGGACGGCGTCGCCGGCGAGGAAGACGCGCTGGTGCGCGTCGAAGTTTGTACCGACTCGCTGACCGATCTGGTAGGCTGTCCACCAGTCACAGTACTCGTAGGTGATCTTGTAGGGGCTCATGGTCTTCTGGGCGGCTTTCATGATCACGTCGGGTGTGATCTTGGACCTGTCGGCTCGTCCGCTTGCGTCTGGTCGGATCTCTGACAGCTGGATGTATAGGCGCACGAGTCCATTCTCGCGGGGGATAACCATTACACTGCCGGAGTTGGCGCTGTGGATTGCGCAGCGCATGCGGATATCGGCTGTTCTCGTCAGTAACCAGCCCTGGACTTGGTGGTGGTGTCTGCTTACGGAAATTCGTGATTGGGATGATGTCCAGCACACTGACAATGTTAGCAAGTTCTCATAGGTCTGTCAATAAGCATTGCTCACCCCCAGATGTAATCGGTAGCCTCTCCCTGCATCTCGTATCCAAGCTGCCTCCTCGTCCAGCTATGCGCGCCATCACACCCAATCATGTACTTCGCATGGACGATCTCAGCATTGCCCTCATTCCCGGTGCTCTTCCTGATCAGATCATCCGTGTCATCTGCAGCCAAATTACTCCTAAACAGCCCATCCGCAATATCGCTCGACTTCGACTGCGCCGGCATCGCCTCCTCGTCCGTCAAATGCCGCAGCTTGACCGTGATGGGGTATGCGTCATTGTCCTCGATCTTTGAGGCATCGATGTCGAGCGACTCCGGAAGCACGCCACGCTCCACGGTGATATCGGAGTACTTCTTCAGATGGTCAAGGAAGAAGCGCTCGATGCGGCCTTGGTGCAAGACCACTTGCTGGAAACGCGATACGCCTGGTATCGTATCTGGCACCCGGTCTGACCGCCGTATCCTGCCGTCTGGACCTGGGTTCTGTGGCCGGGATGGTTAGGATTGCTGGCTTAGGCGAGGACTTGGTTCTTGAGTCTTGCTTACCCACATGCACATCTGCAGAACTCTCTCTCAGTACAGGTGTTGAAACCGTAGACACTATACAACTTACCTCAATCATGTGATTGCTCTCCTTCCACACCCGGTCCGCGAAGCCAAAGCTATCGAAGATCTCCAAACTTCGGCATTGTAGCCCGTCGGCTTGACCGCTGAAGATCTTGGTCCCGCGCTTATCTACTATGCGAGCTTTGATACCGCATCTTGCCATCCATGTGGCGGACATGAGCCTTGCGCTGTGAGCAATGTGATCGGCGTGGGGATACGATCGCCGGATAGAAATTTACCCTGCTGGGCCGGCGCCGACGATGAGTCTGTAATTTCAGCGTAAGTACCTGTTCCTAGCAGAGGTATCAGGTGTAGTTACTCACACATCGCAATTCGACTCTGGGATATCTGATCCAGCCATCTTCAAGGGCCTAATGGCGCGTTGTGAGGCTCAATCGTCTGGAAGACGTTTAGTGTTGTATGGGTTCAAGATCACAGATCTTGCGGGTAAAGCTGGAGCTATCGGCGCAGAGCTTGAGGAACCCATATCGGAAGGCGGTCGGGATATATCTACTATCATAGAATGCGGGCGTATGCGGAACGACGCAGGAACGCAAGTCATCGGTAGCCCGCCCGGGAGATGCTGCGGGGATGTGGGGTTGTGGGGTTGTGAAGGCGTCTTGGCGGGCTGGGGATGGTCGTCTTCCGATCAATCCTCGGAGGCCAATGGATAATTGTCAACTGCCACTCTTTTGGATGACCTTTAACCATGATAAAGACGCTCAATACTGGGAGCCATTCAGCCGATCCCGGGTAGCCACTTACCAAGTCTTTATGCGAGTCGCGAATGTATAATATCAGGCTGGCCATGCAGCAGAGGGAATACGGGCATGTTTTGTTACCGACATCGAAATTAGCACTGGAGTAGTTCAACGTAGCATATGTTCCGGACAGCTTGGGTGGTTGATTAATAGAAGAGTTTTGCTGCTGAGCACGCACTGTTTCTCGTCGTAAGTGATCGATATGATGTTCTCTATATCAGGATCTATTCTGTAGCAGTGCCTTTTATACCCGGTCTGTGGATACTTCCTCTTCACTCTTCTTCTTCTCGTTCTCCAGCGTCACCGCTTTGGACGAACTCTTCATTTTCGGGTCAATGTCCCTCGTAAAGAAAGCCGCAACCGTAGCAAGACATCCAAAAGCAATCGCAGCGAGGTATGTTGTCGAGAAGGCTGACACGTAAGCCTTCTTCACCGCAAGCTGCGTCGCCGCGATTACGGTGGTAGAAATATCGGGCACCGTCTTGTACGCGGCAGCCGTGTTGACTGCGGCAGCCTTGAGCAAGGCGGCCATGTTTGAGCTGGGAAAGTCCAGTCCGGACACTGCTGACAGAACTTCGCCAGGTAGATGCTCCGCGAATCCGTTGTTGACGATCGCAGTGTAGATCGCAGTTGCGATTGCGCCGCCCATGAGCCGGAAAGTGCCCGCAAGGCCAACGGCAATGCCGATATCGACCTGGTCATCGATGCCCAGGCTTAGCATGGTGAAGCTCAAAAGTTGTGGTGGCGTTACTGTGGAGCTTAGACAGACGATGGTTATGATTGCCTGAACTTTGTCATCGAGTCCGACGGACGCCAGCGAGCCGATGAGAGCTGTCTCACATATCATGAAGATCACCAATTGCCAGCGCTCGTGGCCAACCCTAGCACAGATGAAGATGACTACGAACGAGGAGATAATAGTGCCCAGCGGAATCGCTTCTGCGTAGAGGCCTCTCGTGATCGGATCGGGACCGGTGAAGAGCAGACCTGACTGACGTGGCCAAAGCACGTTCATGGAGTCTAGTTGTAAGTAAGTAAGCAAGCAAACGATCTTCACCAGCGATGGTAACACCTGGACACACTTACAGTACAGCATACCGCCCACAAAGCACACAACAAGCACCATGGAGAAGCGTCTCCAGCGCTTGAAGAGCCGCGGCGGCATCAGCGGGTACTTCAGATCGGCATACACCTCCCAGAAGCCCAGAGCAACAAGACAACAGACGCCAACCACCATTGGACCAATCACGTGCGGGTTGTTCCAAGGATACTGACGGCCTCCATAGTTGACGCCAAGCAGGAAGAGCAGGCATCCGGAACTGAACAGAAGCAGGCCGACATAGTCAAGCTCCTTCAGAAGCTGTAGCTTCGTCTTCCCGTCATCCTTGTGCTTGGTGTGGAAGGTTGGAGGGAAGTAGGTGCATGCGAGCACGATGAAGAAGAAGCCGTGAAAGGCAGCCATATACCAGTACGCGCCACGCCAGCCGATGGTAGTCTTGTCAATGAACGCATAGGCTACGAGTGGTCCCATAAACGAGACGCTGGCGGAGAGATCGAAGAGACCTGATACATAAGTCAGATGGGAATGCAAGCTACGCAAGAGTACGTACCAATCGCATAGATTCTCCACTTGTTCGGGACGATCTCTTGAATACAGGCGTAGGCCATTTCTTGAAAGCCGGACCCTGTCCCAAAGATGACACCGGACACGATCATCTGATTGATGCTCTGACCCGTAGCGCCGACAATGGTACCGATGAAGCTGAGTCCGGAGCCAAAGAGGATGAAGTAGCGGCGGCCGAAGATGTCACTCAACCGGCCGCTTACGGAGATGATGATGGATGCACATAGCTGCCACGAAACCTGAAAGATTTATGAGTATACTGGAACAGGTAATCATGCAGCGTAGCCGTCATACCGTGATCCATGTGTATGAGGGATCCGGACCAAGGTCAGCATTGATGTAGCTGAGAATCGTCGAAGGGATCAGAAGCGTCAGGATGTAGGCGTTGAATTGGGATGTCAGGGCCTGCTTGCGTCAGAACTTGCAAGGAGAACTCGTTTGAAGCCGTACCAAGAACGCAAGGACAGTCTGTAGGTTGAGTTTAGGCTCGACTTCCGCTTGGTCATATGTCTGCGCAGTGTTGTCGCTGGATACATCCTCCACATAGACGGCGTCGGTCTTCTTCTGCTCAAGATCAACGGTTGTAGACATGGTGCAGTTAAGACCGCGCCACTTCTATACAAGAGCGCTTAAAGCTTGGAATTTTTCAGGAACAATTATGGTTCTATCTCGGTTCTGATGCTGAGAGGTTGAGCCTGGACTTGTGGGGAATTGCATCTGCACCGCAGTACAGCGGGCTCTTGCTTGATAAATGCTCTCACTGCTCTGATACTCCGCATATGCGGCATGACCTACGAAGCAAAGCACAAGGGTCTCCTGGTACGCCGAGCGGACGAACGCGAAGGCTTTACCTGGCAATGATGATAGCCGGTGGAGCGCAGGCGGAAAACCTGGGGAAGATGTTCGGAGAAAGTTTTCCATCACACTGTGCGCTTCACGGTGCGGCTTTTGACAGGTTAATATCGCCATAGCGGAGCTTGTTGCTGGGTCGCTGGGGAAAGTCGGCTGCCTCTTCCGGGTCGCTGCATGCTCCGAGCAGATTAGCTTTCGATCCAATAGCCTCCTAGCGAGTACTTCGTGCTATTTCCAGGATGATCTCGCTGCACTGCACGAGTGAGCAGAAAAACATCGATTGTTCCCTGCTGACAACAGATTCTTACAAACCGCCATTCATTCAGTAGGCCCTTATATATTTCCTTATGGCGCCCCGCACTTTTCCCAAATAGTCGTAGGCAATCTGTTGAGCTCAAAAACTTGTTGGATCTGTAAAACTTGTTAGAACCCAAAACCTTTTAGATACAAAAACTTATTAACAACTTGTTAATAACTATTTCAAAATTCAAAGACTTATAAACAACTATTTGGTTTACAAAGGTTTTACAGTCGCAAAACTTGTTTCATTAAAAATGTTCTACTCTGGTTGTTCAATTCTAACAACTTGTTCGGTTTTCTGCGGGGCGCCGTAAGGCTGTTGTACATGCGAGGTCACGTGATCCTAAACCCTTGTCCACGAGGCCCATCTCCTCTAGTGCCCGCCTAGCCTCCCTATCCTTCTTCAACTCCTCATCAATTTGAGCCAACTCAATAATGGAGTTGAATCAGGATAACCGTTGTGTAACCTCATCAGCATGTTTGAGCTGTAGCTCGAGGTAGGACTAAAGATCTTTGGAAACATAGTGACGATGATACATTTCGGTGATTTTGGAGGCTGGTGGTTTGTGTTGCCCGCGTGCCGGTGTCTCTACCTTGGCCTGCGGTCTCAAACCTTGTCTCAGCGGCCTCAGCCTTTAAGAAATCCCGGCCTTCAAGGAATTCCGACCTGCAGGCTGTTCACTGTCACTCGCCTTCCTTCCAGTACCACCACGTGCTTTCACTTGGAAACATCCAGAAAGTCTACATCATCTCCACCATCCCACCCTCGTCTCCAACCACACTTTGCAACCCAATTCGTCACAAGCCGCCATGTCGACACCAGCAGAAGACCCGCACGAGCGCGATATGGGTTCCAGTTACATGCCCTCAAGTCATGTCGCCCAATCCGAATCTGAGGCCTTATCGACCGAATCTGAGGCCGTGCCGTCGACCGTGGAGGAAGAGCCACTATTCCCCCTCAACGACAGCGTCTCCGGGCCGCGCCTCGCGGGGGCCATACTTCGAATCGCCGTACATGAGACCGCTCAGTCTCCGGAAGTCGATGATGCTCCGTCTCCCGAGGTCGGCGATTCTCAGTCTGACGCGGATACACAAGACCTGCTAGCTGGAGCCGCATTTGCTGCGATGGGAAGCCGTAGACACCGACTCTCGCCAGACAGGCTAGCGGAAATCCAAGAGCAGAGGGACGAGCTTCCCGCCGACAGCGGAGTCCGCCCCCATGCGCGAGAGCTCTGCTTCTACGGCAGGTGGCTGTTGCTCCCTATTCTGGGATTGTCCGGCGCTTGCCCGTGTTTATTGTTCGTCGTCGTTTTGAATAGGGCTTTCCTCGCTGTTGCAAACCTGGAAGTATTACTAGTGCGGACCATGTACAAAGAAGCGTTGGCAGGAGACGCCCGCTCTTCATAGTGGATTAAGGTGCTTTTGCTTCGCCCTAGCCTTAACTTTCCCGCCGCGCTTCTAGTCGTTAATCTAATTATGTCTCTTGCGGTAGTGCTCCTGTATACCGCTTAGGGTCTAGTATATATAAGCGGATTGAACGCCGCCTTGACTATCTATAGTATACTAGCAACTGTCGTGCTAGGTGCTTATACTTCGAAGCGGTGCAGAGCTAGAGCCCGGGATATCTATTAGGAGAGGACTACTAATTGGATAGCGAGTGGATGCGGCTGTCCCTAAAGCCTGGTTTTCATCAACGTGCATTAATACATTGATGATATCTATCGCCCTACAACTTATAAGGCACATGCTCCTGCGGCGAGAATGGAAACGCTTGCGATCTATTCAATCGTGGAACGCCGGCCAAGATAAGTAGTCTTTACGATCTCATCCACATTTGTAGCTCCCATGATTTGAGAGTCTTCTACGCTGTATGCAAAGGAGAAGGAATCTGGTTTCGACAGGCCGAGCCACTGCCCGGCTGCAATAAGAGCTAGGATAAGAGAGAAACAAGTGAGGGCGTAGCTTGCGATTGAAAGCCCAGTAGCAGTGTCAGCGTAGATGATAGCGTAGATAGTTCCGCCGCTAGTACAAACGATAATAAGGAGGGCGAGGAGTATGTATATCTTACTAACGTAGGGGTTAATACAGTGTATTGATGCTTCGATGAGGGGAGTTGTAATCCTTAAAGAACCCGGCATGTCTAGGGAGATATGAGAATGTTAGTATCAGCTACAAGGACTTACCGAGTATCTGGTGCTTCTTTGATTTCGACGACATAGTAAACAGGTTTTCTCCACTTGGTTGTAGCAGCTAGTCGGTCGAGACCACGAAGCATTATCTTGGATGACCTAAGCGGATATCTTAGCAGATACTGGAACTGTGACACTGCTTCGCCCTTTGCTACTATAGCTGGGACCTTTGCAGTGACAGTGTATCCTGTAGGGTCTTCGTCTGGATGAACCGTGCGTTCGAACTAGAAATGCATGTAAGAGATCCTTTCCCAAATACCGAAGGTTTAGAAACATACACGGATGAAACTAGCAAATCCAATCGTTCTTATAGACACTAGGTCCCAAAAAATGCTCTGCTGCCGTCGGTTGATGATCTTGTAATGCTGTTGTAGCTTCTTGACTAACCACAGATCGGTAAGTTGGTCTGGATCCACGACCGTAGCACCTATAATGTCTTGAAATGTCGTGTAATGCTCGCATTTCTGACTTGATACGATCTCTCCTCGGCTCGTATAATAGAAAAAAAGGCTGCTCGCTATCAGTGCTCTCTTATTCCAGTACTTGTCTCATACAGAGTTGGGAACCGCTTACTCAATTCTTCTTTGCCTAGTATCAATAGACTCCGGCCGCGGAAGTACGCCTGCACCTATAGCACTCGACTTTGTAGGAGGACCTACACCACTACCTCCTCGCAATTGAACAAAATATTGGCCATCCTCGTTAGAGGAGGATTCATCAAGACCACGATCAAGACCTCCTCCACCACGCATTCTTACAGTGTTGCTTCGGATCGCCGACGTCCGACGTCTCCTTAAACCCTCTCGTTGAGACTGCGTTCGAAGGTCATTCTCCGCCTCAGGTAGAGCAGCATACAATGGCTCATCCTCCTCATCTAAGCTCTCTGCATATGCCTGGTGCGGCGGTCTTTGAGGTGCAGCTGGACGTTCAAAACCGTCCATGTTGACGATGACCGGGCGTCCCTCATTTACCGGAACTGCTGCCATTCGGTGTTGTGCTTGTCTGCGGCGTAGCTCCTCTTCTCTTCGACGGCGCTCATCCACTCGTATTCCTGCTTGCCAACCAGGACGTGGATTTAGCGCTGCCTGGATGATCTCCGGTGGGCGGGCCGCGGCCATGGCAGGCGCTTGAGGACTGTATTCCATAACTATCTCAATATCGGGGTCTACGATATGTGCTGGTTCTGCCCTGACAATTGGTCGTGGGCCTATACCATCAAAATATGCCGCGCCGGTGAAGTCAGGCTCATAGTCCGCTTGCCTCTCTGGATCGTACTCCCCAACACGCAAGAAACGCCGTTCTTCGTTATGGATCACCCGGAGGGGTATCCAGACGCGGTTATCTCGGGGCCTCCTCGGCCGAGGAGCAGGGATGGGTCTTCTCGCATAGTGTAATACAAAATTCTCTTCACCATAACGACGACCCGGGCGGACTATGGAAGGAGGCCTTCCAGCTGACCATGTCTGGTAGCCAAAGGGTGGAGGAACAGGCTGAGGTTCGTTTGGCCTTGGCTGAGGTCCAGCTGGTGGCGTTGGTTGGGGTGCAGCTTGACCGCCTGGCATGTGACTATCATCGGAAGAGGAACTAGAAGAGTCGCTTGGGCGTCCTTGATGTTGGTGGCCATGAGGGGGCGGAGGTGGAGGCGGGCCTGGATGTCGCCTTCTCGAGAGCTCGTACTCGTCTTCGTGCCTGCGGTTGTCGTAGTTTGACTCTTCCGCCACCTTAGCAGCTAGGAGAGCGCCTCGACCTTCTCCAGTAGCAACGTAGATTCCAATCAGACGCTCAATCTCTTGGTAAGAGGGAAGATTATCCTGCCTATTCTGGCTCCCATCAAGAGCGTCATGGTCGCGCGCCCTCCTACGAGTTCCATGTCGGCGTGGCAATGCTGATGGACGACGAACCCTAATTTATCTTTCAGCTAGAAATTAAGAACCCTACTAGTATCTTAACTCTTATATATAAGAAAGCTATCTTACTACAAGAGTTAGAATTAGGTTAGTAAAATATACTAGCTCTATTTACTCTATAACTACTATTTAGAATTAAATTAAACTTAGACTATATATAGTGTATCTATCTTATTCTATTACTAGATAGAGTTATATAAAATTATAAAAGAGTAGTATAAATACAGGTAATAGAGTTAAGTATATAGTAAACTTTAGTAAATATAACTAAGAATAGGGTTAGTAAGATATATTAACCCTATTTATTCTATAACTACTAGTTGCAATTATATAAAACTTAAATAGTATTTATAGTAACTCCTCTTCTTTCTATTACCGAGTAGAAATTCTTAAAAAATAGAGAGGTAATATAGATATAAGTAATATAAACTTTAGTGTATATAGCTCTATAAGTAAGACTAGTAGAGAATCGAGCTAGTAAAATATATTAACCCTACTAATTCAACTAACGGAAAATCGAGGTTTCTCGGAAAATTAGTATTTTCCAAGCCTAATTTCCATGCTTTTAATCCCTTAGAAAATAGAATATACTATAGAAAACAGCCTATATTATAATCCGGCTAGAGGAGAGCCTTAGTATAGTGTTAAGCTATACTAGCCTAGCTTGTAACTAAGCTAGATGTTACAATCCCACCTTCTTAGCATTCTTTCTATATCTATAGATGCCTACTATCTAATAGACGGTAGGCTTTAGTCTTTATATATACTACTAGATACTATTTCTTAACTACTATAGAATATATCTTACTACTAGTAATTATCTAGCTTAATACTATTAAGCTGCTAGCTACTTACGTGGATATATTAACCCACTAGCCTATAGATTCTACTAAGAGACTTTAGGTTACTAATAATTCTAAAGCCTTCTTACCCTTTTAGGGTATCTACCTAAGTGCCTAGTATAGTAATTACCACCCGCTCTGACACTATATTACCCTACCTGTACTAACTACCCGCGCCTATACTAACACTAACTACTCGACCCCCACGTAATAATATAATCTCCCGCTTTCGGATTTCTTATACCACTAGGCCTATTCGTGGAAGCCTTTATCTACTAACCCTTCTAACTAACTAACTAAATTAATTATAGCCGCGCTAACGCGAATATAAATATAAATACATCTAGTAACTACTACGCGTCGCTAGGCTACCCTACGCGTCCTCCTACCTTTATATATTCTATCTACCGCCCCTCGCCTACACTTTTCCTTAACTTTCTATTAATAGTACTATAGATTTATTTAACTACGTGCTAGACCTTAAGGTCCTTATTTATTACCTATATTACTATATTGTCGCTCTAAAAACTATTAAGGCTTATCTACTTAAGTATTATCGCCGCTATATAGCACTATAGCTATAGCTTACCGCTACTATTAACGCGCTATTAGTAACCCTTTAAGTGTAGTATCCTCTTACTAATTCTAAGTTAGCTTCCTTTTAGCTTTTAGCTCCCTTCTTCCTTACTATTCCGAATATCCTAATCTTTAAGGATAGCTTACTATACTCGGAATGCTACTATATAGTATATACTAAGAAATCTACTTAAAAGCACCTTCACTTTTAATATATAATTGGCTTCGGCTATAGAAGCCGGCCTTTAGTATATATTAAGAATATAGTTACTAAGCTCCCGCTATACTCTATCTACTATTAGCGCCTCTTTACTACTAGCTATAGTAGCGGCTACTTCGCTGTAGTATCGCCTACCTAGTAGTAGTAGTAGGAGAACGATAAGGAGATAGATACCTAGTATAGGTGGTGGAAGACTCGGGTAATCCCTCTAGCGGATTTAATTAAGGTCTAGGTGGACCGGGAGCTAGTAAGAGGCCTTATTAATAGTAAGGTTAAGAATAGTATAATCTAGAAGAGCTCTACTAGAATAAAGGTGTCCTTTTAGCTTAAGATAATCTAGTAGCCCTACTATCTACGCGGTTATAGTATAGTAGATGTCGCGTAGCTTACTAAGGCTCCTAACTCTACTAGCGAGCTAGCCTTAGAACTTATTAGGTAGAGCCTCGCGCGGTTAGTTAAGGGGGCGTAGTAGTTAATTACTAATAGAAGAATTAATATCTTTAACTAGACTAAGATTAATAGCTTTTTCCGATAGGCTTAGTTATAGGACTAGCCGCTACTAATAAAGCTATAGAAGGCTACCTACTAAAGATATACTAGTATATAGAAGCGGCTCTTATACTTTATCTACTAGACTACTAACCTAGCGTAGCCTATTAGACTCTTCCACTAT